TTTGCATTGCAATATATCTCAATATGAAAATTCCCTGCAATACCCACCACTATGATGGAACAGAGAGCTTTGTGTTGTTAATATTATTACATGTGCATTATTCCATAGACGATGCAGTTTGTGAAGGACGGTGAGCCAGGTATCCCGTCCTGCACCTGTTCCGTGTATTATTTTGGTTTGATTGCAGTATTGTTCATCCATGGATACCCCCGCTAGTACACGAAGTATTGTCATACCTTTGAGTCATTAAACCATTTAGCATACATCACATTCAGGAAGCACGGAACAGACAAGCATTGAGGTATTTGGGTATTTTTCAAAATGCAATATTCTTCAATCGTTTATTCCGCATGTGTGGCCTCCGGCCCATATACAGATGATACAGCAGGTTGGGATTTGCATGTTACAAACTTTAGTATCTCAGGTGTAGTGCACAGTGAAAATAAAGTTGTAGCTTAATAATAACGTTTGTATCATTAGATGTCATTAGGCTGATGAATCTAGTTTTTATATTATAGGATGTACAGACAAACAGTAGGTATTTAGAGCTTAAGCTTTCATAAGCTGGACATATCATGACAGAAGGAAATTCATCTTCAATCATAGCTAACTTACACACTTTACACAGTCGCAGTGACTGCAATATTCGTAAGACCATTGATCATTTTATTGTGGGAAGAAAGTCACGGTTTTTGCTCCCTGCGTCAGATTAATGTTACAGTTAAACATTGGGAATTCACAGCCTGCTCAAGCCGTTCGTGAAGGACTGTCAGCCAGGCAACATACCACCGCTTGTTCTGTTCATTGGTTTGGTTCCTATATCCCAACACGAGCTCGCGCTATATCGGGGGGTTACGTGTTGAGTGCACAAACAGTTTCACTGGTAGGGCGGGTGCCCAGACGCTGTTGTGAGAAGTTTTATTGACAATGGAAATCGGGAAGTAAAGTTATATAAAAAGCAAACAAACATCAATATTATTTACCCGAGATCGTTAATACCACTTACGATGCAAAATCAGTTGCCTTTATAACAAAAAACAGCAAGCGAAAATTCAGTAAGATCAGTCGTGATGACAGGCAATATATAAATAGGAAGTCACGTGATCACAACACTCCCCGGCAGTGCGGAGCAAAAAGTATGGCTCATCGTCGAAACCCCATACAAACTACCCGGATGTTACGAGCGGCCACTGTTTCGCCGATGCGATGTCATCAACGCTATTTTTGTAGGAAACACTTGATATTTTTGTGTGAAATAGATGAATATATCCTTTATCACTCGAGATTAGTAAAATAAAAACTTTAAATGATATTACAGATAAAAATTACGTTTTTGTCTTACATCGACGAAAACCCCAGACACCGGGATAAATTATTATTCACCCACCAATAATTGCCACATGATTGAGGGCATGGCACACATATCACCACGTATTCACGGGTTATTGCCACATGATTGAGGGCTTGGCACACATATCACCACGTATTCACGGGTTATTGCCACATGATTGAGGGCATGGCACACATATCACCACGTATTCACGAGTTATTGCCATATGATTGAGGGCATGGCACACATATCACCACGTATTCACGAGTTATTGCCACATGATTGAGGGCATGGCACACATATCACCACGTATTCACGAGTTATTGCCACATGATTGAGGGCATGGCACACATATCACCACGTATTCACGAGTTATTGCCACATGATTGAGGGCATGGCACACATATCACCACGTATTCACGAGTTATTGCCAGATGATTGAGGGCATTGCCACATGATTGAGGGCATGGCACACATATCACCACGTATTCACGAGTTATTGCCACATGATTGAGGGCATGGCACACATATCACCACGTATTCACGGGTTATTGCCACATGATTGAGGGCATGGCACATATCACCACGTATTCACAGTATCACCACGTATTCACGAGTTATTGCCATGATTGAGGGCATGGCCACACTATCATCACCACGTATTCACGGGTTATTGCCACATGATTGAGGGCATGGCACACATATCACCACGTATTCACGAGTTATTGCCACATGATTGAGGGCATGGCACACATATCACCACGTATTCTCGAGTTATTGCCACATGATTGAGGGCATGGCACACATATCACCACGTATTCACGAGTTATTGCCACATGATTGAGGGCATGGCACACATATCACCACGTATTCACGAGTTATTGCCACATGATTGAGGGCATGGCACACATATCACCACGTATTCACGAGTTATTGCCACATGATTGAGGGCATGGCACACATATCACCACGTATTCACGAGTTATTGCCACATGATTGAGGGCATGGCACACATATCACCACGTATTCACGAGTTATTGCCACATGATTGAGGGCATGGCACACATATCACCACGTATTCACGAGTTATTGCCACATGATTGAGGGCATGGCACACATATCACCACGTATTCACGAGTTATTGCCACATGATTGAGGGCATGGCACACATATCACCACGTATTCACGAGTTATTGCCACATGATTGAGGGCATGGCACACATATCACCACGTATTCACGAGTTATTGCCACATGATTGAGGGCATGGCACATATCACCACGTATTCACGAGTTATTGCCACATGATTGAGGGCATGGCACACATATCACCACGTATTCACGAGTTATTGCATACATGGCACACATATCACCACGTATTCACGGGTTATTGCCACATGATTGAGGGCATGGCACACATATCACCACGTATTCACGAGTTATTGCCACATGATTGAGGGCATGGCACACATATCACCACGTATTCACGGGTTATTGCCATACCACTGAGGATTTTGGTATTTTCAAAATGGAATGGTCGTAAGACCATTGGCAATTTCATCATGTGAAGAAATTAATGCTTCATGCGTTTAATTTATATCATAGTTAAGTATTGACATTTTACATTATGTTTAAGCCTGTTTTTGAAGCCGAGACACAATATTCGTCTCTGTGGGGATTCGAACCCGGGTGGCACAGTTTAACGACTAGGCCACCCCACCGCCCTGTTTTTGACGAGACAACGTCTTTCACAGTAGTGTACGTTTTCACATTATCTATAGTCCGTTTGACTGCATTTTAGACCGATGAATTGCTCACTAACACAAAATCTAATAAATGCAACAAAATCAAACTTTGCACAGTCACATGAAATCGACAGACCAACTCTGATGATTTGTCTCATAATTTTGGATACCCGAATAAAAGTTGTTTAACAAGCGATCATTATTTTGTTGTCACTTTTCGCCATTTCTTATTAAACTAATGTGCGCCGTGTTCATCCAGCCATAACATTGCCTTGCAAGTACCACGAAGGCTACGCTCATTGAACCGAGAAGCGTCACGATTTTAGCCTTCCCGGCCATGAACCACTGAGTGTAAAAGTACTGTATGGATGGAAAGTTTATTTTTCTGGTCAGTTCTCCTCCGGGGGATGGTTACATTACATTAAGCGCCGGGTCTCTATTAAGCACCGGGCCTCTAATAACCGCCGGGGATAAAGCAGTTCTTTTTTAGAAATAAGCGCCGGGCCTCTAATAACCGCCGGCTCCCTAATAAACGCCGGGTATAGACCTTTGCATATTTTCGCAAATGTATTCTCTCTTGGTCTAAAAATACATATATTAAGGAATGGTCCCTTAAATCATAACTCATCCCCGCTTTAAGAAGTACAGGGTATTTTATTAAGCGCCGGGCTTCTAATAAGCGCCGGGTCTGGAGGTCCGCTGACAAAATAAGCGCCGGGGGCGCTTATTTGAGGAAATACGGTACATTTATAATGCGCTAACTCCCTTCACTGGGCGAATGTTCATAGCGATAGTGAGGCGATAGGTTATTAGTTAAGACAAGACAAGACAAGAGTTTAATTGGTCAAAGACCAATACAATATTTAAATGAATTGAATATTCGCCTGTGCACATGGCAAGGTACGTATATAGACAGCAATCAAATTGCTATTATCATTATTATTGCCCAAGAGTGAGGATATGTGTGAACGATTTACAAAAATTCAACCTTGTTTCTTTTATTTAAAATATAGTAAATGCACTTTGCAGCTTTCAATACTTCAAAACTGTTTTCACATGTTAACAATTTGATAAACTTAAACATACTTATATTTTCCAATAAAGTATTACTTATATGTTGTTTACGTATTTCTCGATATTTTGGACAAATCAAGAGTACGTGGTACTCATCTTCTATTTCGTTAGTACAAAAGGGACATAATCTGTCAGCAAGTTCGATTTTACATGACTTATCCCACCGGGTACCCATTTTCTTTTGAACAAACTCACTTGCCTAAGGTGAAAGCACATGTATCACATGAACTTCGTTGTGGGGCAGGACTGAAGTCTCAGAAACTCTCAGTAGTCAAGCTGTCAAACACAGTCACCCATCCAAGAGATCTCCGCGCCCAGCGTAGCTTAACTTAAACAACTTTGTGACCTGGGCCTAGATTTTCGAAGCTCTCTTAGCGCTAAGATAGTCGTAAGTTAATGTTAATGTATGGCACTTACGCCTATCTTAGCGCTAAGAGAGCTTCGAAAATCTAGGCCCAGAACTCTGTGTGCGCACACACACACACACACACAGAGAGAGAGAGAGAGAGAGAGAGAGAGAGAGAGAGAGAGAGAGAGAGAGAGAGAGAGAGAGAGAGAGAGAGAGAGAGAGAGAGAGAGAGAGACAGACAGACACACAGACACACACACACACACACACACACACACACACACACACACACACATCTCTACATGCTAGGTAATTGAAGATTGTTAGACAGAGTGATAACCAAAGTTCATCAACGGGAGTAGATGGTCTTAGTGCACATCTCGGCGGCGTCTACGACTGTAATATCACCTATTTACGTCCTCCGTCACGTGATATCAGACACACAAACATATTGGTTTAGACGCACGACAGAATACCTACACACAGCAACACCAGTGCTGGCCCATAGACATATCTCACCTAACACCAGTGCTGGCCCATAGACATATCCCACCTAACACCAGTGCTGGCCCATAGACATATCTCACCTAACACCAGTGCTGGCCCATAGACATATCTCACCTAACACCAGTGCTGGCCCATAGACATATCTCACCTAACACCAGTGCTGGCCCATAGACATATCCCACCTAACACCAGTGCTGGCCCATAGACATATCCCACCTAACACCAGTGCTGGCCCATAGACATATCACCAACACCAGTGCTGGCCCATAGACATATCCACCTAACACCAGTGCTGGCCCATAGACATATCTCACCTAACACCAGTGCTGGCCCATAGACATATCCCACCTAACACCAGTGCTGGCCCATAGACATATCCCACCTAACACCAGTGCTGGCCCATAGACATATCCCACCTAACACCAGTGCTGGCCCATAGACATATCACACCTAACCATCAAACGAAGCTCATCAAAGCTTCCAGGATGGCGCTTCAGAAACTTGTTATCATGGTGAAAATAAAGCATTATATGTGAAACAAAATATGATGTGTATCTTTGGTTGGATTTACGTTGCTTTTATTTGTTAAATGAGTACAGCCACATCCTTCTGTGGGGGATCGTTCAGATCTTCATCAATTGAGAAAATGACCCACGGTTGATCAATAATCTGCAAAAAAAAGCAAATACATTTTACTGGGTGTAAAAACGTTGGTGTCAAGTTTGTGTGCAGACTCTTTCAGTGTTGTCACAACCCCTAGTGTACAGTACACAACCCTGTGTACTTAAAAGAACCCACGAATCCGTTGGTATATATGACCAAATGGTGGCCACATGAATACGTGCAAACACCTAGTTGCGGGTACAGCAACGTGCAGTAAACACTTGGACAAAGTACTGTGACTATGTGTCCCAGTTCATCCAGCTGTGAATGGGTACCTCGTAAGGATGGTGCACCTAGTGGCTGCAAGAGTTGTATGGTTCCAGGAAGTTGAGATTGATAACACAATGTGCCGTTGAGATTGACATCCAGTGATCGATGGAAAAAGACCCCAGCGCATTGAGCATGTACTAGTTGCGTGGATATGTGCGCTATATCAATATCCTAAATAATATGTACACATACCTAGGTAGTTAAGAGACTCAGATCTGCGGCGAGCAGCCACCGCATCCCTCTTGCTTCGTAACCCTTGAAACAAGAATATAATTGGTGTGACACATGTAATACATTCATGACAAATCTATGGAATACTGTAAGGGACATTCTCGCGATCTCGCATTCTCGCGATCTCGACCTTTGGAAACAAGCTAAAAATGCTAAAAGTGCGAGAATGCGAGATCGCGACAACGCGAGATTTGGCCAAAATCTCGCGTTCTCGCGATCTCGCATTCTCGTGTTTTTGGTACATAGCACTTTTTGTCAAAAGTCGACAACGCGAGAATGCGACATTTGTACATGCTGTCAAATCTTGCAATCTCGCAATCTCGACTTGTCAAATAACGCCACAAAAACACGAAATCGCGAGAATGCGACATTTCATTTTCTCGCGATCTCGCGTTTTAGACGCTGTCATTGCGCATGCGTAATATCATAAGGTCACATGAATAAATATATCACATGAATAAATAATTCCATAGTACGTGTTTCAACTGTTAATGACGACTTTAACTAGAACGTTTAATAGTTTCCTCCAAGTTCTGTTCACACACACATAGATTTGTAAGTTGCTCGGGACTAAACGGAGCTGAATTACACACTTCACAACTTAAATGAATAAATAACTCCATACCACATGTAGCAACTGCTTAGCGTCAATAACCTGATAACCCGTGAAGATCCGGGTTAAAATTGGTCTACAGCAACCCATGCTTGTAGTAAGAGGCGACTAGCGGGATCGGGTGGTCAGGCTCGCTGACTTGGTTGACACATGTCATCGTATCCCAATTGCGTAGATCGATGCTCATGCTGTTGATCACTGGATTATCTGGTCGAGACTGGTTTTTTGGAGACCGCCGCCATATAGCTGGAATATTGCTGAGTGTGGCGTAAAACAACAAAGGAAAGCAAACAATGCCCTGTCAACTGACGACCGTCACTAACGTTTTATAGTTTCCTCCAAACTTTGTCGACATACATAGATGTGAACGTGAATGAATCTGTCTCAATTTAACACTTCGAGTGGATTTAATCAATACATTTGATGACATTTCCTTACTAAACAGAAATTGATGGACAACAGAGTTTATGCTTAAGCCGTCTTGTATATTTTGTGTATGAACTGTACGATAGTATTATCACATCTGATGATGGTTGAATGGTTATTTTTAATATATTGTATCTGTACCCGTTATTATATAGACAGAGTACGGCGAAATGTCCATCACCAGCAAAAACATAAGTAGATTTCATGAGTCACCACATCCTCTCCACCCAAAAGTCCACCCCACTCCACCCCAGACACCTCCCCGCCTCCACACCCCAAACTCCCAACCTCCTGCCTGACACAGATATGCATGCATGCCAAGTTATGACGACTCACCGGCGCCGTAGCTGCTGCTCCATGATGCACGTCTTGGATGAAGCTCTTGTTCCGGGGACCCAGCCTGGGCTGACATTTAGATCCCATTGCTATCGTTTGAAAACCCAACTCTTTACAAATATCACATGGATCAATTCAACGTAATAACACATGAAAACCCACTCACTCACTTTTATCAAATATCCATTGTTTTGAATATAAATACGCCAATGAAGATCGTGAATTCAACGTACATACTTACTGACGTATGAGGGACTCACTCACTCATAGGGACGTCACTCAAGATGTGATGACCATGGTTCCTAGTATGGAGGGATTCTACCTTCAGTTGTTGGCGACTATAGCCCATCACATGTTAGGGATGTTTCAGATTCTACATCCTCACTCTGTGGGATACTCTAGTCCCTTTCCTGCTCCTTTTGTCAAATGATCCTCCCTCCCCTTCAATTTCACTCACCCACTTGAATATAAATACGCCTCCCTCCTCATTCACTCAAGATAACGAAGAGATACGTGATGATTCTTTTAAAGTCACAATCATCACCCTGCCAGAATTTACAACTACCTACATTAACATACATTATTCTGAATCGTACTTTGTGTTGGACAGTAGTTGGACGTAGGATTTTACTCTGTAGAACTCATGTAAACTATAGTCCGTAGACTCGTTTTTACACATACAACCGCCGCCATGTACTGGAATAGTGCATAAAATTAAACTCACTGTCACCGAATATCACTGGACATATGGGACTGTCTACATATATGTTTCAATGAAGACTTTAATATAGAGTTTGGATTGGTTAATTCTAGAAGAATGCCGAGGAAGAGGGACTGATTGTTCCATTGGAAAAGAGTGAGTGAGTATGGTTTTACGTCGCTTTTAGCAATATTCCAGCAATATGAAGGCGGGGGACATCAGAAATGGGCTTCACGCGTTATAGACAGACAGTGTACCTGTGTGGGGAATTGAACTCGGATCTTCGGCTACCCCTATGGCCCCATGGGAAACGAGCTGCTCTTACAAAAGGAGTGAAGGAACCAAGATAAGGTGTTATCTGCATGATCTACGAGTACGTGATACACCTGGAGGAATACCCCATTACGTGTTGGTCCTAGTTTCGTACTGCTCTTTACTGATCGTATATACTCACCTGTGACCAGGACAACTGAAAAATATGATTATAATGATCAATATCTGCTTCTGAACACACCTTTAGTGACATCACCACAACCATCATCAGTGTTTCTTCCAGCTTGATAACAAAAATATATCATTGTGCCACCAACATCCGCAACAACCCGTAGTATTATATTTTAAAATTTCGACCACAACACCCCTCAGTGTCCTCAGACCTAGTTGACAAAACAACTTTGTGACACCCATCACAACACCCCTCAGTGTCCTCAGACCTAGTTGACAAAACAACTTTGTGACACCTATCACAACACCCCTCAGTGTCCTCAGACCTAGCTGACAAAACAACTTTGTGACACCCATCACAACACCCCTCAGTGTCCTCAGACCTAGTTGACAAAACCAATTTTTGACACTCATCACAACACCCATTAGCATTTCAATAGTCTGCAAGAACAAACTGAGCCTCCAACACAGGTCAATATTATCTGTCCAAATAACCAAACGAGATATTACACAATGCTCGGACTGAACCTCCCTGTCTACTAAACGCATCTTTCTGGAAGGTGATGGTTTCTAGCCTCTGGCCGCCTCCGTGCTGTAGTGGTTGGAGCGTCCGCCCGGAAAGCGGAAGGTCGCGGGTTCGATCCTCGACCGCGTCATACCAAAAGACGTTAAAATATAGACTTGTTGGTCCCTGCCAGGCGCACGGTATTAATGGGTACAACAAGGACTGGTCGTCTCGGAGTCAGTATAATGTGTCTGAGTGGGGTATTCATGCTTAACTGCGGCATGGTATCTCAGTGAGCTAGCACTATAAAACCAGCTGAAGTCTGGGCTAGTACAAGCAGCCGCACCTACACATACACACGCATGCACGTCGTCATATGAGCGAAATATTCTCAAGCACGACGTTAAACCCAATTTCACCTCACCTCACTTCTAGCCTCTCGTAGCCTGAATGCCTTCGAATATGTAACACTGTTAGCATTTTGTTATTCACTGCTATTCTTACATCTACGCCAAGGTTCCAGAGTCTGTGAACTTACCCAAGAATATCAGACTGATGCCCTTCATGTTGAAAATAGGCGTCCACACTGTAGTACTCGGCGTGCCGTCAATCTATGAACAGCGTCTGTTGGTCGAGCGTTTTGAGAAATGAAAGGTCCAACGATAATACCTAACTGATATCAAATGATGATGTCATGAATATTTAGTATCTTGTATACCTGAAAACAAATGGTAGTTCTTTGATGTCTTGATGTATTGTGCCCATACACGGGCCATAACACAAATATATGTTGATTGTCTACATTATGAAACATTGTCTTCCATATCTACATATCAGATAGCAATAATATGACGTCACTCGGGCAGTTTAGGTATCGTCTGTTCATGATTTCCTATCAATATATATTATGTATAATCTATGCATATTTTAATGTTAATAATCCATTCATTTGTTTACGCGATAATGTGCAACGCTTGGTTTCCTAATCATTATGCATCATCTATGTATGTTTTCCTATTCATTATGCATCATCTATGTATGTTTTTCTATTACCAATAGTTCATTCATTTATTTAAACGATCGTGGGCAACACGTGTTCCTTCAGTGGGTTAGAGCAACAGCTGGAAGACTTTGAATAACGTACATTGTCCCTTCCCTGTGGAGCATGGAGATTGATTTACCGACTACAGTTGCTTGTGTAACTCTCTTTTTACAGAGGCTCAAATTCCACCATATGAATATATCTATAGGTCAATATTATCTGTCCAAATAACCAAACGAGATATTACACAATGCTCGGACTGTACCTCCCTGTCTACTAAACGCATCTTTCTGGAAGGTGATGGTTTCTAGCCTCTGGCCGCCTCCGTGCTGTAGTGGTTAGAGCGTCCGCCCGGAAAGCGGAAGGTCGCGGGTTCGATCACCGACCGCGTCATACCAAAAGACGTTAAAATATGGTACTTGTTGGTCCCTGCCAGGCGTTCGGCATTAATGGGTACAACAAGGACTGGTCGGCTCAGAGTCAGTACAATGTGTTTGAGTGGGGTATTCATGCTTCACTGCGGCATGGTATCTCAATGAGCCAGCACTATAAAACCAGCTTAAGTCTGGGCTAGTACAAGAAGCCACACATACACATACACACGCATGCACGTCGTCATATGAGCGAAATATTCTCAAGCACGACGTTAAACCCAATTTCACCTCACCTCACCTTCTAGCCTCTCGTAGCCTGAATGCCTTCGAATATGTAACACTGTTAGCATTTTGTTATTCACTGCTATTCTTACATCTACGCCAAGATTCCAGAGTCTGTGAACTTACCCAAGAATATCAGACTGATGCCCTTCATGTTGAAAATAGGCGTCCTTTCGTCAATTCACTGTTAGTTCTCGGCGTCCGCCCTTCACAGCGTAGTACTCGGCGTGCCGTCAATCTATGAACAGCGTCTGTTGGTCGAGTGTTTTGAGAAATAAAAGGTCCAACGATAATACCTAACTGATATCAAATGATGATGTCATGAATATTTAGTATCTTGTATACCTGAAAACAAATGGTAGTTCTTTGATGTCTTGATGTATTGTGCCCATACACAGGCCATAACACAAATATATGTTGATTGTCTACATTATGAAACATTGTCTTCCATATCTACATATCAGATAGCAATAATATGACGTCACTCGGGCAGTTGAGGTATCGTCTGTTCATGATTTCCTATCAATATATATTATGTATAATCTATGCATATTTTAATGTTAATAATCCATTCATTTGTTTACGCGATAATGTGCAACGCTTGGTTTCCTAATCATTATGCATCATCTATGTATGTTTTCCTATTCATTATGCATCATCTATGTATGTTTTTCTATTACCAATAGTTCATTCATTTATTTAAACGATCGTGGGCAACACGTGTTCCTTCAGTGGGTTAGAGCAACAGCTGGAAGACTTTGAATAACGTACATTGTCCCTTCCCTGTGGAGCATGGAGATTGATTTACCGACTACAGTTGCTTGTGTAACTCTCTTTTACAGAGGCTCAAATTCCACCATATAAATATATCTATTGGGTGCCGCCTTAATATGCATTTTAATGTATATCCAATGTGGTATTCTGACAATATCAGACTGATAGGAAATATTTTACAGGAATGACTAAATTTCACAGCTATTTTACAGCTGAAAGAACGGCACGTCTTGAAGTGTGAAATGTAGTATAAACAATGCCGTACGGAATAATTGCTTTCATCACAATACGTTTCACCTGGTCCAAACAGCGGTGTCGTCTTAAGATGCCGACCTTTCGATTTTCCACTAGTCTCAGGACGCCGACCAACGGTTTCCTTTGAAGGTTAGGTTCTGATTAGGCGTTGCGGATAATCTATTCTAGATGTTTTGATAAGGTGATCTCGTCGCAGAAGGTGAAAATATCGCAGTGGAACGCAATGGAACCACCACAACTCAGATGGGCCAAGAACCAAGAACCACCTGGAAGGGTGGCATTCACGTCTGAAGAGATACGTCAGCAAGGCTCACCCAAACATCTTCGAGGTCGTGCCGATCCTGTCACCAACACGGAAAACAAGAGGAAGAAATACAGGGACTTGGAGCGACGACTGGATGACATCTCTCACCAGCTCAGACAAGGAACGCTGTCCGCATTTTATATGTCCAAACAGTTCCAGTTTGAGAAATATTGTTGTTAGGAAAGAATGCCATCCCCAATAAAGTAAAAAATGTAGATTATGGGCATGATAAGATGCACTGATCGCCAGACAAGTAAGGGCAACACAAATTCGCGAGTTCAAATCAATCTATTGAGGAATCTATTGAGAGAGTTGGAGTAGTTGAGAGAGCTAAAGAAGTGACGTGGAATCGGTCACCTGGGTTCTGGTGAATGTCCGTCATAAGCATCACCAGCTGACACAGTATTTAACCAGTCACTCTGAGGCATTAGGGCATGTGATCAAGGTCGGCTCAGACTGATCCCCCTTTCAAGTCACCCATAAGACAACGGAGTAGTGTGGGTTTTGCTTTGTCACTCAGTTTTCACACACTGGGACGGGCCATTGCTGTCTTGTACTGCAGTTGTAGTTTGAGAGTGAGTGAGTGTAGTTTTACACCGCTTTTAGCAATATTCCAGCAATATCTTGGCGGGGGACACCATAAATAGGCTTCACGCATTGTACCCATGTGGAGAATCGAACCCGGGTCTTCGGTGTAACGAGCGAGCGCTTTAACCACTAGGCAACCCCACCGCCCCTGTAGTTTGAGAAATGGGTGAGGCGAATCACGCTTATGTGAGTATAAAACTTGGTGTTGCGTAATCTTAGTATGAATAGGCGCCAGTACATGGATGTCATGTTGTCAGGGAGACGTCAAGGGCGTCCGACCTCTCAGTCCTTTGCTTTGTGATTCAACACCAAGTTTGGATTGGTTTAATGGACGCAAGCGAAAAACTTATTGCATGTCGTGGAATGCAAAATAATATCCTCTCTACCGAATTCGTGGCTAAAACTATCATGGTCGTTTATCAAATCTTACAGCACAGGACACTACACTGTTTAATCAGTTTGCGGGACCACTGACACTACATAGGGTTCCACTGTATCTGTCGAGGGTAAAACCATGTGCACGTTCATACAAGTAGTTGCGTACGAGATAAAGACCCTCGAATTATAAATTTATCACACATTCACACTATTTTGCCCTTTCACATTACTTGTAGGTGAATTGTAGCTAGAATGTCACAATGATAACCTGTCCTAATGCTACTTTTATCGGGCATGTGTGAGTTTGGTTTCCATAATTGTAAATACTCTGCACAGTATGAAGGCGGGTCGATGCAATATGGTGTCAGGCCAGTGTCTAGTGGGGTCTAAGATATATACATTATCAACTAACATCTCCTCCACTTGATTGTCCATGACAGCATGCTTACTGTGGTTACACCAAAACTTGTCAACGCTGGAAGGTGATGGTCGATGGTAAATACACGCAGACGGTTATCTCCCAATTGACAGACGATTACGGCCTAATCCGTCGAATTTTGAACAGTCAGCAGTGCCGATCCGTCGAATCATGCTTGAGTGGTTCTGTGCTAATCGGTCGAATTTCCGACCGTGTTAACACACTGGGAGAGTCTATGTTCATTAATTAAGGGATCGGCTTGTATAGGATTAGACTACATGTTTTCTTAAAATTTTCGCTTCCACTGTGTGCCAAGCTTAGTTTCAGCAAACATATTTGTCCATTTGACAATATGGTCAACAATTTCAGGACACACATTCAAAGTGAAGGCTTCCCACTGGATCTTGATTGGTGACTTTTCCATTCAGCTGGCGAATAATATTTCTCTGAAGCGTTCGAGCTAATCGCATTGGGTCCTTGAACCACTGTCCTCCATCACGGCTGTCATACCTGTCAGGAGCTTGTCTTTGTACATCAGTCTCCTTGTCAGAGTTGGAAGTAGCGTCATCCTCTAGGTCACAGTCGGATTCTGTGCTTTCAGATCCTTCAGATGGTTGATAATCTTCATCAGATCCACCATCAGTTTCACCAGAGTGATCACCACCAAGCTCCCGTTGCATAAGTTCAAATAAGTTTTGTTAATCTATTCTTATGTGCTGTAGGCACACAAGTCACAGAAGACCCGAAAAAAGGTTAATGAATCTGATTGCTTGAGGAATTCTAAATGCTGGTCAAAGATTTGTCAGTGGGGTCTGTATGGACCCCATCAGTCCCAAGTAGGGTATGTGCAATAACACATCAACTAGTTTATAATGGAAATTCTTTCTAAATCTTGAACCTTATTTTTAAAAAGGAAAATGGTCAAGTGAAGATTACCCGACGTCCCAACAAAGAGAGTTCAAACATATATTTATTTCATTGGAGTATAATACATTTATTAGCATAATGTTACACAATAATACTTGTATCTAGTCTGCCGAAAAGAAGAAAGTATGCACGTCAAAAGTCGATTCAGCAGAACAATTGCAAGCGTTGTGAAAACGTTACCTTGCGTAATGGTCAAAGATCACAGAAACACTTGTGTACAAAACATAGGGACATGAAATCAATATCAAATACACCAACATCGAAAAAACAGTTCTTTTTGTGTCACTTTAAATACCACCAACTAGCGATTTACACCCCTAAAGCCATATAAGCATGTTTACATAATGTGTCGGATGATCATTAAAACTAGAGTAAACAACGTTTATAACAAACACGCTTAATACGAACTGACGGATATAACGAGCTGTTGTATTTGTCCCGAGCATCTGCTATATCCTTTAACTGATCCGTTATAACGATCCAGTATGAGTGGTCCTCGTTATAACCGTATTTTGGTGTACATTTATCTAACTTCAACTATAACCTGCTTTTGGTTGACCAAAGGACGTTGTTCCGGTCTTTCTCATCCATCACAAAATTGTAAACACCCGTCACAGGAAATGTACAACCGTTCCAGATAGTCCTCCAGCAGTTGCTTCACGAGCGTCTCTTCTTGATGACCATATAGACGACGAAACCGATGCCAAATGCCACGACCAGCATTCCTACACCCAGGCCGACCACGCTCCCCTGTGAACAAACACCTGTCATGAATAGCATTCTTACTCTCCTGCATGCAATGTTTACTGCATTAGCTGACCTGATCTCATGTTTACAAACGTTAGTCATCTCAATGTTTTTTTTATTTTTTCGGAATCTCTAATCCTCTCAAAGACACGAGGGCCCGTGACCTCATCCTGTACTTTAAACATTAGCTGACACCACCCTATGTGCAAAATGGTTTTTAGCGCCATCTGATCTCATCCATTGTTCTCAGCGTTCACTGATCTCATCCTGTATTTACGTCAGCTGGTAGCAGCCTGTGTTTACAAAATTATGTTATCTCCTAATATGCTTCCAATGTCAGTGGATCTTATCCTATGTTTATAACGTTAGTTGGGCTCATCTTGTGAGCACAACGTAACATCAAATCTTCTCGTTCACAGAATCTTGTCTTAGCAACGTTAACTCACTTCATCCTGTGTTTCCAAAGTTGAATGACCTCATACTATGTATGCAACGGTAGCTGACCTCACCCTCACCCTCCGCTTACAGCGTTATCCCATCTAACCCTCTGTTTACAACGTTGGCCTACCTCACCCTCTGCTTACAACGTTAGCCCACATCACCCTCCGTTTACAACATTATACCATCTAAACCCTCTGTTTACAACGTTAGTCCACCTTACCCTCCGTTTACAACGTTACCTCACGTCACCCACTGTTTACAACGTTAGACCCTCACCCTCTGTTTACAGCGTCAGCTCACGTCACCCACTGTTTACAACGTTAGGCCCTCATCCTCTGTTTACAACGTCAGCTCACCTCACACTGTGTTTACAACGTTAGACAACCTTACCCTCTGTTTAAAACGTTAGTTCACCTTACCATCCGTTTACAACGCAAGCGCACCTTACCCTCCGTTTACAATGTTAGCTCACCTTACCCTTCGTTTACAACGTTAGATCACCTCACCCTCCGTTTACAACGTTAGCTCACCTCACCCTCCGTTTACAACGTTGTCCCCCTCACCATCTGTTTACAACGTTAGCTCACATCACCACTGTTTACAACGTAAGTCCACCTCACCCACTGTTTACATTAGCCCACCCCACCCTCTGTTTACAAGATTAGCTCATCTCACCCCCTGTTTACCACGTTAGCCCACCTCACCCTCTGTTTACAACGTTAGCTCATCTCACCCTCTGTTAACAACGCGTGTCCACCTCTCCCTCTGTTTATGACGTTAGCCCACCTGAACCTCTGTTTATAACGTTAGCCGACCTGACCCTCTGTTTATAACGTTAGCCCACCTGACCCACTGTTTACAATGTTATTCAACCTCACCCTCTGTTTACAATGTTATTCAACCTCACCCCCTGTTTAGAACGTTTGCCCCCTCACCCTCTGTTTATAACGTTAGCTCACCTCACCTTCTGATTACAACGCCCCCTCACCCTCTGTTTACATTAGCTCACCTCACCCTCTGTTTACATTAGCTCACCTCATCCCTCTGTTTACAAACTTAGCTCACCTGTTTACATTAGCTCACCTCACCCTCTGTTTACAAAATTAGCTCACCTCACCCTCTGTTTACATTAGCTCACCTCACCCTCTGTTTACATTAGCTCACCTCACCCTCTGTTTACAACGTTAGCTCACCTCACCCTCTGTTTACAATGTTAGCTAACTTCACCCTCTGTTTATAACGTTAGCTCACACCACCCACTGTTTACAACGCTAGTCCGGTTCACCCTCTGTTTATAACGTTATTCCACCTCACCCACTGTTTACAACGTTATTCCACCACACCCTCTGTTTAAAACGTTTGTACACCTCACCCTCTGTTAACAACGTTAGTCCACCTCACTCTCTGTTTACAAAGCTAGTGATCCTCACCCCTTGTTTACAACGTTAGACCACCTCGCCCTGTCTATAACGTTAACTCACCTTACCCTCTGTTTAAAATGTTAGCTCAGCTCACCATCTATTTACAACGTTAGCCCACCTCTCACCTTAAACGTTAGCTCACCTCACCCTCTGTTTACATCGTTAGCAACTCAGCCTCTGTTTACAATGTTTGCCCAGCTCCCCGTCTGTTAACACCATTTGCTCACCTTACCCACTGTTTACGTTAGCTCATAACATCCTGTGTTTACAACGTTAGCCTACCTCACCCTCTGTTTACAACGTTATCCCACCTCACCCTCTGTTAACACCTTTTGCTCACCTCACCCACTGTTTACAATGTTAGCTCACTTCTTGCTGTTTACAAACTATAGCTCACCTCCTGCATACTCCAGTTTGACATTCTTCCAGGGATGTTCCACTATTACCGTGTCTTTAGAACTCACAGAGTAGGGGCGTGGCTTCATAATCACTCCCTGTAAATAACAGCATTAATACTTGTCACTCCTCAACAATTCATGATCATCAAAGCAGACCTGCCAAAGTGTTTGCAACTACCAGTAAGAATAGTTTATGTTTACGGTCACCTAAGATGATGACCTGAAATAACTCCTTTCTGTGAAAGTCTTACGTTGATGTTGATGGTGAAGTTGCCGGAGTTAATGCCGTACTTGAGGATGTCAACAGCGTCCTCCAGCGACAGCTGAGTCGCGGGGTTAACAACATCGCCGGGTAGTGGAGCCTTGTCCAGGAGTCGGAATGACACCAAGACATCCTTACTATCCAGGAAGCTCACCTGCAACACGTTGTCAGGGGAGAGTACTCTCAGTCCACCACTAACGTGTATTAATATAATTGAACTGATTGGTCCTCAATGTTTGGCATTCTGTTAGGGAAGAAGGATGTTGGAGACTAAGTTATTGGTAGTCATTCTGGTGGAAAATTGGAGGTTGAGCAGTAGTTGCATGTTTGACATTCGGCTAGGAAACACTGGGTTGGAGAGTAATTTAATGTTTGACATTCTGCGATGAATGAGATGCAGGTTGGAGAGGAGCTTTACGTACAAACAGGGAGCACTTTGGTTTACGAGTAACGTAATGGTTTTGTTTTTGTCCTTATAGTCAAAAGAGAGGCAAGGGGGTGTCTAAATATTTATATTTTGGGGCAGACAGATGTTGGGAACTAACTGAATGTTTGTTACTCTGTCAGGGGAGACGGAGGTTGGAGAGTACGTTGTTGATGATTTGATAAGAAGACATGGGTATGAGAGTACCTGAATGTTTGTTATTCTGATGGGGGAGACGGTTGTGTAACCCGCCACCGTCACCAAGATGAAATACCGGAACATCGTCATTTCATCTGACACGAGTTTGCTGTACTGAGCTGAAGGATAGGCAGGACATATGTGAAAGGCATGGTTTCTTGATCGCATTATTGAATAAACTTTATTTTGCATAAATCTCTACTGCCGATATATATACTACTGCTGGGGTTTGTACAAATAGAACAGCTGCAAAGAGAACAATACAAACTACTACTACTACTACTACTACTACTATTTTTTTTTACTACTACTACTACTATTACTACTGTTATTTCGTGTCGTTCTTCTACTATTACTACTACTACTATTTCTTGTCGTACTTCTACTACTACTACTACTACTATTTCTTGTCGTACTACTACTACTATTACTACTGTTATTTCGTGTCGTTCTACTACTATTACAACTACTACTACTGTTTCTTGTCGTACTACTACTATTACTACTATTTCTTGTCGTACTTCTACTATTACTACTACTACTACTACTACTATTTCTTGTCGTACTACTACTACTACTATTACTACTGTTATTTCGTGTCGTTCTTCTACTATTACTACTATTACTGTTTCTTGTCGTACTTCTACTATTACTACTACTACTATTTCTTGTCGTACTACTACTACTACATTACTACTGTTATTTCGTGTCGTACTACTACTACTGTTTCTTGTCGTACTACTACTATTACTACTATTTCTTGTCGTACTTCTACTATTACTACTACTACTACTACTACTATTTCTTGTCGTACTACTACTACTACTATTACTACTGTTATTTCGTGTCGTACTACTACTATTACAACTACTACTGCTGTTTCTTGTCGTACTTCTACTATTACTACTACTACTATTTCTTGTCATACTACTACTACTATTACTACTGTTGTTTAGTGTCGTACTTCTACTACTACTACTATTTCTTGTCGTACTACTACTATTACTACTACTACTATCTCTTGTCATACTACTACTACTACTACTATTTCTTGACGTACTACTACTACTACTACTACTACTATTTCTTTACGTACTACTACTTCTACAGCCGCTGCTGCTACTGCTTCTATTTCTTGTCGTGGTATCGGTGTTTATGCTGTTGATCACTGGATTCTCTGGTCCAGACTCGATTATTTACAGACCGCCGCCATATGGCTGGAATATTGCTGAGTGCGGCGTAAAAATAAATTCACTCACTCACTCTTGTTGTGGTTGTAGGTGTAATAGTAGTAGAAGAAGAAATATTACAAAAACTACTACTACTACTACTACTACTACTATTACTAATGCTAATACTGATGCAAGCAACATGTACTACTTTATCTAATACAGACCCGTGAAGATCCAGGGTAAAATAGGTCTTCAGCAACCCATGCTTGCCACAAAGGCGACTATGCGTGCGACTAACGGGATCGGGTGGTCAGGCTCGCTGACTTGGTTGATACATGTCGTCGGTTCCCAATTGCGCAGATCGATGCTCATGCTGTTGATCACTGGATTGTCTGGTCCAGACTCGATTATTTACAGACCGCCGCCATATAGCTGGAATATTGCTGAGTGCGGCGTAAAACTAAACTCACTCACTCACTCACTCTAATACAGCTACCACTAACAGCTACAACAATCAATGTCTCAAAACATAATAGTAAAACATCTGGAACATCTACTACTACCTCACTACAACTAACACTACATCAACAGCCACAGTGACATGGATAATTCTAACTAAGAATTGACATACACAATACGTCGTTGGTTAAGAGGGTACCCTGATTAACAGAATCTTGTTACCTAAACTGATACCGTACACTACATGGTCAAAGCTACCTGGCAGGACAAACTTCATATCCTTCTTGTGGGTGGGGCCGAAACATGGCGTGATGTCAAAGTCGAGGAGGGACGGCTCATCGTCGTCGTATTCGTAGATGTTGTAGGTGGAGTAGAAAGGTAACTGTGAAAAAAGCATCAGATCAAATCAAAGTCCGAAAACATGGTGACGGGGTCCTGCTATTGCACTGAGGGAGTGGCGAGAATAGGGCAACTCCAATTCATATTATTTGATGGGGAGCAATTGGCTTTGTAGAAACCCGAGATCGTGTGTTTGTGCTGAATATCTTTGCAGGTTTGCCAGCCGCATAGCCGCAAAAGTTCAGATTGGGCTTTCCTCCAACTGCAAGCTGACAACTCATTTATAATATATTTACTGTGACTCTCAATCAATTCAAACGACTCACCGTATTTGACCAAACGATAGTAAGATATTGCCACCTTGGACACGCTTCAAAACACATGCATTGAAGCTTGTCAGGTGAATGAAACTAACTACTTAAAACCTATATACCAGGTAATTATTTTAAGGACGTTTGCTGGATGCTCTCTGTCATGAAAACAATGGGTTGTCGGTTCCAGTTCTGCGACAACACGCAGAGCAGACAAAACTATCCAATTGCGCACAAGAAACGTATGCTTTTGTTTCGTTTATAAGTTGTTTAAGGCTGCACTCCGCAATATTTAAGATATATGGCGGTGGTCTGTTATAATCGTATGAAGACCAGACAATCTTGGGGTCAACAGCATGAGCATCGATCTACGCAAAAGGGATACGATGACATGTGTCAGCGAGTCTGACCACCCGATTTTGTTGGTTCTTACTGTGCCACAGGAGTACACCTTGATGAACTCTGAGATGAGGAGGTCGTTTGACACGAGGAGGAGGAGGTGATTTTGTAAATCAACACCCCACACATATGCACACGCACATGCACGTACGCACGCGCCCGCATAGGCACACACTCCATGTCTAGCAAATGGTCAGTCACTCCCCCATTCTTACCGATGCCGCGGCGATTGACAGCTGGACCGGAAGTATCGAGTTGTTCCCGTAGCCATGTTGAGACAACCAAATCGGCTGAAATGAGACCATCACATTTATGCATCAGGGCTGGACCACATGTACATCAAACTTCATTTCAAAATTAATAAATCATGTACGATATTGTCTCGGACTACCGCTAGAGTATGAGCTAGCACGATATCTTTAACATACATTATATTTGGGATTATACGTTTTTAGTAAAGTACAAATTCTAGTACTTTTGTTGGGTTGAGTCCCGGGATTCGAACCCACACCCTCAGAGTCAGGCACCTAATCGCCAGGACACAATTTACATCTCGTTATCGTATTGTAGACTACCAGTTGTCCGACTCCCATGTTTGTGGAAGTGGCGGTGGCTGAGCGGGTTAGACGGCTGAGTTTGTGTGCTGACGATAAGGCGCCTGAGTCTTAGGGTGTGGGTTCGAATCCCGGATGGGACTCAACCCAACAAAAGTACCAGAATTTGTACTTTACTAAGAAAGTGTAATCCCAAATATAACGTATGATTCTAACCCGGATCTTCACGGCTACTTCAGTTGAGAGTGCGGACCAGCACAATAATCCTATTACGTGACAATTAATAGTGTTCAAACTCACGTATTAAAGTAAATGTTAACCTACTTTCCCACCGCTCGGCAAGAACAGTCTGTGTACAAAGCAAAAGACAAAACAAACATTAAGTGCTTTCTACTTAGTGTCTCAAGACAGATACCCACTATTAAACTACAAGCAACGCAATAAGTTAAGTATTGGTAATCACCCTTACAAGGTAGTTATTTAAATAACAACCGTAGTGAGGGTGATTAAACGGCTTACTCCACGAGGGCTTACTTATTTGATACGCGTGGAATGTATTAGGCATGATGAAGATTATCACTATGAGAACAATTTTATTGTTTTTATATAGAAATAATTGCCCTAGGGGAGTTATTCAGTTATGCTAATAAAACACTTCCAAGAACAATGGACATAACTTTCCCTAGTGGTTTAATTTACGGAACTCTTAAAAACAGCTGCATCCACGCGTGTTCCTCTAAGGTATTATTAAAGTAAACTACGGATATATAGCGAACTCGAGGGGCATTAATTTTAGTTAGTTATAAGCGAAGTTCGTTATACTATACTTAAATATGTAGCAAGCACCCGGGACCCTAAAACAGTTCGTTACATCCGAATATTCGTTATAAACGTATTCGTTATAAACCTACTTCATTGTACTTAGAAAGAGGCCCATCATGTCGCAGTATTATCCCCACGTCGCCCAATATTTCCCAACATTCAGGATGTACATTGGTATCGTTATTACATGTTCAGTAGAATCTACAGATTCACGGGGGCGGTGGGATAGCCTAGTGGTTAAAGCGTTGGCTCGTCACGCCAAATGACCCGGGTTCGAATTCCCAAATGGGTACAATGTGTGAAGCCCATTTCTGGTGTCCCCCGCCGTGATGTTGTTGGAATACTGCTAAAAGCGGCGTAAAACCAAAACTCAGTCAGTGAGTACAGATTCACGACGTTGTTACTTACGGTGGCGTACAGGAACTCCCACGTCGAGTTGACCCCCGACCCAGGAGCTGGCCAGTCGTTCCGTTCCTCCACCCACACGTCGCAGTCAATACCACGCACTGCCCTCTTCAACAAGACGTGTTAGTCCTTTATGTGATGCATTTTCAGGAGAGTAAAGGACTTACAAGAACGTTTCTCAATATCACTGTGTGCGACATTTTCTTATATTGTTGTCAGAAATTTTTATTACCTCTTCTGGACAATCGTCTGGGTTAATAAATACCCTGATTAATGAATCGGGTACCTGCATGGACCAATTCTAACCCGGATCTTCACGGGTCTATAACCATGATGATGTGTTTACTGGACATAGATTGACAGAAACTGTTGCTTAGCAACATTCATTCGAGTGAGTGAGTGAGTTTAGTTTTACGCCACACTGAGCAATATTCCAGCTATATGGCGGCGGTCTGTAAATAATCGAGTCTGGACCAGACAATCCAGTGATCAACAGCATGAGCACCGATCTGCGCAATTGGGATACGATGACATGTGTCAACCCAGTCAGCGAGCCTGACCACCCGATCCCGTTAGTCACCTCTTACGACAAGCATGGGTTACTAAAGATAAATATTCTAACCCGGACCTTCACGGGTCTATAACCATGATGAGGAGTTTACTGGACATTGATTGACAGAAACTGTGGCTTAGCAACATTCATTCGAACAGATCTGGAATATTTCCGCGGTTTCTAGAAGGCAAAACTCGGAGTTGACGAGGCAAACAAAACCGAGTTACTTCCCTCTACCCAATGCATTCAGAAAAAAAAGACCAAACAAACAAAAATACCCCAAAACAAACAAATAAAAATATACCCCTAAAAATAAACATCAGTTAATTTCCAGAACGCAACGTTGCTAAGAAAATGTCATCTACTCTATGAGGTTATATGTCACAAAATACATTTGGCTCAGTGTACCAGCAGTGAATGGGTACCTGGTGGAATAAGATGGTCATATTACTATTAATCTTCTAGCACCAAACAGACACCATGGGTTAACCGGGGTATGTATTTATGTCTGCGCTGTGCGCATTATTTGTCCTTAGTGCCACTGAGAATCTTTGTGGTGGATATGAGGTCTTCAAATGCATTTGTAATTTATATATTATTAGATTATATAACGAATGTCATTGAATGACCATTCCGTGTGTAATGATCAACATTTTAGAAACACAGAACAGGGTCATTTTCAATGTCGCCTATGCCTAAACATTAGTTATGTAACCTATGAAATCCCCCTTTCTGCTGTGGAGCCCGATACTTACCACCCCGTCGTAGGCTAGAGTTCCGGTCACAGAGTGTTGAAAATCTTGTGTTGACACCATCTTGACGTGAGTGGGGTCAACCTTCACAGAGTCCAAACCAGTGATGGCGTGGACAGTGCAGTTGCCGTCCACGGTGTCGATCACATAGGCTGTGCCTGAAACACCACGCTGCAGCTGTAGCAAGTACAACTGGGCTAAGCAATACTATGTTACAATATACATGGGGTAGAGTGAACTTTATTTCTTCTATAGCCAGTGTCTTGATTGTGGAAAGTACAGCCAAACAACATGTTTCATTGAGGTTCCCGACGTCATTTAATTGTTACGTCATTTCAACGATGACGTCATGATTAGGGGATAACTGTACTCTCTTTCACGAATTCGGGACGTATACCGGTGGTTATATAGCCGCAAATTTAATTATATCGGCGACGCGTATACGCCCTCAATTTATTAAACACAGTTCCCATTCTAATTTAGCTCTTTTTACGCTGTTTTTTCCTGAAAGGAATTCGTTATTAAAACCAAGTCCAAGTTCCTCTATGTCAAAGGTTAATCATATCACTCCTTGAACTTACACCATCGCCAGAAAAAGTAGTTCCCCTTTCAAACTTCAACATTTGTTATGTGCATACTGACTAAATATGACAATGATGAATAAATTACAGTGTTATAGCTAAGATGGATGGAACTATCATGAAACTGCCCTCTTGTTATCCAAAAAGAGCGGACCGCTGTAAATTGTAATGGCGCGTTGATTCCTTAATAAGAACAGAAAATGTAAGCAGCAGGACGGATTGGTCGTGTGTATTTTCATTCATAACCTCGCCTCAATGAAAATACCAAATATGTATAACAATGTTGACGTCCGTATGACATCACTATCGGGAAGCGACTTTTTCAAAATGGCGTGTTCACTGGACACGAGTTTTCGAAGGACATTTTCGTTGTTTCAAGCAAAGTATATGCATAAATGTGACATGTAAGCAGTCCGAAACTTCTGACAGTCTGCTTTGTTGTTATTTTCTTTTGTTTTCATTGTGACCAAAGGGAAATAGTCAGAAATTAAGAGAAGTACCGTCATCGTTGTGCGTGAGTTTGCGTCAGTTATGGCGTCATGCTTTCAAAAACTATAATATGTTGTGATGAATCTAGAAAATCATTGGCATACACCTGTTTTATTTAACTATCGCTTGCTACGATACCTTTCCATGCATGTTCTAAAACTAATGAGCAATTGTATGCAACAAGTAGGCGAACGGATACACAGTGTAAAATCTGAGATTGGCTTTGTATACATTTCAAACAAGTATTCTTTCACAGCACGGCAACTCATATCTTCGATATATTTCGTTAGATTTCACTGAAACACTTCGTATTGGTGACAAAGTCCATTTGTCAGTTTATTTTGAACTGTATGAGGAATTCAGGGCTTCATGTAAAGGAAGATGGTGTTGAATTTTATGGACCCAGAAACATAACCGACATACATGTGACGTGATTTTATAAACACTATGTAATATGGCTGAAACTTCACTTTGACGTTTGCGTATTTTCCAAAACATTCTCAGCGATTCTCGGTTCATTGATAATGTTTCAGAACGAGCATTGGTGATTCGATCATACAACAACAAAACTACTGCTGATCACAATGATACATCTTTTTCTTTTAAATTCAATTCTCCCAGTAAAATTTGACATTTTACCATAAATTACGCAAAACGCAGTGAATGGTGATTTAGTAATGTGTCAAAACTGGCGAGATTTACGATGCATGTAATTTTCAGTAAAATTTTATCTACAATCAGCGGATGCTATCATAGAAAAACGAATTTCAAACAGTGTTCAAAACTGCAAATTGCATTTATCTGCGTGATGTAGAGTACTATCGATATAAAAAGTGAATTAGGTGGAAGAGGAGTGACATATCGTACGATTTATGTAAGAACTTTAGTAACAAACGTAGAATGCCGGCACATTCACCGATGGCAAGCAAGATGTAGTGCATATACGTTTCATAGGTTTCATGAAAAAAGGTACTGTTGGAAAGACGACCGACTCAGGTTGTATATGTTCTACAATTTGGTTACGTGGTAACACTCTTAGTACAATGTATACGTTTTTTCAAACTGCAACGTCATTACAGTGTAGAACTGACCACATAGCCAGGTGACGGCCAAGCAACAGGTGGATTAAAACAGGAGCCTGCGCATCGAGACACAAGAACCACACCTATACCTGCACCACGTGAAATGGGTCTAATAAGGACACGACGGGCCATTAACAGTTCTGTTGTCAAATGACGTCACGCTCCATCATGACGTCATAAATCTTGTTCTTGATCTAACAGTGTTGGGTCAACAACCCTGTTGCGAGTTTTTTAAAGTAAACTTACAATTAAATTACGATACTGTTCTGACATTTTTAGCACAAATTCCACCCATTTTGTTACATTAGCAGAGTTAATTGAAGACGTAGGCTTTTAGCAAATGACAATGTCCTGAAAACAGCGTTACCCCTATAGTGTATGGATACATTCAAAGGTTTTGGTGAATCGGTTCTAAAATTGCGACAGTACATGCTGATTATACAGTCAGAAATAAACAGCATTGACCAATCCGAACTCGTGTTACATTCTAAGTTGAATTAGAATTGCCCGTAAAGCCATTGTAACTATTGTCTTTATAGATACATGTATAATGAGATTACTACACAAGTGTCTGTCAGATAACATTTACCTTACAACGAGTTGTTTCAAAACGTATCTAACGAGCGAAGTAAATAGTTAATTAGTAAATAGTCTCATAATTTCAAAGTATAGTTACGCTATTCATACTTATCTGTGAGGATTGATAGGGTAGGCTAGATTTTAAGGCCATATATAAAAAAAATGTGTTTCACATTATTGCCCGACCCAAAAATTCGACCCGACCATAAGATATCTTTTATTTTTTACATTAGAGAAAATGCAACTTTCATTCTCAAAATGTGCATGAGTTATTCACACTTCTAAGTTTTGATTTTCTATCGGAGAAAATTAAATTTCCACAGAAATCAAGGGGTTTTGGACATAAAATAAAATAAAAAATGTAAAAATAAAATCCGCCCGCCCGACCCATATGTTTTTTAAAAAATGATGAGAAGCAGGACTATTTGTTTATGTGACCTAACCAGGTTCGTGGCCCATCGTGGATTAATGTGAGAAGCACATTTGTGTTTTTCCCCGCCGTGATATTGCTGGGATATTGCTAAATTCATTCGATCAACAAGCATGAACGCCGCTTGGGAAGGCTTACCGGTGTTGTAGTCGTGTATCTCGGACACCATGTTGGTGCGGTACGTAGACGCCGTCGGCACCGGCCGGTACTGGAACTTGGACATCTTCGTGGAGAAGTCATACCATTCCTGTAAACAGTGACCGGGTAAGCTTAACACGTGTTTGTACAGTGTAATAATGAGTGGTTACAAACAAAACTTGAATACTTCAAGCTGTCATTGTTAAAAGGGATATTTCAGGGTGAGAGTGGTTGTTTACACACAGCAATATGGCGGCATGGATGTTTTAGGGTTGATGGGAAAGGGTGGTCGATTTTCATAAACTATGCAAATTAGTTGCAAGAACATTGTTTCGTTAGTCGTATATAATCTGAAGATCCTGTCCAGATCTGCATCTCTTACCCACATAATACCCGTGAAGATCCGGGTTATAATTGATCTTCAGCAACCCATGCTTGTCGTAAGAGGCGACTAACGGGATCAGGTGGTCAGGCTCGCTGACTTGGTTGACACATGTCATCGGTTCCCAATCGATGCTCATGCTGTTGATCACTGGACTGTCTGGTCCAGACTCGATTATTTACAGACCGCCGCCATATAGCTGGAATATTGCTGAGTGCGTCTTAAAACTAAACTCACTCACCCACTTACCCACATGAAGGTTACAAAGCTGGATGTTGGGACAATCAGCTCTGACTTCATCTTGAAATACATGCCGAACTGGGGCAAGGGCTTGGTGTTCTTCCTCCCCGGGCAGATAGTGTTGTCTGGCACCTTTCAGAGACGTCATACACATTCAATATAATACACATTACATTCCAGGGAAGACCAACTACAAACAGTGTAGACTGTACAGTGAAGATTCAGTTCACAGATAGATTCATTTTCTCGTGGACCTATACTTGAAATATAAAATGAAAATCTTAAGTTCTTGATCATTAAGATGTTCGACTGGAGGTAAGCAGTTTTAATTTGAAAGTTTACGGAAGGAAGATGTCCATTTGTCCTGCCATTTCGTTAAACTACTGGAACCAAAGAGCGTAACAAATTGTTAATTAACGTAACTAATTAACAATAGTGGTACGATATGGATGGACATAATTATACCGGGGAAACTATGCACATCAGAATGGTTGCAATATGTACAATTTTGAGCAAATGTAAATATGCTCGCCGATGGGCGAGTTATTTTCACAACGCCCTAAATTACCCGAATTAGGGCAAACTGAGTCAAATTTTGTGTCAAGATACTTATAAAGATACTGTTATTCTTTTACAATCTCCAAAACACGAAAAAAACATTCATTTCGAGCGAGGTAATATATATTTTGAGTTTTCGAAAAAAAAAAGTTTTCATTTTCCATTCTTAGCATATACTGCATGTTGAATTTTGTCAAATCCTTTGTGAGAAATTGGCCATAGCGCCAAGAGTTTCTGGAATTTGGGGTTCCCAGAACTAAACTGTGACCTGTTACATAATCTTGTCGGGTTTAGCAGTGTAATCAAGAGGGTAAATGAATGTGTGAGTGCATGCGTGCGCGCGTGAGTGCGTGAGTGCGTGCGTGCATGCGTACGTACGTGTGTATATGTGTGTGTCTCTGTGTTAAGAAAAAACATACGTTACCAGGAAATTAAATATTTTGGCCAGTAAACACAACGCCTAAATTAACACAGCCCGTGAAACGCTTTACCTCGAAGACTTTTGGACCGAGGTCAATGTAAGGGAGAAAATCCGAGAACTCGTAGATGTGATCAAAGTCGTAGGATGTTGTGGCATCCGTGAAGCGTCTTCCGGTCACGTGACATCGCACAGGCACCTGTTTCGTGTTGGACGCCGTCTGCCATATGTTCTGAGCTTATGGAATATAGTGTTTTATCAGCATTTCACCCCTCGACCATTGCTAAAAGCGGCGTAAAACCATACTCACTCACCCACTAACTCCAATTTCACACATATGTGACTTGGCTAAGTCATTAGTCGTAATTAAAAAAATATTTAACTTCTATGGCAATTATAATATGGTGTGTCGAACATAATTTTTAAGCCATTATATTATAGTGCAGAGATATCACTCACTCACTCACTCACTCACTCGAGATCTGCCGTTCATTTTCTTTGTCTTCGTTATGTCCGTATTTGAGGCATGGAGAGAAAATGCTTTGTACATTGCTATCTTATTTTGTATGGCCATTGTATACCTATAGCTATTTGACCTAAGAATGACCTTCACTGACCTGTGTAGTACCACGTGACGTTCATAGTGGAGTCCAGCGACTTCCAGTAGACACATGACTTCCACGCGTCCGTCTGGATACCTCTCACCGTCTGGCGACCTAGGTACATCTCGGGGATGTTCCCGCCAAACTCGAAAGCGCTACCTGCCGGGTAAGTTCCGTCAGAGCCATTCCTGAACCTCTGCAGCCCAAACATGAAGTTGTTGTCGGATGTCGCGAGATCCTGGACTTTGCAGGTCGGATTTCCGGAAGCTAGGGAACAAAGCGTTTAAGTGTAGTGATCGGTTTAAATTATATAGCTGCATGATCTTAACAAACCATGACATACATATGGTTGAGTTGAGTTGAGTTGGGTTTTGCGTCACATCGGCATTATTCCAGCCATATAGTGACGAGAACAAGTTTGCATTAATAAACATTATAAGTACATACTCGGAATGAGTTTTATTTCAAAAACATATATTCATTACATTGTCATTTAAAAGCAGAAAAAGTCATAGCATCAAATTTATAGGCAGGCAATTTGTTAGTCACATTTCACAGTTACAATTTATGATAGTTTCATTTCACAGTTATAATTTTTGATACAGATCAACTTCCCTCAGGTAGTTCACTATCAGATAAGCGCTCACGCGTGAGAATAAATCTTTTAGGTTTGTTGCATCATAATGTGAGTCCCTTGCAGACGAATATGCTTGATGGTGAAAACCTCATCGCAAGAGACACACATGGGGGGGTCCATCCCCATCTGTTTTCAGCAGATAGTCATGAGTAAATCGACTGTGGCCAATACGACATCGTCGTAAAATTACCTCTTCACGTCTTGACTGACAACCCAAATAGGTATAACCAATTGTTGGTTTCAGTTCATACAGTTTATTTCTTCCTTCTTGAGTGTCCCATCGTTTTTGCATGAGGTCCCGAGTATAGCTTTTGATAGTGGGTTTGAAATCACTGTGCGGGATCAGCAGTTGAGATAAGGGTTTGTCAAGAGCTGCTTTTGTTGCAGCGCCAGCTTTTGTGTTACCTGCTATGCCGACGTGAGCCGGCAACCAGCAGAGGACTATGTCACATTGGCCAGTAGAGAGGTCGTTGTAAAGTTCCAAAATGTCCAGAATGATTGGGTGACTTGAAGTAACATTTTGAAGTGCTTGAAGGCAAGATAATGAATCTGTGAAAACGATGAAGTTTTTGGAATGATTCTACTGTTTAATATAGGTCAAAGCTGAAAAGATAGCTTTGGCCTCGGCAGTGAAAATGGAACTGTTGTCGGGAATCCTAGAGGAGACAGTCTTAGATCCAATGACTGTAGCACTGGCAACTTGGCCCTCATCCTTGGATCCGTCTGTGAAAATGGATCTATGGGTGTCATACTTGGAACGTAACTGGATGTATTCCTGCTGGAACATCAAGGGATTTGTTTCAGACTTTTTGAATTTAGTGAGGGTAAGATCGACCTGTGGTTTCACCATCTGCCAGGGGTGTGAAGACAGAAGTCGGTAAGGTCCTATGCTATTGAGATCAATTTTAGCTGCAGATATGTGTGGTTGAATTCTGATTCCAAGTGGTGGAACCAGGCTTGTCAGTTTAGGAAAAAAGTTTTCCTAGAGAGGGTTGAAAACACAATTGTATGCTGGATTGGACTGATCTGAACGTAGTTTAGTGATATACTGCAGTAAAAGTTTAATGTGGCGTTGTTCAAGGGAAGGTTCGTTAGATTCTGCATATAGACTGTCTACCGGAGAGGTCCTAAAAGCTCCCAGGCAGAGCCTCAGGCCTTGGTGGTGGATAGAATCTAATTTTTCTAAATTGCTTTTGCAGGCTCCACCATAAACAATGGAGCCATAGTCTAGTTTAGAGCGAACCAAAGATCTGTACAAGTGAAGGAGGGTAATCTGATCCCCTCCCCACTCTGTATTTGAAACGACTTTTAGTAAGTCCAGAGCCTTCAAGCACTTGGTTTTCAAATATTTTATGTGTGGCAAGAATAACAGGTGGCGGTAGAATATGAGTCCCAGGAATGTGGCCTCTTCTACTACCTTGATAGGAGTACCATCTAAAGATAGGTCTGGATCCTTGTGTGGTCTGTATTTACGACAAAAGTGAATACAATTTGTTTTGGATTTTGAAAACTTAAAGCCATTTTCATTGGCCCATTTTTGGATTTTGTTAAGGCAGAGTTGTAGCTGCCTTTCTATTGCGTGCATGTTCTTACCACGACATGAAATATTGAAATCGTCCACGAAAAGGGACCCATTAACACAACTGTTCAGGACGTTAGTGAGGCTGTTAATGTTTATGCTAATAAGGGTGACAGACAGGATGCTGCCTTGAGGGACGCCCTGATCTTGGTGGAAATAATCCGACAATGTGGAACCTAACCTTACTTGAAATTGTCTGTTGTATAAAAACTGAGATATGAACTGAGGTAATCTGCCCCTCAATCCAAATTTATGTAAATCTTTTAAGATACCATTTTTCCACGTTGTATCGTATGCTTTTTCTAAATCGAAGAAGATAGATGCAGTATGTTGTTTGTTGACGATGGAATTTTTGATGAAAGATTCCAGACGCACCAGATGGTCAATGGTACTTCGTTTTTTTCGGAAACCACATTGGAGGTCACTAGGGAGGTTATTGGTCTCCAGGTACCAGATTAATCGATTGTTGACCATGCGCTCCATGGTTTTACAAACACAGCTAGTTAGTGATATAGGACGGTAGTTTGAGGGATCGGTATGCTCCCGGCCGAGTTTTGGTATAGGGATGATAATGGTGTTGTGTCACGAAGGAGGAAAGTTGCCGGTTGTCAAAATGTCATCAAAAATATTGAGTAGAGTTTCCAAACTTGAATCAGGAAGGTGTTTCAGAAGCTGATAATGAATAGTCAAACACTTCACAACCACCCCTCTCTAAGACCAGATCACCCACCCCGTTATTGCTTTACATGTAGGCACGCATGCACACTTCAGTCAAACACTTCACAACCATTCCACTCTCAAACCAGATCACCCACCCCGTTATTGCTTTACATGTAGACACGCATGCACACTTCAGTCAAACACTTCACAACCATCCCACTCTCAAACCAGATCACCCAACCCGTTATTGCTTTACATGTAGGCACGCATGCACACTTCAGTCAAACACTCTACAACCTTCCCACTCTCAAACCAGATCACCCACCCCGTTATTGCTTTACATGTAGGCACGCATGCACACTTCAGTCAAACACTTCACAACCATCCCACTCACAGACCAGATCACCCACCCCGTTATTGCTTTACATGTAGGCACGCATGCACACTTTAGTCAAACACTTCACAACCATCCCACTCTTAAACCAGATCACCCACCCCGTTATTGCTTTACATGTAGGCACGCATGCACACTTCAGTCAAACACTTCACAACCATCCCACTCTCAGACCAGATCACCCACCCCGTTATTGCTTTACATGTAGGCACGCATGCACACTTTAGTCAAACACTTCACAACCATCCCACTCTCAAACCAGATCACCCACCCCGTTATTGCTTTACATGTAGCACGCAATGCACACTTCAGTCAAACACTTCACAACCATTCCACTCTCAAACCAGATCACACCCACCTCACGTTATTTAGTCAAACACTTCACATGTAGACACGCATGCACAAACACTTCACAACTATTCCTTCAGTCAAACCCTTCACATGTAGGCCGCATGCCCACTCTCAAACCAGATCACCCATCCCTCTTATTGCTTTTCACATGTAGGCACATGCATGCACACTTCAGTCAAACACTTCACAACCATCCCACTCTCAGACCAGATCACCCACCCCGTTATTGCTTTACATGTAGGCACGCATGCACACTTTAGTCAAACACTTCACAACCATCCCACTCTCAAACCAGATCACCCACCCCGTTATTGCTTTACATGTAGGCACGCATGCACACTTTAGTCAAACACTTCACAACCATCCCACTCTCAGACCAGATCACCCACCCCGTTATTGCTTTACATGTAGGCACGCATGCACACTTTAGTCAAACACTTCACAACCAGATCCCCACTCTCATGTAGGCAACCAGTCATCACTTCACAACCATCCCACTTATTGCAGATTTATTGCTTTACGTAGGCACGCATGCACACTTCAGTCAAACACTTCACAACCATCCCACTCTCAGACCAGATCACCCACCCGTTATTGCTTTTACATGTAGGCACGCATGCACACTTCAGTCAAACACTTCACAACCATTCCCACTCTCAAACCAGATCACCCACCCAGTTATTGCTTTACATGTAGGCACGCATGCACACTTCAGTCAAACACTTCACAACCATCCCACTCTCAGACCAGATCACCCACCCAGTTATTGCTTTACATTATTGCTTTACATGTCAGGCATTGCATGCACACACTTCAGTCAAACACTTCACAACCATCCCACTCTCAGACCAGATCACCCACCCCGTTATTGCTTTACATGTAGGCACGCATGCACACTTCAGTCAAACACTTCACAACCATCCCACTCTCAGACCAGATCACCCACCCCGTTATTGCTTTACATGTAGGCACGCATGCACACTTCAGTCAAACACTTCACAACCATCCCACTCTCAGACCAGATCACCCACCTCGTTATTGCTTTACATGTAGGCATGCATGCACACTTCAGTCAAACACTTCACAACCATTCCTCTCTCAGACCAGATCAACCATACCCTGTCACCCTTACCCGCACATTCAGTCCCGCTCACACGCATCCAATCTCCCAACCCTATCGCCGTCTGCCTTCCCCACCTTCCCAATTGTAGGGTTGGGTATTGTCCAAACTTTTCGTATTGCGATATATTGTGATATGTGTTGGCGTGCTACAATATGTATTGCAATATATTGTGAAAGTGTAACACATGCTTTAAGGTAAAGAAATTACTGTTTCATTTCGTTTGAAACAATGCCACTGGCCACTGTCAGGACTCAGATGTATCTGTACAAGAGATCAATTGAAAATGTTTCCAAACTGATGGTCATGAAGATTTCGCTTTAAAGTTTGGAACTCGAGAAAAGGAGTCTGCAGCGTCGTCCGCCATTTGGTTTGCCGGTAACCAATCTATTTTTTTATATATCTATATGGTTTAAACGTCACGCAAATGCAATTGTATGAACAATAAACAAAACTATTCTCAAAATATATTAATGCACAATGATCGTATATCCGGTTCGCGAAGTGTAAATATAAAAGTTCGAATTATTACCGGTAGGTTTATGACACCCACCCTACCGATAGACATCATCCCCTCTATACCAGAAATTATCACCGGCCACTGATCGTCTCCATTCTCCACCCCCACCCATCACCGGTTCGCGTGTCATAGTGTACCGCAATATATCGTATTGTGAAGTTCATACCTCATCACCGACTGTTCTCCACTGCCGATAATGCAATATTCTCCACCGGTTAACCGGTATTATCAACCCACCCTCCTACCCACCCCCACCCATCACCGGTATTATCGCCCACCCCTCCACAATTCATCCCCTCTATACCAGTGTCATACCTCATCACCGGCCACTGTTCTCCACTGCCGATAATGTCACCACATCTCCATTCTCCACCCCCACCCATCACCGGTATTATCGCCCACCCTCCTACCCATACCATACACGATTCATCCCTCTCACCGGCCATACTGCAGTGTCGCCCACCCCTCCTACCCATACATCACCGGCCACACCGGCCACTGTTCTCCACTGCCGATAATGTCACCCATCTCCATTCTCCATTCTCCACCCCCACCCATCAAGGCTGATCCTCACCTTTCACGCCTCTCCCCTTACCTGGCTGAGGGTTGATAACAAGCAGCTCGTTGTCGTTGTAGTAGTAGTAGCCCAGAGCTCTCAGCCCTTGGGATGTCTGTGACACCAATGCCCTGTTGTTGCTGCCGTCGTACCATTCCTGAGAGTCGACGGTGTTCTGGTTGTTGAGGATGTTGCATTCAGTGTGCACGGAGTACACCGACGGGAGCTTAGGTCGAGTCGGGCCTGGAGTACACAAGACGAATACAGAAACTATACATCCGGAAGTGACGTCATGACTCACAATAAAGGCGATACTTACACACACAATACTCGCACACTCAAGTGGACAAACCCATCAGGCAGACAATACACGAACTCATGGAGGGAAACAGCGTTATAGCTAGTGGTTTGTAACATTATTTCCGGCATAAAATACAGATTTTTTTGTCGTGTCTGATACAGAAATGACACCTAGCACACAGGGCTATACCAGTCTGTCACTTAATGGGCACACATGCACGCAGGCATAAATTCGCACTCACTCGTTCACTCACTCACTCACTCACACCCGCAGACACACACTCACTCACTCTTTCACAATCTCACCCACCCACTCACTCACTCACACACCCACTCACTCACAATCTCACCCACCCACTCACACTCACTCACTCATTTACTCACTCACACACTCACTCACTCACTCTCACACACACACACACTCACTCACACACCAACACACTGACTCACTCACTCACTCACACACTCACTCACTCACTCACACACACGCACGCACGCACTCACTCACTCACTCACCTGTGTTTGTGTTTTGCGGGGGAGTACACACACTGTCATCTTTCCCATGTAGCACCGAGAGAACCGGCACACAGAGTAGACACACGATGAGGAGATTCAACATTCTACAATCAAACAGTTTAAAATCAATCTGTAAACCACTAGGCCACCCCTAGTATATATATGACAAAAGAATACCAATGTTACCAAAACGTTACTAAGTTGAAAACACCCGTGTACAAAACCCATAACAACTATGATATCCGAATTAATACATTACGATTGGATCTGTGAAGATGAAAATGATATCAAGCAGCCCCTTCTTGCGATCGCGGGATCACAGTTCGAAGCTTACATTCCCAATCAACACAAAAGATCCAGATAGTTCCACCATATTGGCAACGGGATACAATACAATGATTTCAATGATGACTCAGATTTACAAATCGTATAGGAACTCTCTTAAAAGATTAGCAATCGTGTCAAGTTAATATATGAAGTAAGATCAACATATTCATGCTCTTAGAAGGCTTCGTGTGTGTGTCCTGTAAAATATAGTATATGCGTAAAAGTTCGTTAAATGATACATATGACGGCTCAACAAAGACGAGTTGTATTCTTTCTTCTTTTATTACCGACGTAGACCCACTGACGTGCAATTGCGGGGTAGAAATTCTATGCGAGAAGTGCTTCTCATGGGGTACATGTGTTCACGCTGTGCGTGCATGAGCGCAAACAGGAAACAAGAAAAGATAACTCTAGTTGTCACTAGCACAGTTGAATAGAAGCGTTCGTAAAATGTCAATAACCATAGCAGAGCTGGTACAATCACCTGCGCAGAATGACAATACACCCGGTAACTTTGGAGTGGGACGAATCACCGTGGGACGAGAGGTTTAAATTTTAAGTTTACTATACAGAGTTCTGATCCGCTGACAACTGGTTCGAATCCCACGTATATATTATTCCTGCTTTGCCAGAACCATGGCCGTGTGTGCGTTTTGTCCCAATTGTGATGCACTAAGGTGAACACAGGCACCAAGGTAGGCCTTCATCTTCACATTTACGTGGCACGCCCTGACATTACACAGAACAGCGTCACACAACATTCGCTCCAAAGCGGCGTACGCAACACGCACACTATCGCATAGTTATGAATTATAAGTGAGTGAGTGAGTTAATATTTAGCGTCACATTGGCAATGTCGTGACGAGAACAATTTAATTTATATCAATATTAAAACCAATAAATTTAGAACGTAAAAAACTGTCATGGAAGGACAATAAAAATACTAGAGTATCACAGATATCAATTTAAAACTAGTACGCTATCATCAAATTGAGTCACTGCAGACAACAATACAATATATAAACGGGCTATAGATCACCGGCAACTGAATGTTGACCACCACACTAGGGACCATGGGCATGAATTATAAACGCCCATAAGGACATATACATTGTATACAACAGGAACATAACCTCACGACCATCTACAACATCTTATTGATATCATATACACTGGAGCACATGACTGAAAATAAACACCGGTAAGGGTTATATTGCGTTACTTAAGGTAATGTACGTATTTCATGTTATGAGTTGAAATACACAACTATGAAGCATTTTGTTCAAACACTATTGTCACGTTGAGGTAACGTACCTGTGGATCGGCCAGTCCAAATAACTAGGTCAGCATGAGATTTGACAATAGATAGATGTACATTGCACGCAAGACGGCTTGGTATGACTGATAACGCTGGTCTTGTTATCGTGGCTTGTACTGAACCTTTGAAATCTCAAACGCACGTAAAGCCTTGACGAGCAGCTACTGAAGCCGTCTTGGTGAATACTTGAACCTCATTAATCCGGACACATTCATGGTATCCCATTAATGTAGATCGATGCTCATGATGTTAATCAATAGATTGTTTGGCCAAAACTCGAATATTTACACACCGCCGACATATAGTTGGACTATTGCCGAGTGCGACGTAAAACAACAACCAACCAAACATCCTGGTCCGATCATATGACACTCAGGGCATCGGGGCAAACAGCTACACTGCCCTGAAATTACCCCCCTTGGGCGTTAAACAACAACCAAACAAACACAGACTTAGGTATATAATGAACAAGCTTCAAACAACCTGAACAGGAAGTTAGATCATGTGATTGTACTGGCAGTCATATACTGTTGTGTCGACCTTTGATGCGTCGACCTTTGATGTGTCGACCTTTGATGTGTCGAACTTTGATGTCTTGACCTTTGATGTGTCGACCTTCGATGTCTCGACCTTTTATTTGTCGACCTTTGATGTCTCGAACGTCCGTTTGTCTCGAAGTGAAATCTCATCTTTATTATTGTGCCTATAAACCTTTTTAGGGGTTGTCAGGAGCCCAGATATTTGCTTCTTATTTTGGTCGAATGAACAAACTACGGTTATAACGAACTAAACATCACCACTGTATCTTACGATGCCAGTAGTTATAGCTGCCTGGGTAAAATCAACAAGACTATGTACCAGTCTATACTTGTAATCTCTTTGTCTTTATGTGTTATCTCTAATGTCGATACACACGGGAACTATGTTATTCATTTATTTGTTTTGTCTCCGGTATGGGATATGACTTCATGTTAATGTTAATATGTTAATAATATGTAGCTGTGGTGAAATTTAGTGAAACGGCTATTTCAGGACTGTTATACTAGCATGGCGACGTCGATGCACGTTGTGTGTGCATAAGCTTGCGTGCGTGTGTGCATGCGTGTGTGCATGCCTGTGTGCATGTGTGTGTGCAAGCCCGGAATATTGTCTTGTTTAATGAGCTACTTACAATACAATGCGGTGCTATAATAAGTTTTAACTTGGTTTAACGTGTATACACACTCAGAGACACCATACTGATTCCTTGTCGACCAGTGGAACATAAGGCAGGGCTACTGCTGAACAAATGAACTGAACTGTATTTCAAATAGCGGCATATGAGGTTGCATACGTGTTACAATCAAATATATCCATATAGTTATATAAAATATATTTGGAGTAGAGTATTTCATATATACAGACGAATAAGTAGTACATGATACATGTGCAAATAGGGTTGCATAAAGATACAAGTGAATATGTAATTCATATAGAAATATTTAGATGGAGTATTCTTACCGATGATTCTTGAAAACATTTATAATATTAAAACAGAATAAAGCGAGTTTTCTAAGAATACCTATCTTATTGAATAATGTATAAATTTTATGAAAATTCGGTCTGGTATAAAAATATGGCTTTGAATGTTAACTTTTACATTTATAAAGTGAGAACAAATAAATGAATCATGAAATTCATCGCCAATTTCATTACCATTACAAAGTTAACATATTCTATCATGTTTTTGATTATTGCTCCAGCGGCCTGTTTCAATGAATAAGTTATGACTTGCTGTTTTATAACTTAACACTGGCCTGGAACTCTTATCATTAAAAAATATCCAAATATTTACTTAACCTTGAATCTAAGTTAGATAAGGAGCTATATAAGATACCTTTTGATGAATGTCAAGATACCCTTTGATGAATGTCAAGATACACTTTGATGAATGTTACAATTCTTTTGAAATCTTTCAATATCGAAATCGCCATTCACTATCGAGCATTTAAAATCTCGAGTCAAAACAGTTTGACTTCAGGTTTTTATACGTAATCTCGGCTAAGCATAATAAATGTGAAAACAAATTTGATTGGTAAGGCAAAAATACATAATCTACAACTCCTTCGTTGTCATTTGTTCTCTTCAAACGTTTTGTTTTTCTTTACTCGTAGCACACTGTAATTTCAGCATCTGTCGAAATTTGGTGAATTGACGTAGAGAAAATATCATCACCCCGTTACCATCAGTATCGCTTACCTAACCGAAACTATTCTCGAGATCTAGAGATGAAAATTACTCTTGGTGACAATGCGCGAAAAGTGAGGCCACGTAGTGCGAGAAGATTGAAGTACACAACTATGACACAACGAACCAGTTATTGACTCTATGCTTTTGTACAGTATCTTGTCTTTTCTGACAATACAGCCAGTACAAACCAACAGTATTTATACATAGCAAATCAAGAACTCAATTATAGCACCAAACAAGCACTCACAGCTGACCGACTGACAGACACGTCAGACCTTATGAACGAAATCCCAATCGTTGGTCGATGTGCTCCAAGTATGCCCTACAAAAGGTACTTTGATGATGATGATGATGATGATGATGATGATGATGACGTCGGCGCCCATTGTTTACCCACTTTCCTAATCATGATGTCCAGGATAATGAAAGTCATCCTGTTGGTTAACATCAGAGACTTTCATCGTCTCATTATCAACGCAAAGCAACACAGTACAATGGAATCTGTCTATTACGGACTGGCCTGCCACCGAGACATTTGTCCGGATTTTACAGCAGTCCGGATTAGTCAAATTTTGTCCGTTACCGTAGACACTGCAATGATGAGTTACCTCCCTTTGTTCAGGACAACCAACAACTTGGATAGTTCTTTAAATTTTTGTCCCAACCGCTGACTATGTATTCAGCAGCGTCCGTCCGTACGTCCGTCCTTACGTCCCGATTCTTGTTAACGCGATATCTCATGAACTGTTGTACCCAAATTGTAATGTCTTCAGATTTGGTGACAGCCTACATTGGGGGATTCCGCAGACAACAGTCGATTTGGGTGACCTCGACCTTATTCTCAAGGTCACCACGACACTTTGACCACTTTTCCAATTCTTGTTAACGCGACATCTCATGAACTGTTGTACCCAATGTCTTCAAAGTTGGTTACAGCCTACATTTTGGGATTATACAGACACCGGTCGATTTTGGTGACCTTCATATAATGTTCAAGGTCGCCACTTTGACCACTTTTAAACTCTTTATAACGCGATATCTCATGAACTGTTGTCCCCAATGTCTTCACATTTGGTGACAGCCTATATTAGGGGATCACGTAGACACCAGTCGATTTGGTGACCTTGACCTTATTTTCAAGGTCACACTTTTCAAACTCTTGTTAACGCAATATCTCATGGACTATTTATTGTACCCAATGTCTTCAAATTGGTGACAGCCTACAACTGGAGGATTACGTAGACACCAGTTGATTTGGGTAACCTTGACCTTATTTTCAAGGTCACCACGACACTATGACCACTTTTCCAACTCTTAATTAACGCGATATCTCATGAACAGTTGTCCCCAATGTCTTCAAATTTGGTGACAGCGTACACTGGGGGATTACGCAGACAACTGTCGATATTAGTGACTTTGACCTTATCTTCAAGGTCATCACGCCACTTTTGACCACTTTTTAAACTCTTGTTAAAGCGATATCTCATGAACTGTTGTACCCAATGTCTTCAACTTTGGTGAGAGCCTACATTGGGGGATTACGCAGACAACAGTTGAAATTGGTGACCTTGACCTTATGTTCAAGGTCACCACGACACTTAGACCACTTTTCAAACTCTTGTTAACGCAATATCTCGAGGAACTACTGTACCCAATGTCTTCAAATTTGGTGACAACCTACACTAGGGGATTACGCAGACACCATTCGATTTTGGTGACCTTGATATAATTGTCAAGGTCACCACGCCACTTTGACCACATTTCAAACTCTTGTTAACGCAATATGTCATAAAACATTGTACCCAATATCTTCAATTATGTTGACAGCCTACATTGGGTGATATACAGACACCAGTCATTTCAGTCATCTTTTATCTGACAAAAATATAAAAAGTACTAAATATGTTATAAATACAGTGAAACCTGTCTAAACCGGCATCCCACGGGATCGAAATAAAATGCAGGTTTAGACAGGGTGCCGGATTAGACAGTGACGATCATTTTCCAACATGGCTGCCATTTACGCTCGTCAATCTCTCAATCTAGGGTACTGAGGGGAGTGTATTGGATTAAGGGACCTTGATTGGACTGCTCATACCCATGCCGCCTTTGAGCGTTTGATTCACCGCGTAGTCACTACTCCCTGGTTATCTAGCGTGCAAGAGGATTAATTAGTGTACTGGATTATGGGTCCTGGATTAGACTGCTCTTTCCAATGCCGGTTTAGACAGTGTTAATTACACTTAAAATTGCTTGTTGGGACCGGAAAGTCGTGCCGGAATACGGAATAGACAAGTGCCGGATTAGACAAAGTTGTAATGATCACAATATCGTTGTAAAATGGCGAGACCAAAATTGTATGCCAGTTTTGACAGTGAGCCGGATTAGACAGGTGCCGGTGTTGGCAGGTTTCACTGTATTCCGTTCTTCTTTAGCGGCGGGGGACATTGCCATATTAGTGGCAAAGACTTGTTTTATTTGTATTCAGTGCATGTAGTAACACACAACAATACATAAATACATACTCCGTGATGCTGTACACTACCCAACAGAGGAAGAGTTTTGATTGGCTTCACCATTTAGTCCCTTTCTCCAAAGTAGATGATAATTAGTGATGAGTGACACCCCCTCCTTTGGCTGGATGTCGTGTATTACAAACGGAGATAGGACAGAGATAGAACAGAGAGTTAACTCTCTTTGTCGTGCCAGAATCCAGTGAATCCCGATTCTTGGTTTGTCAGAGGGCAACGTTTGACAAAGCTCGCAACTCTTTCTGACAAGTTCAACTGTTGCATCTCCTTAATGTGCCAGAAATATACGATCGATAGTGTACAGATTCGCCCTAACATTGATGGATTCCCTGCACCATACCCATGGTAGAACATCCACTTCTGTAGGTCCGTTCGCCTCCTCTTATATGACTGTACCCGTGAAGATCCGGGTTAGAATTGATCTTCAGCAACCCATGTTTGTCGAAAGAGGCGACTAACGAGATCGGGTGGTCAGACTTGCTAACTTGGTTGACACATCCCACTAGCGTAGATCGATGCTCATGATGTTGATCACTGGATTGGTTGGTCCAGACTCCAATATTTACAGACCGCCACCACATAGCTGAGATAATACTGAGTACGGCGTTCAAACAACATTCAATCAATCCGATATGGCCAACACGCTGAGCTAAACAGCTCTGTAACCCAAACAAGGGGGTTGGTGAGGTGTCATCACAGCGCGGGATACCAACATTGGGCTTGTGAATCTAAATGTTGGGAATCGAACCCACGCAGTAGGCGTGATATGCCTAGTTTATTACCACTGGGCTCCCTTCATCTCAATTTCGGGCGGTGGGGTAGCCTAGTGGTTTAAGCGTTCACTCGTCACGCCGAAGACCCGGCTTCGATTCCCCACATGTGTGAAGCCCATTTCTGGTGTCCCCACGCTGTGATATTGCTGGAATATTGCTTAAAGAAGCGTAAAACCATACTCCCTCACTCACTCACCTCAATTTCACAATTTCATCATGAAAAAGAACTCAAACTGTGCAAGTTTAAAGAACAAGTTTATTTCAAAGTATTAAAAACATTAATGGTAATTGAATCTGAATTATGTGTCAAATTGTCGAATTAACATTGCTACCATATTTTACAGCTAGGGCGATGGTCTGTCAAAACATTGCACACCTTGATATCGGATAGTTCATCATTACCACGGAAGTATTCCAAGCCATTTCTACTGCACAAGTATAGATGCACGGCGGATAGGGGACGGGATTGGGGAATAGGGTGAGTGAGTTTAGTTTTACGCCGTTTTAGCAATATTTTGGGACACCAGAAAGGGGCTTCGCACTTTGTACCCATGTGGGGAATCGAAGCCGGGTCTTCGGCGTGAAGAGCCACAGGCTACCGCACCGCCCAGCTGGAAATAAGGATTGGGACGGTTCCGTAACGCAAACATCATACTTGGGAGCAATAAATATCTGTATTTATCGCCTATCAAAGTTCTGTCCATGCTTTTTATATTTTGATACGGAATGTATGATGAATGCGTCACTGAAGAAACTTTGGAGTTGTGTTTGAGTAATTTATCATCACAACTGTCCAGAATATTAGCAATTGGTAAATATTAAAAACAATATTTGTGATTGCGCATTTTTTAAGAAAAACAGAAAATTGGTAACGGAAAACATAAACATTGTATGTGTCGATTTCTATTCAAAAGATGAAGACGAAACTTTTGACAAAGCTACACCTGCTAATTAGTCTTTCATGTATTACGATTACTGTTAAGATAATGATTAAAATTACAATTTAGATTCGAGAAAAGTGACCACGAATAGCTCCATATACACCTCCAACAATACAGTAAACGTACAATACAAGTGAAAACGACAGGTACACTCACAAGTTATGTTCAATAGAAAACACCATGTTAAAGTGATATACTGAAGTCATAAAATGGGTCTCTTTTTCTGAAATACAGTGAAACACCGCTGTGTCGAACTTGAAGGGAAATAGTTCGAATTATCAGAAGTTTGACACGATCATAAAGAAGGAAAACGCAGGGACAAAGCTTTTGTTCGGGACAAAGCTTTTGTTCGAGACAACCAGATGTTCGACTCATCAAGGTTCGACACAGGGGTGTTTGACTGTCAGTACTATCACACGATGTTACTTCCTATTCCATTTGTTTCACGTCGCTTAGTATAAATGAGCACACCACAATTCGAGTGTCTGGTGTGGCCGACGCTGTAAACATTTTGCCCTTGGTTTCGAATGGATGAAAACATCGTGAACTGTCTGAGACACGACTAAGGACCCATCATCACTCCATCTCTTTCTCTGTAAATGTTTTCGGGGCGAAGCTGTTGGTGAAGGATCCGCCTCTGAACTTGTAAATGGCGAAAAGGATACCAAAGCCGATACAAAGTCCAATCACTATCATGGCAACGGCAAGTCCGGCCATTGCCCCTGCAATTAGAACAATAAAAACACATTAGACCAAGTGGACGGGTATGAATTTAGTTGATGTCAAAGCTTGGTACCACTTCATCGAAGGACTCGTGAAGACCCGGGTTAGAATTGGTCTTCAGCAACCCACGCTTGTCATGACAGGAACGAGGTTAAAGAATGATGGCCTTTTGGGTGATGGTTTCATACTTTCACACTTTAGTGAAACACAGGAGAACAGTTAAGGTCAGAGAAAACCTTGAAGCATGAATGGGCTAATTAGGATCTGAACCCGGCATCACAGACCAAGAGATGCCGCGCCTTAAACCACTGCGCCACCGAACAATGTCAGTTTGAGGTTTAATAAGGAAAATGTCTTTGAAGTTGTGTAAGCCATTCTGAAATATTTAATACTCATGCCAATAATGGTTGTCAACCCCTCCCCACCCCAATCCCACCCCTCTTCCCCACCCCCTCTCCAATTAAACAAATTGAAGGGGGTGACAACCATTATTGGCATGAGTATATTATAAGTCACCAAGCACCAAAAAACGACCAGCTAAACTTCTTATGATTGATTGATTGATTGATTTGGTGTGTATCAAGTCAGCGACCCTGACAATCCGATCCCGTTAGTCGCCTCTTAAGACAAGCATGGGTTTCTGAAGACCAATTCTAACCTGGATCTTCACGGGTCACCTGGTGGTTTGTACGTACCTCCACCGTAGCCCTTTTGGTGGGTGTCCCGTAATATTCGTTGACGACGACGTCCCAAGACTTTGCCGAGTACTTCTTTGCTGTCAGCGTTCCCTGTGGATGTAGAGGGTTGTCAATAAAACGGGCATCAAAACCGAAATAAATCTTACAAATTTAAATATAGCCCCAATAGCAGGAAAACTATTCATCTATTTTTTTCTTTGAATTTAATATAGCTAATTTTATAAACGAAACCAACTGTACGTTTGAATGGATTAATTGTTTTTCTGTCGAAAAGCCACGGGGAAAGGAAGACGACTACCTTTTCACAAATTGAATGTATGCTTAACAGAAGAAGTTAAGGAACACGAGATGGTCATGGCAGATGAACTACAGTAATGGATGCAGGGGATAGTTAATGTTTCTTAGCAGTATTTAAATAATTGGACCATGCTCTGAAGTATGGGCGGGGTATGGTATTAGTCTTCCTTTAGTTTTTAAGGTCGACTAAATTAACAAACATACATGGAGCTATTTTATAGGTGATCGTATGACTGCTAACAGCGTGACTATTACTTGGCTATTTCCAACACAATTACAGGATGGCAAGCTGCCAAGAATCAGTTCCCACTACATTGTTTTCTTTGTTTATTTGTTTGTTTGCTTGTTTGCTTGTTTGTTGTATAACGCCGCACTCAGCAATATTCCAGCTTTACGGCGGCGGTCTGTAAGTAATCGAGTCTGGACCAGACAATCTAGTGATAGACAGCATGAACATCTATCTACGCAAATGGGATACGATAACACATAATAAACACCATGCGATGACATGGGTGAAACATGTCAGCTAGCCTGACCGTCCGATCCCGTTAGTCGCCTCTAACGACAAGTACGGGTTGCCGAAGACTCGGATCTCCACGGGTCGCCATACATACCCCTACATTAGGAAACGATGCTGTGTCTAGTTGGAGCTGGAACTGTCCATTGTTGACACTGTTGGTGATTGAAGTGACGGCGTCGGCGAGGGGGATGTCTGTGAAGCCTGTGGTGACGTCTCCGGGTATAGGGGCCTTGTCAAGGATGGTGAAGCTCACAAGGACATCACCGGTACTGAAGTCCACCTGCAGCAGATAGGGACAACGGACACATTGCAGTATGCGAAATAGTTCCCTCCCTACACAGAACCAGTCATTAATATTCACTGTGTGTTTTCTCTAATACCTGAGTTTTCTACCCACTTCCTGTATGTTGTCCCCACTTCCTGTATGTTCTCCCCACTACTTGTATGTTGTCCCCACTACCTGTATGTTGTCCCCACTACCTGTATGTTCTCCCCACTACCTGTATGTTCTCCCCACTACCTGTATGTTCTCCCCACTACTTGTATGTTGTCCCCACTACCTGTATGTTCTCCCCACTACCTGTATGTTCTCCCCACTACCTGTATGTTCTCCCCACTACCTGTATGTTGTCCCCACTACCTGTATGTTGTCCCCACTACCTGTATGTTCTACCCACTACTTGTATATTGTCCCCACTACCTGTATATTGTCCCCACTACCTGTATGTTCTCCCCACTACCTGTATGTTCTCCCCACTACCTGTATGTTCTCCCCACTACTTGTATATGTCCCCACTACCCCACCCCCACTACCTGTATATTGTCCCCACTACCTGTATGTTCTCCCCACTACCTGTATGTTCTCCCCACTACCTGTATGTTCTCCCCACTACCTGTATGTTGTCCCCACTACCTGTATGTTCTCCCCACTACCTGTATGTTGTCCCCACTACCTGTATGTTGTCCCCACTACCTGTATGTTGTCCCCACTACCTGTATGTTGTCCCCACTACCTGTATGTTCTCCCCACTACCTGTATATTGTCCCCACTACCTGTATGTTCTCCCCACTACCTGTATGTTGTCCCCACTACCTGTATGTTGTCCCCACTACCTGTATGTTCTCCCCACTACCTGTATATTGTCCCCACTACCTGTATGTTCTCCCCACTACCTGTATGTTCTCCCCACTACCTGTATGTTCTCCCCACTACCTGTATGTTGTCTCCACTACCTGTATGTTCTCCCCACGACCTGTATATTGTCCCCACTACCTGTATATTGTCCCCACTACCTGTATATTGTCCCCACTACCTGTATGTTCTCCCCACTACCTGTATGTTTGCCCCACTACCTGTATGTTCTACCCACTACTTGTGTATTGTCCCCACTACCTGTATATTGTCTCCACTACCTGTATGTTCTCCCAACTCCCTGTATGTTGTCTCCACTACCTGTATGTTCTCCCCACTACCTGTATGTTGTCTCCACTACCTGTATGTTGTCCCACTACCTGTATGTTCTCCCCACTACCTGTATGTTCTCCCCACTACCTGTATGTTCTCCCCACTACCTGTATTGTTGTCCCCACTACCTGTATATTGTCCCACTACCTGTATGTTCACTACCTGTATGTTGTCCCCACCCTCCCCACTACCTGTATGTTGTCCCCACTACCTGTATGTTCTCCCCACCACCTGTATGTTGTCCCCACTATTGTCCCCACTACCTGTATATTGTCCCCACTACCTGTATGTTCTCCCCACTACCTGTATGTTGTCTACTACCTGTATGTCCCCACTACCTGTATGTTGTCTCCACTACCTGTATGTTCTCCCCACTAACCTGTATGTTGTCCCCACTACTTGTATGTTCTCCCCACTACCTGTATATTGTCCCCACTACCTGTATGTTGTCCCCACTACCTGTATGTTCTCCCCACTACCTGTATATTGTCCCCACTACCTGTATGTTGTCCCCACTACCTGTATGTTCTCCCCCCACTACTTGTATGCTGTCCCCACTACCTGCAATGTATACCTGTTGTTCCCCACTACCTGTATATTCTCCCCACTACCTGTATGTTGTCCCCACTACCTGTATGTTCTCCCCACTACCTGTATGTTCTACCCACTACTTGTATATTGTCCCCACTACCTGTATATTGTCCCCACTACCTGTATGTTCTCCCCACTACCTGTATGTTCTCCCCACTACTTGTATATTGTCCCCACTACCTGTATATTGTCCCCACTACCTGTATGTTCTCCCCACTACCTGTATATTGTCCCCACTACCTGTATGTTGTCCCCACTACCTGTATGTTCTCCCCACTACTTGTATGTTGTCCCCACTACCTGTATGCTCTGTATGTTCTCCCACTACCTGTATATTCTCCCACTACCTGTATGTTGTCCCCACTACCTGCATGTTCTCCCCACTACCTGTATGTTCTCCCCACTACCTGTATGTTCCCACCCACTACCTGTATTGTCCCCACTACCTGTATGTTCTCCCCCACTACCTGTATGTTCTACCCACTACTTGTATATTGTCCCCACTACCTGTATATTGTCCCCACTACCTGTATGTTCTCCCCACTACCTGTATATTGTCCCCACTACCTGTATGTTCTCCCCACTACCTGTATGTTTTCCCCACTACCTGTATGTTCTCCCCACTACCTGTATGTTCTCCCCACTACTTGTGTATTGTCCCCACTACCTGTATATTGTCCCCACTACCTGTATGTTGTCCCCACTACCTGCATGTTCTCCCCACTACCTGTATGTTCTACCCACTACCTGTATGTTCTACCCACTACCTGTATATTGTCCCCACTACTTGTATGTTGTCCCCACTACCTGTATGTTCTCCCAACTCCCTGTATGTTGTCCCCACTACCTGTGTGTTCTCCCAACTCCCTGTATGTTCTCCCCACTACTTGTATGTTCTCCCCACTACCTGTATGTTCTCCCAACTCCCTGTATGTTCTCCCCACTACCTGTATGTTCTCCCCACTACTTGTATGTTCTCCCCACTACTTGTATGTTGTCCCCACTACCTGTGTGTTCTCCCAACTCCCTGTATGTTCTCCCCACTACCTGTATGTTCTCCCCACTACCTGTATGTTCTCCCAACTCCCTGTATATTGTCCCCACTACTTGTATGTTGTCCCCACTACCTGTATGTTCTCCCCACTACCTGTATGTTGTCCCCACTACCTGTATGTTCTCCCCACTACCTGTATGTTCTACCCACTACCTGTATATTGTCCCCACTACCTGTGTGTTCTCCCAACTCCCTGTATGTTCTCCCCACTACCTGTATGTTCTACCCACTACTTGTATATTGTCCCCACTACCTGTATATTGTCCCCACTACCTGTATGTTCTCCCCACTACCTGTATGTTCTCCCCACTACCTGTATGTTCTACCCACTACCTGTATATTGTCCCCACTACTTGTATGTTGTCCCCACTACCTGTATGTTATCCCCACTCCCTGTATGTTCTACCCACTACCTGTATATTGTCCCCACTACCTGTATGTTCTCCCCACTCCCTGTATGTTCTCCCCACTACCTGTATGTTGTCCCCACTACCTGTGTGTTCTCCCAACTCCCTGTATGTTCTCCCCACTACTTGTATGTTGTCCCCACTACCTGTATGTTCTCCCCACTACCTGTATGTTCTCCCCACTACTTGTGTATTGACCCCACTACCTGTATATTGTCCCCACTACCTGTATGTTGTCCCCGTTACCTGTATGTTCTCCCAACTCCCTGTATGTTCTCCCAACTCCCTGTATGTTCTCCCCAGTACCTGTATGTTCTCCCCACTACCTGTGTGTTCTCCCAACTCCCTGTATGTTCTCTCCACTACCTGTATGTTGTCGCCACTACCTGTATGTTCTCCCCACTACTTGTATGTTGTCCCCACTACCTGCATGTTATTTCCGCTACCTGTATGTTGTCCGAACTACGTGTATTTCGTCCACACTACCTGTATGTTGTCCACACTATCTGTATGTTATCCACACTACCTGTACGTTGCCCTACTACCTGTATGTTGTCCCAACTAACTGTATGGTGCCCCACTACCCGAATGCTGTCCCTACTACCTGTATGTTGTCCACACTACTTGTATGCTGTCCCCACTGCCTGTCTGTTGCCCCACTCCCTGTATGTTGTCCCTACTACCCGTATGTTCTCCCCTCTACCTGTATGTTGTCCACACTAGCTGCATGTTGTCCCCACTACCTGTATCTTGCCCCACTACCTGTATGTTGTCCCCACTGTCTCTATGTTGTCCCCAGTGCCTGTATGTTGTCCCCAATCCCTGTATGCTGTCCCCCAAACTGTACGTTGTCCCCACTACTTGTATGTTGTCCCCACTACCTGTATGTTTTTTCCCCCAACCTGTATGTTGTCCCCACTACCTGTATGTTGTCCCCACTACCTGTATGTTGTCCCCAATCCCTGTATGCTGTCCCCAAAACTCTACGTTGTCCATACTACTTGTATGTTGTCCCCAAACCTATATGTTGTCCCTACTACCTGTATGTTGTCCCCCAACCTGTATGTTGTCCCTACTACCTGTATGTTGTCCCTTCTACCTGTATGTTGTCCTTACTACCTGTATGTTTTCCCCCCAAACTGTACGTTGTCCCCACTATGTGTATGTTGTCCCCCAACCTGTATGTCGTCCCTACTACCTGTATGTTGTTCCTACAACCTTTATGCTGTCCTCCAAACTGTATGCTGTCCCCCAAAAATTATGTTGTCCTTACTACCTGCATGTTGTCCCACTACCTGTGTGCTGTCCCCCAACCTGTATGCTGTCACCCCAACTTGTAGGTTGACCCTACTACCTGTATGTTGTCCCCCAACCTGTATGTTGTCCCCACTACCTGTATGCTGTCCTCCAAACTGTATGCTGTCCCCCAATAATTATGTTGTCCTTACTACCTGTATGTTGTCCCTACTACCTGTATGTTATCCCCAAACCTGTATGTTGTCCCTACTAACTGTATGTTGTCCCCAACCTGTATGCTGTCCCCCAACTTGTAAGTTGACCCTACTACCTCTATGTTGTCCCCACTACTTGTTTGTTGTCATCACTTCCTGTATGTTGTACCCACTACCTGTATGTTGTCTCCACTACCTGTATGATAGTCCCACAACCTGTATGCTGACCCCATAGTCTCTATGTTGTCCCCACTACCTGTATGTTGTTCTTACTACCTGTATGTTGCCCTCACCACCTATATGTTATTTGCACTACCTGTATGTTGTTCCCCAACCTGTATGTTGTCCCCACTAACTGTATGCTGACCCCATTGTCTCTATGTTTTCCCCACTACCTGTATGTTGTCCCTACTATCTGCATGCTGTCCCGAAACCTGTATGTTGTCCCTACTACCTGTATGCTGTCCTCCAAACTGTATGCTGTCCCCAAACATGTATGTTGTCCTTACTACCTGTAGCTTGTCCCTACTACCTGTATGTTGTCCCACTACCTGTATGTTGTCCCTACTAGATGTTTGATGTCCCCTAACCTGTATGTCGTCCCTACTACCTGTATGTTTTTCCCCCAACCTGCATGTTGTCCCCACTACCTGTATGATGTCCCTACTACCTGTATGTTTTTTCCCCAACCTGCATGTTGTCCCCACTACCTGTATGTTGTCCCCACTAGATGTTTTCTGTCCCCCAACCTGCATGTTGTCCCTACTACCTGTATGCTGTCCCCCAACCTGTATGTTGTCCCTACTACCTGTATGTTGTCACTCTACCTGTATGTTGTTCCTACTACCTGGATGATGTTTGCACTAGATGTATGCTTACCCCAACCTGTATGTTGTCACTCTACCTGTATGTTGAACCTACTACCTGTATGTTTTCCCACTACCTGTATGTTTTTTCCTCCAACCTGCATGTTGTCCCTATTACCTGTATGCTGTCCTCCAACCTGTATGTTGTCCCTACTACCTGTATGTTGTCCCTACTACCTGTATGATATCCCCACTACCTGTATGTTGTCCCACTACCTGTATGTTGTCCCTATTACCTGTATGTTGCCCCCAAACCTGCTTGTTGTCCCTACTACCTGTACGCTGTTCCCCAACCTGTATGTTGTCCCTACTACCTGTATGCTGTCCCACTAAATGTATGTTGTTCCTACTACCTGTATGTTGTCCCTACTACCTGTATGGTGTCCCCACTACCTGTATGTTGTCCCACTACCTTTATATTGTCCCTACTCGCTGTTTGCTGTCCCCCAACCTGTATGTTGTCGACCAACCTGTATGCTGTCCCCCAACCTGCATGTTGTCCCTACTGCCTGTATGCTGTGACCCAACCTGTATGTTGTCCCTACTACCTGTATGTTGTCCCACTACCTGTATGTTGTCCCATTAGCTGTATGTTGTCCCTACTACCTGTATGTTGTCCCCCAACCTGCAACCTGCATGTTGTCCCTACTACCTTTATGTTGTCCCCCTGTAACCCTACTACCTGTGATGTCCCTACTAACTGGCCCCAACCTGTATGTTGTCCCCACTACCTGTATGTTGTCCCCACTACTCCTGTATGTTGTCCCTACTACCTGTATGTTGTCCCCACTACCTGTATGTTGTCCCCAACCTGCATATCCCTCCCTACTACCTGTATGTTGCATGTATGTCCCTACTTCCTGTATGCTGTCCCCAACCTGTATGTTGTCTCCTACTACCTGTATGCTGTCCCCAAATTGTATGTTGTCACTACTACCTGTATGCTGTCCCCAACCTGTATGTTGTCCCCACCACCTGCATGTATGTTTGCCCTACTACCTGTATGCTGTCCCAAATCTGTATGTTGAACCACTACCTGTATGCTGACCCCTAAGTTGTGTGAACCTGTGTGTTGTCCCTACTACCTGTATGCTGTTCCCAACCTGTATGTTGTCCCTACAACCTGTATGTTGTCCCTACCTACCTGTATGATGTTTGCACTATCTGTATGATGTCCCCACTACCTGTATGTTGTCCCCACTACCTGTATGATGTTTGCACTATCTGTATGCTGTCCCCCAACCTGTATGTTTACCCCACTACCTGCATGCTGTTCCCAAACCTGTATGTTGCACCAACTACCTGCATGCTGTCCCTCAACCTGTATGTTGTCCCCTGTACTAACCTGTATGCTGACCCCTAAGCTGTGTGTCCCTACCACCTGTATGTTGTCCCCACTACCTGCATGATGTCCCCCAAATTGCATGTTGTCCCCACTACCTGTATCCTGTCCCCCAAATTGTATGTTGTCCCCACTACCTGTATGCTGTCCTTACAACCTGTATCCTGTGCTAAACCTGTATATTGACCCTGCCGTCTGTTTGTTGTCCCCCAACCTGTATGTCGTCTCCAGTACCTGTATGCTGTCCCCCAACCTGTATGTTGTCCCCACTACCTGTATGCTGTCCCCAAATTGTATGTTGTCCCCACTACCTGTATGCTGTCCTTACAACCTGTATGCTGTGCTAAACCTGTATATTGACCCTGCTGTCTGTTTGTTGTCCCCCAACCTGTATGTTGTCCCCAGTACCTGTATGCTGTCCCACAACCTGTATGCTGTGCTGTATGTTGTATCTTGGACCCTACTACCTGCATGCTGTCCCCAACCTGTATGTTGTCCCCACTATGTATGCTGTCCCCCAACCTGTATGCTGTCCCCACTACCTGTATGCTGTCCTCCAAACCTGTATGTTGTCCCTACTACCTGCATGCTGTCCCCTAACCTGTATGTTGTACCCCACTACCTGCATGCTGTCCCCCAAACCTCTTGTATGTTGTCCCCACTACCTGCATGCTGTCCCCAAACCTGTATGTTGTCCCCACTACCTGCATGCTGTCCCCACTACCTGTATGTTGTCCCCACTACCTGTATGTTGTCCCCACTACCTGCATGTTGTCCCCACTACCTGTATGTTGTCCCCACTACCTGTATGCTGTCCCCGCACCTGTATGTTGTACCCACTACCTGTATGCTGTCCCCACTACCTGTAAGCTGTCCCCAAACCTGTATGTTGTCCCCACTGTCTGTTTCTGTTCAAGCTGTATGTTGTCCCCACTACCTGTATGTTGTCCTTACAACCTGTATGCTGTCCCCAACCTGTATGTTGTCCCCACTACCTGCATGCTGTCCCCAAACCTGTATGTTGTACCTACTACCTGCATGCTGTCCCCAAACCTGTATGTTGTGTCCCTACTACCTGCATGATATCCCTAACCTGTATGTTGTACCTACTACGTGTATGCTGTCCCCCAACCTGTATGTTGTCCCCACTACCTGTATGCTGTCCCCAAACCTGTATGTTGTCCCCACTACCTGCATGCTGTCCCCAAACCTGTATGTTGTCCCCACTACCTGCATGCTGTCCCCAAAATTGTATGTTGTCCCCACTACCTGTATGCTGTCCTTACAACCTGTATGCTGTGCTAAACCTGTACATTGACCCGGCTGTCTGTTTGTTGTCCCCCAACCTGTATGTCGTCTCCAGTACCTGCATGCTGTCCCCCAACCTGTATGTTGTCCCCACTACCTGTATGCTGTCCCCCTACCTGTATGTTGTCCCCACTACCTGTATGCTGTCCTTACAACCTGTATGCTGTGCTAAACCTGTATCTTGACCCTGCTGTCTGTTTGTTGTCCCCCAACCTGTATGTTGTCTCCACTACCTGCATGCTGTCCCCAACCTGTATGTTGTACCTACTACCTGCATGCTGTCCCCAACCTGTATGTTGTACCTACTATGTGTATGCTGTCCCTCAACCTGTATGTTGTCCCCACTACGTGTATGCTGTCCCCCAACCTGTATGTTGTCCCCACTACCTGCATGCTGTCCCCAACCTGTATGTTGTACCTACTACCTGCATGCAGTCCCCCAACCTGTATGTTGTCCCCACTACCTGCATGCTGTCCCCAAACCTGTATGTTGTACCTACTACCTGCATGCTGTCCCCCAACCTGTATGTTGCCCCCACTACCTGCATGCTGTCCCCAACCGGTATGTTGGACCTACTACCTGTATGTTGTCCCCGCACCTGTACGTTGTACCCACTACCTGTATGCTGTCCCCACTACCTACAAGCTGTCCCCAAACCTGTATGTTGTCCCCACTACCTACAAGCTGTCCCCAAACCTGTATGTTTTACCTACAACGTGTATGCTGTCCCCAACCTGTATGTTGTCCCCACTACCTGCATGCTGTCCCCAAACCTGTATGTTGTACGTACTACCTGCATGCTGTCCCCAAACCTGTATGTTTACCCTACTACCTGCATGCTGTCCCCAACCTGTATGTTGTACCTACTACGTGTATGCTGTCCCCCAACCTGTATGTTGTCCCCACTACCTGTATGCTGTCCCCCAACCTGTATGTTGTCCCCACTACCTGTATGCTGTCCCCAAAATTGCATGCTGTCCCCACTACCTGTATGCTGTCCCCAAAACCTGTATGTTGTCCCTAACCTGTATGTTGTCCCCACTACCTGCAAGCTGTCCCCAAACCTGTATGTTGTACCTACAACGTGTATGCTGTCCCCAAACCTGTATGTTTACTCTACTACCTGCATGCTGTCCCCAACCTGTATGTTGTACCTACTACGTGTATGCTGTCCCCCAACCTGTCTGTTGTCCCCACTACCTGTATGCTGCCCCCCCAACTTGTATGTTGTCCCTACTACCTGCATGCTGTCCCCCAACCTGTATGTTCTCCCTACTACCTGCATGTTGTCACCAAACCTGTATGTTGTACCTACTACCTGCATGCTGTCCCCAAACCTGTATGTTTACCCTACTACCTGCATGCTGTCCCCAAACCTGTATGTTGTCCCTACTACCTGCATGCTGTCCCCAACCTGTATGTTGTCCCCACTACGTGTATGCTGTCCCCCAACCTGTATGTTGTCCCCACTACCTGTATGCTGTCCCCCAACCTGTATGTTCTACCCTCTGTACGTTGTTCCCACCACCTGTATGTTATTCCCATTACCTGTAAGTTGCTAATCCTGATGGGTGTGATGCCGCCCTCCGTCACTGTTGTCTGTACGACGGCTAACTTGAACTTGCTGAGACTGGAAGCCACATCCTTGCTGTACGTTCCTGGAACATGAATCATAGGATTAATGAGTCATATATCCCTCCAGGTGTTAGTTGTTGATGGGAGGCAGCAATAGTATATGGGTCACTTCAGGACATGTCTAACCTGGGCATACAGATTGTGTTTTGGGGTGACAGTGGTGACTTGGTCTCACCTGGACAAACAGGTGATGTTTGGAGGTGATTGAGGTGTATGGGTCTCACCTGGACATATAGGTTGTGTTTGCAGGTGACAGTGGTGTCTGTGTCTCACGTGGACATACAGGTGGTGTTTGGAGGTGACAGTGGTGTCTGTGTCTCACCTGGACATACTGGTGGTGTTTGGAGGTGACAGTGGTGTCTGTGTCTCACCTGGACATACAGGTGGTGTTTGGAGGTGACAGTGGTGTCTTAGTCTCACCTGGACATTCTGGTGGTGTTTTCAGGGGACAGTGGTGTCCTTGTCTCACGTGGACATACTGGTGGTGTTTGCAGGTGACAGTGGTGTCTGTGTTTCACGTGGACATACTGGTGGTGGTGGTGTTGGAGGTGACAGTGGTGTCTGTGTCTCACGTGGACATACTGGTGGTGTTTGGAGGTGACAGTGGTGTCTGTGTCTCACGTGGACATACCGGTGGTGTTTGCAGGTGACAGTGGTGTCTGTGTCTCACCTGGACATACAGGTGGTGTTTGGAGGTGACAGTGGTGTCTTAGTCTCACCTGGACATTCTGGTGGTGTTTTCAGGGGACAGTGGTGTCCTTGTCTCACGTGGACATACTGGTGGTGTTTGCAGGTGACAGTGGTGTCTGTGTCTCACCTGGACATACAGGTGATGTTTGGAGGTGACAGTGGTGTGTGTGTCTCACCTGGACATACCGGAGGTGTTTAGAGGTGACAGTGGTGTCTGTGTCTCATCTGGACATACCGGTGGTGTTTGCAGGTGACAGTGATGTCTGTGTCTCACCTGAAGATACAGGCGGTGTTTGCAGGTGACAGTGGTGTGTGTGTCTCAACTGATTATACAGGTGGTGTTTGGAGGTGACAGTGGTGTCTTTCTCTCACGTGGACATACCCGTGATGATTGGAGGTGACATGGATGTCTGTGTCTCACCTTGACATACAGGTGGTGTTTCTAGATGACAGTGGGGTTAGAGTCTCACCTGAAGATACAGGTGGTGTTTGCAGGTGACAGTGGTGTCTGTGTCTCACCTGGATATACAGGTGGTGTTTGCATGTGACAGTGTGGTGTCTCATCTGGATGACCGGTGGTGTTTGGTGATAGTGGTGTGTGTCTCACCTGGATAGATACAGGTGGTGTTTGCAGGTGACAGTGGTGTCTGTGTCTCACCTGGATATACAGGTGGTGTTTGCAGGTGACAGTGGTGTCTGTGTCTCACCTGGACATACAGGTGGTGTTTGCAGGTGACAGTGGTGTGTGTGTCTCACCTGGATATACAGGTGGTGTTTGCAGGTGACAGTGGTGTGTGTGTCTCACGTGGACATACAGGTGGTGTTTGCAGGTGACAGTGATGTCTGTGTCTCACCTTGGCATACCGGTGGTGTTTGGGGGTGACAGTGGTGTCTATGTCTCACCTGGGTATACAGGTGGTGTTTGCAGGTGACAGTGGTGTGTGTGTCTCACCTGGATATACAGGTGGTGTTTGCAGGTGACTGTGATGTGTGTGTCTCACCTGTTTATACAGGTGGTGTTTGAAGGTGACAGTGGTGTCTGTGTATTACCTGTTTATACAAGAGGTAATAATGGATGACATTGTAGACTAGTATTGTTTGTTACCTGGGAAGGCCAACTGGAAAGCCTTTCTGTGGGTGTAGTTGAAGCAGGCAGAGATGTCTGTCTGCCAGATGTTGGGGTTGGCCTCGCTGTAGTCGTAGATGTTGTAGATGATGTTGAGTAGAGGCTGAGGAGAAGCGTGAGATGGATGTTTATAGCGAGTTCAAGACTGATCGGCTTTCCATGTCATCTACCGTGACAATAATTGTGAGAACCAACTGGGGCATTATTACGATCAGTTTAGCTCCTATTTTGAGATTAAACGAAAACAAGTAACGACACAATTTATTTGAGAATTGTCGTAATCTATACATAAACTGATAACATAGCACACGTATAATTTGCCTGTTCACATAAAGTATTTGACTGTGCATAGCCTGTGTGCAGTATGTATTAACATTAATCTGACAGTACGTACATATGACATTAATAACATTATCAAATCCGGTGACATTTATATTACATTAGCTGATATATGTGTCTTGCATCACCAGCCATGTTTCACAAAGGTATAAGAGATTAAACTCCTACACTTACGACAGTCTTCATCCTAAGGAAACCCTAACTCCCGGTGATATTAACTTCCATTCTTTAACATAGACTTACGACAGTCTTTATCCTAAGTACACCTTAACTCCCGGTGATATTAACTTCCATTCTTTAACATAGACTTACGACAGTCTTTATCCTAAGTACACCTTAACTCCCGGTGATATTAACTTCCATTCTTTAACATAGACTTACGACAGTCTTTATCCTAAGTACACCTTAACTCCCTGGTGATATTAACTTCCATTCTTTAACATAGACTTACGACAGTCTTTATCCTAAGTACACCTTAACTCCCGGTGATATTAACTTCCATTCTTTAACATAGACTTACGACAGTCTTCATCCTAAGTACACCTTAACTCCCGGTGATATTAACTTCCATTCTTTAACATAGACTTACGACAGTCTTTATCCTAAGTACACCTTAACTCCCGGTGATATTAACTTCCATTCTTTAACATAGACTTACGACAGTCTTTATCCTAAGTACACCTTAACTCGCGGTGATATTAACTTCCATTCTTTAACATAGACTTACGACAGTCTTTATCCTAAGTATACCTTAACTCCCGGTGATATTAACTTCCATTCTTTAACATAGACTTACGACAGTCTTTATCCTAAGTACACCTTAACTCCCGGTGATATTAACTTCCATTCTTTAACATAGACTTACGACAGTCTTTATCCTAAGTACACCTTAACTCCCGGTGATATTAACTTCCATTCTTTAACATAGACTTACGACAGTCTTTATCCTAAGTACACCTTAACTCCCGGTGATATTAACTTCCATTCTTTAACATAGACTTACGACAGTCTTTATCCTAAGTACACCTTAACTCCCGGTGATATTAACTTCCATTCTTTAACATAGACTTACGACAGTCTTTATCCTAAGTATACCTTAACTCCCGGTGATATTAACTTCCATTCTTTAACATAGACTTACGACAGTCTTTATCCTAAGTACACCTTAACTCCCGGTGATATTAACTTCCATTCTTTAACATAGACTTACGACAGTCTTTATCCTAAGTACACCTTTAACTCCCCGGTGATATTAACTTCCATTCTTAAACATAGACTTACGACAGTCTTTATCCTAAGTACACCTTAACTCCCGGTGATATTAACTTCCATTCTTTAACATAGACTTACGACAGTCTTTATCCTAAGTACACCTTAACTCCCGGTGATATTAACTTCCATTCTTAAACATAGACTTACGACAGTCTTTATCCTAAGTACACCTTAACTCCCGGTGATATTAACTTCCATTCTTTAACATAGACTTACGACAGTCTTTATCCTAAGTACACCTTAACTCCCGGTGATATTAACTTCCATTCTTTAACATAGACTTACGACAGTCTTTATCCTAAGTACACCTTAACTCCCGGTGATATTAACTTCCATTCTTTAACATAGACTTACGACAGTCTTTATCCTAAGTACACCTTAACTCGCGGTGATATTAACTTCCATTCTTTAACATAGACTTACGACAGTCTTTTATCCTAAGAAGATCCCAACAAAGAAGATCCCAATCTGAATGCTTAGAGGATTATGACCCATGGTGGAGAAGCAGGTGCCCAAACACCGGGTGTCTTACCGCCTGTGACGTAATCTGCAGCATAACGGGCAGGTAGAAGTAATTGTGAATCCCGGTGTTCTCCATCCAGTCGCTCTGCCATAACACATATCAACAATTACATTTGTAGCTCTTATGTTCGAATCACATGGAGAGTAGTCCTATAATACATGCAGTTTCTTAAGTGAGTGAGTGAGTGCATGTTTACGCCGCACTCATAAATATTCCAGACTATCCACTGATCAAACAGCATGACATCGATCTACGCAACTGGGAAGCGATAACGTGTGTCATTCACGTAAAAGCGAGCCTGACCACCAGTTGCCGTTAGTCGCCTCTTACGGCAAGCATGTGCTGCTGAAGATCAATTCTAACCGTACCTTCCGAAAGAAAGATGTAAAGAATGACAACTACTATCCAACAACTACTATTCAACAACTACTATCCAACAACTACTATCCAACAACTACTCAAAAGCAGTAGTTTAGTTAAATATAGTTAATCTGACAGCAGTGGTAGGTATCGTCACACAATTGCAGGCGTTCTTTCGCCATTGTGGAGGAACACGATATTTACTGTTCCAGAGAAGTTACGGTGTTTGTCCTATGCATATAACTTTTCTGTCAAGGTCGTGGGCTTTGAAACACAAATCCTGGTGCCCTTTAACTTTTGGTTCATTGGGTACAATATGCGTAGGGTACTTACGCTGGCGAAGTACCACTCCCAGATGCTGATGGCGGTGGGCCAACCAGCTGGGTAGCCGATTCTCCGGGCGGTCCACACGTCACAGGTGATACCACGTACAACTCGCTGTAACACGGAAACAGGGAGACATGACGTCACAGGGAGACATGATGTCACGGGGAGACATGACGTCATATGGAGACAATTATACTGGCCCGGTAGCTATTGGACAGTTATACCTAGGGGGCGATCAGTTAGTAAGAAGATGGGGATGAGCGATTTGGGGAGTCACGGGATTGTCACCAAAATATATGACAGTCGTAAGGGTACTCAATGCCATTAAGAAAGAGGTCAAATGTAACGTGTCATCTTGGGATTACAATGACTTCATAAAGTGCAGATTCTAGTACTTGTGTTAGGTTGAGTTCCAGAGTCAGCCATCTAACCCACTCAGCCAGCGGTATGTGTTGTTTGAATGTTGTTTAACGCCGCATTCATCTCATTTTCCAGATATATGGCGGTGGTCCGTACATAGTCGAGTCTGCACCATACAATCCAGTGATTGATATCATGAGCATCGATCTACGCAGTTGACATATGGTGACATGCATCATCAGCGAACCTGACCATTCGATCCCGTTAGTCGGCTCTTACGAGAAACAAGGGTTCCCGATGACCAATTCTGACCCGGATCTTGGTCCTGACACATTTTTAATGATTTTGAATGATATTAAAGCAAATGTTCACCACATTGTTCTAGGACCATTGTTAGGGACCTAGGAACTCATACCTGGCCAGAATATTCATATGAGTTATTGGCGAAGTCGAAGAACTCTTTGTTTGTCCTTATCCGAACATTTCCGGCGTCCAAAGATTTTGAGTCGAAGCCCGAAGCACTGATCTTGGTCACCGAGCAGTTGCCGATCATGGCGTCCATGATGTAAGCCACGCCTAAATACGAAGGAAGGACAACACAGTTAATGATTAACTTCCAGAAATTATTGGCTTAACCGAGAAAAATAATAGCGAAGGATTACATACCACCGAGAACAGCTATTTCGCTCTGAGTTATTATATTTATTACTTATTATCAGAAACTAATTAAAATGTGGGTTTCTTGATATCGAACTTAGATCTATCGGTCTGAGACGTAATTGGGTATTGTTTTAATGGATTATTCGGAAGGCAATAGTTCCAGCAACGACGAATACAGGATTCAACGGATCGTGTTTTGGTACTTGTATCACCATATTATTACGGCTTGTCAATGACTGATTGGTTGGTTGGTTGGTAAATAATCGAGTCTGGACCACACAATCCAGTGATCAACAGTATGAGCATCGATCAACGCAATTGGGATACGATAACATGTGTCAACCAAGTCAGCGAGCCTGACCACCCGATCCCGTTAGTTGCCTCTTAGTTTACAGAAAGGAGGAGCTTGGTTTGAAAATAAAAATTCCCGAAAATGCTTCTTACTATGAGTTGTAATTACATCGATATCACTCTGAATAAAGTGAGAGAGTAGTTTTACGACGCTTTTAGCAGTATTCCAGCAATATCACGGCGGGGGGAAACCTGAAATGGGCCTCAGACATTGTACCCATGTGGGGAATCGAACCTGGGTCCTCGGCGTGACAAGCGAACACTTTAACCACAAGGCTACCCCACCGCAACATTATGAGTAAAGATGCTATATAAACCAAGTCGTCGCTATATTAACTGGGACCGATATTATTCGCCCTGCGCATGCGTCCAGTGCCCCTTGGCAAGGCGGAGGTTGGTTTTGTTCTCAGGAATTTCGGACAGTATTCTAACGTATCTAATTAGAGAATAATGTATCCTGCTTTGATTAGGGCTGGCTATCGATATAGAGATTGATGGAAATTGTACCACAGAGAGGCTCGAACCCGAATCTTAGCCCTCGGTGGCAAACCCTTCAGCATCAAGCCTTAACCCCATGGGCACTAACACTTTCTGTTTGTGTTTTTCAATGTTCTTTAAACCCTGACAGGAGCAGTCCCGACAATCGAAAGGATGGAACCAACAGTGGATTCAAACTCATCATCACAGGCTACTAATTCGTGAGCTATTGTAACGGGGACTTATATAGCACAACACGTTGGCTTTGTGTGATGCCCGGGTGGATCAGCGTAAAGGTACAATACACTGCTACGGACCTGTGTTGAAGTCGTGTACTCGGATCAGCTTGCCATTGCCATAGGGACTTTGGGTGTTGGGGTCAACGCTGTAGTCGTAGCGGACGAGGTCGAAGTACCAGTCGTAGTACTCCTGCAAACAGACACATGGATACATCTTAAAAAACAACTGGAAAAAGGCATCGATCTACGCGAAAACAGGTGACATGGTTGGTTGTATTTGCGTGTCTAATAACGCTGCACGCCTGCCGACGTCAGTAAAATGTCGAACCTGAACCAGACAATCCAGTGACTGACACCATTAGCACCGATATTGGTAGTTACAACCATTATACCATTACAACCAGGGCCCTGTTCCTCAAAGCGATCGTAGCGCTAAGATGATCGTAACTCCCATACTTTAACATGGCCTTACGACTATCGTAGCACTACGATCGCTTTGAGGAACGGGACCTGGTCAACAAGCCTAAATACTCCATACCGTCAGTCTGCCTGTCACAGCAAGCATGGGTCTTCACGGTTGTCAGACCCGGAAGATATTAAACTATGGCACAACGTAAAGTAACGTGGTAAAAATTCAGCTTTGTCATGACTAAGAGTAGCTGGTGATTTTGACACTTGACTCCAGTGCCGTTTTATATACCCGTAACCCTCCAACGGTTCCTATGCTACGGTAGCCGTGTTCTACACTGCAAACACAAGGTGTCTATATCTTGATCCAGGCGTCTTTGAGTGAGTGAGTGAGTTTAATTTTATCAACAATATTCCAGCTATATGGTGGCGGTCTGTAATTAATCGAATCTGGACCAGACAGTCCAGTGATCAGTATGAGCATCGATCTACGCAATTGGGATAGGATGACATGTGTCAACCATGTCAGCCGAGTTTTATTCTGTGAAAGTACTGAAGAATTACAATTTAGCTTAGACAATTTCTCAACATATTGAATATTGTGGAGACTTAAAGTTAAGTTAGACAAAACCAAAATTGTAATATTTTCAAAAGGTTATGTATAAAGCAAATATAGGTTTAAACCGTTTTGATGAGGAAATTGAAATTATCATCTAAAACTGTGTTCCACAGGAGATATTGCTTGTGTGAGATCAAACGATATCTCCTAGGAGATATCGTTTTGACAGTAGATTTTGTACAATGCCCTAACAATGCTATGACGTCATGAACTTGATGATGTCACAATGCTATCACATCGCTGTACTGCAAGTCTAATGGCTGTACTGTGTTCAGAGATGCACATTTTTCATCGAAAACTAAAAAGAGTGATTTTTTATGATTAATAGAATCTCACTCTCGTGTCTTCTGATATCAAATATATCAACACTCGTTGATAAAACTAAAATATCCTTGGCAAGCCTCGGGTATTTGTAACTATATCAACTAGTGGTGATATATTTGATATCAAAAGACAATCGGATGAGATTCTCTATTTGTCCGATTATATCTATACTTGGGAATTCTATTTAACGTTTGCTAAAAAGAGACTTGCAGAACAAACAACAAAGTCGATGTTTTCTGTTTTCAACGCTATTAGTAAAATCCAAATTGACTGTCAGCTGAAACTTTTTGATCAATGCGTTTTACTAATTTCATTATATGGATCAGACGTTTGGGGGTATGAAAATGCAACTGTTTTAGAAAGGTTTTACTTCAAAATGTTGGGTTATCTTATATATGGCAGTCCCAAAGTTTTCCTTCCGCATCCTGGTTGAAAAACTATGTTATTTACACACTTATAGATCAGTTTAAGCAATCATGCCCTTCAACAATTCATCAAAAGGTAACTATTACTCGTTATATAAGCATACTCCCAATTTAGAACCTAATTTAATTAGCCTCCCATTGAAACAATGTGACAAAACTACGAACATGCAATCACAGATTACCGGTTGAAATCGGCAGATAGTATAATATAGACTTGGAAAATAGAATATGCACAATTTGTAACCACCCTGTTAAATGTGACGAATTTCATATTATCTTATCAAGCACAGCACTAGATGATGTAAGAAAAGGTATACAGCCTAGTTATTTGTGTAATAACCACCATATTGATAAATGTATTTCCCGTATGGAATCCTGATTCCTGATTTCCACCGATCCCGTTAGTCGCCTCTTACGACAAGCATGGGTTGCTGGAGACCGATTCTAACCCGGATCTTCACGGGTCCATGCGTCTTTTGAATGTGAGTAAGATGTTCCGCGGTCAGATTACCTGTCCTCTGACATACTTGAGAACGTTAATGCCCGAAATACCATGACTCTTAAAGCTAATACATATCATTATCCTGCTACCTAATTCAACCACGTGCAAGGCATAATACCCTCTAGGCGACCTAATAAGACTACCTTAATCCAGTTGAGGTAGTTGTTCATTGGTTCAAATATTTCCGCTGTGAATGTGAACGTCTTGGTGACGTTGGGTAGAGGCCGGGTTGACACTCGGTTCTGGCAGTACGTGCCGGCTGGCGTCTGTAACAAAGACACAATGAATAGCAACAACACAACTTATATGTGGAATCAAGGACATAATGTAAACATGGCAACAACACAACTTACACGTGGAATCAAGGACATAATGTAGGCATGGCAACAACACAACTTACACGTGGAATCAAGGACATAATGTAGGCATGGCAACAATACAGCTTACACGTGGAATCAAGGACATAATGTAGGCATGGCAACAACACAACTTACACGTGGAATCAAGGACATAATGTAGACATGGCCAGCAACTCAACTTACATGTGGAATCAAGGACACAATGTAAACATGGCCAGCAACACAACTTACATGTGGAATCAAGGACACAATGTAAACATGGCCAGCAACACAACTTACATGTGGAATCAAGGACACAATGTAAACATGGCCAGCAACACAACTTACATGTGAAATCAAGGACATAATGTAGGCATGGCAACAGCACAACTTACAAGTGGAATCAAGGACATAATGTAGGCATGGCTAGCACCACAACTTACAAGTGGAATCAAGGACACAATGTAAACATGGCAACAACACAACTTACACGTGGAATCAAGAACATAATGTCGGCATGGCTAGCAACACAACTTACAAGTGGAATCAAGGACATAATGTAGGCATGGCAACAACACAGCTTACACGTGGAATCAAGGACATAATCTAGGCATGGCAACAACACAGCTTACACGTGGAATCAAGGACATAATGTAGGCATGGCAACAGCACAACTTACATGTGGAATCAAGAACATAATGTAGGCATGGCTAGCATCACAACTTACATGTGGAATCAAGGACATAATGTAGGCATGGCTAGCAACACAACTTACAAGTGGAATCAAGGACATAATGTAGGCATGTCAACAACACAACTTACACGTGGAATCAAGGACATAATGTAGGCATGGCAACAACACAACTTACAAGTGGAATCAAGGACACAATGTAAACATGGGAACAACACAACTTACACGTGGAATCAAGAACATAATGTCGGCATGGCTAGCAACACAACTTACAAGTGGAATCAAGGACATAATGTAGGCATGGCAACAACACAACTTACACGTGGAATCAAGGACATAATCTAGGCATGGCAACAACACAGCTTACACGTGGAATCAAGGACATAATGTAGGCATGGCAACAGCACAACTTACATGTGGAATCAAGAACATAATGTAGGCATGGCTAGCATCACAACTTACACGTGGAATCAAGGACATAATGTAGGCATGGCTAGCAACACAACTTACATGTGGAATCAAGGACATAATGTAGGCATGTCAACAACACAGCTTACACGTGGAATCAAGGACATAATGTAGGCATGGCAACAACACAACTTACACGTGGAATCAAGGACATAATGTAGGCATGGCAGCTGCACAACTTACACGTGGAATCAAGGACATAATATAGACATGGCTAGCAACACAACTTACATGTGGAATCAAGGACACAATGTAGGCATGGCTAGCACACAACTCACATGTGGCATCAAGGACATAATGTAGGCATGGCAACAGCACAACTTACATGTGGAATCAAGGACATAATGTAGGCATGACCAGCAACACAACTTACACGTGGAATCAAGAACATAATGTAGGCATGGCTAGCACACAACTTACATGTGGAATCAAGGACATAATGTAGGCATGGCTAGCAACACAACTTACATGTGGAATCAAGGACATAATCTAGGCATGGCAACAACACAACACAGCTTAAATCTAACCCTCGTTAGAGTAAGTGAGTGAGTGAGATTAGTTTGACGCCGCTTTTGGCACGATTCCAGTAATATCACAGCGGAGGACACCAGAAATGGGGTTCACTCATTGTATTAATGTAGGGAATCGAACCCACCTCCTTGCGTGACGAGCAGCGCTTTAATCACTAGGCTGCCCCACCGCCATATTGCGCTAATGGAATCACTTACCTCGAATGGTGATACATGGCCTTCTGTGAGAACTGGTTTAAAGTCGGTGAACACGTACTCCCTTAGGATGGGGAGAGTGACAGAGCTGTTCACGTGATATTTCCCCTCGACGTCCAACTGCTCTGGGGCTACTACATTTTCAGCTGTCGTCCAGGTATTGTTGGCACCTGCAACCATAACAACAATGTCAAGCAGTAATGTAAGAAGGTAGCGCCTAGCTATGCATATTATATAAGTCTGTCATGCAGTGATGTAACGATGTACCATTAAGATCATATATACCATAGCAACAGTGGCCCGCAATGATGAAACGACGTACCATTAAGATCATATATACCATAGCAACAGTGGCCCGCAATGATGTAACGACGTACCATTAAGATCATATATACCATAACAACAGTGGCCCGCAATGATGTAACGACGTACCGTTAAGATCATATATACAATAGCAACAGTGGCCCGCAATGATGAAACGATGTACCATCAAGATCATATATACCATAGCAACAGTGGCCCGCAATGATGTGACGATGTACCATTAAGATCTAAATTCTATAGCAACAGTGGCCCGCAATGATGTAACGACGTACCATTAAGATCATATATTACATATCAACAATGGCCCGCAATAACAAAACGATGTACCGTCAAGATCATATATTACATATCAACAATGGCCCGCAATAACAAAACGATGTACCATCAAGATCATATATTACATATCAACAATGATGATGTACCGTCAAGATCATATATCACATATCAACAATGGACAGCAATAACAAAACGATGTACCATCAAGATCATATATTACATATCAACAATGGCCCGAAATAACAAAACGATGTACCATCAAGATCATATATTACATATCAACAATGGTCCGCAATAACAAAACGCTGCATCGTCAAGATCATATATTACATATCAACAATGGCCCGAAATAACAAAACGATGTACCATCAAGATCATATATTACATATCAACAATGGCCCGCAATAACAAAACGATGCACCGTCAAGATCTTATATTACATATCAACAATGACCCACAATAACAAAACAATGTACCATCAAGATCATATATTACATATCAACAATGGCCGGCAATAACAAAACAATGTACCATCAAGATCATATATTACATATCAACAATGACCCGCAATAACAAAACAATGTACCATCAAGATCATATATTACATATCAACAATGGACGGCAATAACAAAACGATGTACCATCAAGATCATATATTACATATCAACAATGGCCCGCAATAACAAAACGATGTACCATCAAGATCATATATTACATATCAACAATGGCCCGCAATAACAAAACGATGTACCATCAAGATCATATATTGCATATCAACAATGGCCCGAAATAACAAAACGATGTACCATCAAGATCATATATTACATATCAACAATGGCCCGAAATAACAAAACGATGTACCATCAAGATCATATATTACATATCAACAATGCCAGCAATAACAAAACGATGTACCATCAAGATCATATATTACATATCAACAATGGCCCGCAATAACAAAACGATGTACCATCAAGATCATATATTACATATCAACAATGGCCCGCAATAACAAAACGATGTACCATCAAGATCATATATAGTATTACATATCAACAATGGCCCGCAATAACAAAACAATGTACCATCAAGATCATATATCACATATCAACAATGGCCCGCAATAACAAAACGATGTACCGTCAAGATCATATATTACATATCAACAATGGCCCGCATTAACAAAACGATGTACCGTCAAGATCATATACACCATAGCTGCAATGTTAAACAACGTTCAGTAGGATAGCTCTTAATCATAGGGGCGTGTCTCGCTTAGAAACAGCGTTAGAAAGACATATAGATATATAGACCCTACATTATTACTTTTATATAGTTATAGGGTAGGGTCTATATACATATATGTCTTTCTAACGCTGTTTCTGAGCGAGACGGGCCCCTATGCTCTTAAAGGGGTTGTCCGTCCAAGCTTTGGAGTTAAATTGGGATTGAATGTTTAGATTGTTGCACTAATCTAGTAAGCAGGGGTTATCTCCCATTAGTTGGACAGCCAATTATTAGACAGCCAGTTGTTAGACAGTGGAGTAGGGTATGAATTAAGACAACACCCACATCCACAATGGTGCAGCCCTAGTTAGATTGCTCCGGTGAGTAGAGCGTGCCCGTAGTTAATTTGTTCATGCCATTGTTGATTTTCTATTACAATGTAGCATATGGTTTAAGTTTTCGCATTTCACGTTTGATCTGTTTAACACGTGTTTAAATGTTTGTTTAAATTTATGAACTTATGTCTTTATTCTCTATAAGTCGAGCAAACTAATTTGGGTCAGGACTTTGTCACAAGTAGAAGGTAGGTACAAAGTAATTCGGCAAAAATTCCACAAAGAAAGACCATGCTTAATATATCAGCATGGCTGGGTTACGAATATACGTCGAATATGTTACCATCTTTCGGTTCATTGAAGTGGTGAAGAAACTTGAACTGAAAGACAGGACCAAGATAGCACAGCGCGACGTTGGAGGTGCACCACCACGAAGGAAGTGAGTGTATAGGGAGATAGACAAAATGATTGTCAGACTGAAAGATTAGCTTCGTCAGGGACAAAATACTCCACTTCAGTTCCTAGATACCGTCGACAACCTCATTCGACTTGCAAAGTGACTGAATGTTTTTTTCTTGTGATTATGAACTTTAGAATACCTTTGGAATGACTTTATTTATGCGATTATCAGGTTTTTTAACGATTGTTTACTTATCAATTTTTTACAGATTATAATTGTTTTAATGTCTTACTCACATTGTCAATAAATATCAACAATCAATTATTTTACATCAACAATTATTTTATAATTTTTTAATTCTGCATGGATTATTCCATACCTACGAGTATCTAGGGGTTACAGGTCATTATTTAGCTGTACATACAGCTGAAAAGTTTGTTGTTTTAAGCTGTCTAACAAATGGCTGTATTACAAATGGGAGGACACCAAGAAACCGTTTCTAAAAGCATTGAAACTGCGCTGACGAAACTCACTAAAAGACCAGGTCAGCTTGAACGTTGCATTTTTTTCTTCCCAGAAGATACACGACTCCCACATGTCAACGACGATCCCGTCTCGTGCTGTCCCGGTACCTATATACACTTCCGGTATGCCTCCACCAAAACGCAGAGCCTGGTTCGCCGAGAAGATGTGATCGGATCCATTATTGTACTGAACCACGCCAAATATGTTTTTTGCGCTGCTTTTGTCGAGGATGTCCACGTGGCACCTTGGAGGGGCACCTGCAGGTAGATGGAGATGTACATTGGCGTATTGTACAGTAGTGTACCTGACTAAGGGGAGATAACTATTTCCTTTGTGGTCATTCACTGCGCCGGAGTGTGATATTCTAGAACCAGTTCATTGCAAAGGGGCGAAGCTCTTCATTATATCCTTCAGATAACCCATAAAATATAACTGGTCTTGACTTCTTTCTGGAGCCTTGTTATGTTTTTACTATTACACCATGGGTGTGTTATGTGAAGTTTAGAAAGGGTGTCTTTGCATGATATTATGTAATTTACTAAACACATCAATAACTACAGGGAGGTAACTGTAACTTACACTCTTCCAAGGGAACGTTGAAAAACGTTGGAGATGTATTGGAAGAATCAATGTTCATATGACAATAATGAATGTTTTAAGAGGGCATCATCACTTTCACTTCCATAGCTGTTTGTACAGTAATCGCTCTTGAAAGATGACTGGTGTATGACGTGAAATTTGCATGTGTACGATTTTCATTTTCAAACAAAAAGGAACGGCTAGAAACAAACACTACCAACTGTGTGATGCAAGATGATTGTCCAAATTAATGATCTACAGTGATTTATCGACATTCTTGAAAACCGTCAAAATCAAGAATAACACCCCATGCACGTGTATGGGTCTACTGAGTTGTGCACGTGCATCCCATGTGTTGTCTTTAGGGGCGGTGATAAAGAGAAATGGTGGTGCGTTCATGAGATGTCTGTCTTTGAAAAGTTTGTAAACGCTTATACCTCGAATCCAAATTGATGGTTCAGGTTCCCTTACGTTTTTTGAAGAGTATATTATCATTCTGAGCAAATGACTAAAGGCTAATAATAGCTGTCTGCATGATGATGATGTCGGTTCAGATAACTGTTACACCTATTTTCATGTTGTGTGTATGATTAAAGGGAGATAACTGTTTCTTGAATTATCATGTCAATATTTATTGTATTGTCAATATTCCGACTGAATACAGGGAAACCACTGTTCCCATACTTGCCTGTTGTATACATTATTAATGGGGCGTAACTGTTTCCTTATTTTCATGTCGCATACGTAATGAAAGACCATGTCTTGTGTTATGATTCTGTTATATGACAAAAGGGAAATCACCGTTTCCTTCTAATGACTAAAGGGTGATAACTCCTTCTTGTATCTTCATGTTGTAAACATGATAAAGGGATGTAAGCTTTCATTTATAAACATATTTAGCAACAATTTGGCTATGAAATTTACTTGAATGTAAAGATAATCCCATAAGAAAAAATGTTACCACCTTTAAAACATCGTCACATAAATTACAAATTGAGGTTGGAAGATACCACAATGTACTAAGGGAAGAATGAATATGTGGCCATTGTTTATCTTTAAATCTTAATCTAATAGAAGACGAATACAATTTCATTTTGGTTTGTCCCAGATATGTAAATACTACATTAATATATACTATTGGCAAAACCCCAGTGCCTATTAACTCGTACAATTACTCACATGTGATAGTAATACAGATATTGCAAAATTAGGTAAATATTTAATACATGGTAATCAAATGATCAGTATCTCACGCTGCTTAAAATGCCCATGTACTTATTTGTATTCAATTTCAAGACGAAGAAGCAGCTGATTCAAGCTTTAATAAAGTGTATGTTCTGCTCTGTACTTTTACCTGAGTTGTCGTACTGCAGCGTTATCAGTTCACCAGTAGCATACAGGAAAATCATCTTGGTTTCTTGGCCGTTAATCCACTCATGGACTGCGCCCATATTGTCGGTCGAGTCGAAGTACTCGTGTATGTCCTGTGTGTAGTTGTGTTCGATGATGTTGGCTTCAATTCGCACAGAATATTGCTTTGGCAACTGCGGCTTCTTAGGACCTAGAAAAAATAGTTCTTTATCAGACACAAATGACAGTATTTTATACTCAACATAAAGTTAAGGACAACCCCAATATTCAATGTTTAAGCAATATATGGATCATAATATGAAGTATTAAATACTTTAATATTGAAAATTGGGGTGATCCTAGATTTGTTGAGTATATCAGTGTGTGAAAAGTCTGTAAAGAGATAAATATTGTATGCTCTTTGGTCGGTTTGTATGTAATATATTTCATGAATAGAAAGTGATCAAATTTAACATTCAAGTTACACTTTCTCAGCAAAGTACAGGCTCTTTGTTACCAGACAGTCATGACGTCATGACAAAGAGATGACGTCACCAGTTTTCAGGTAACTGACCTAATGGCCTCTGCGGAAGAGGTTGGTGATGTCAGTGTTCTGTGCAAGCGGGTCCTGGTTTGTGGAAAACGTGAATGAAAACTGAGTTGAATTGTGTCAGTTAATGTTGCCCAAACTTTACCATAGCCTGACTAGGGTTGGCAAACGGCCCAATATAAGCTTTTTACATTTGCAATTATAAATGCAAAACCGAAGTATTTTTTCAAGAAACATAATCCCACAAAAGTTGTTTTTTTATGTCAATGACCTTTTTAATAAATGAAAAGTAAGTTGAGGGATCCAAACACAAGAGGAGAAACACACTGTGTCTTTCTCTGCTAAATATCAAACCACATTGCAAAGGGACAGAACTCTTCACTACGTCCTTCAGAGAAACCCACAGAGTACCAATTGTTTTGACTTCTTCCTAGAGCCTTGTTATATTTTTACCACTGCGCCATGGGTGTGTTATATGAACTTTAGAAAGGGTGTTTTTTAATTCATCAACAATAACATACAAGGAAAATCATCAATGCCCCATCGACACGACCGGAGTTAACGATTGGTCCATTTTGTGATTGCAAAAATTGTTGGAGTAGGACGACACATAATGGTCGAGTCACTGATCTCGGGAACCGCTTGTATCGCTGGACATCTTTCTGTGGTAGTGGGGATTTACTTGGAAGTGTTTACATAACAAACATGATCTTCACCTCCATTAGCTATTGCCCTCTTTGCAAAGTCGTCTTGACTACAAACAGTCAAATCTTCACCCACAGCAGCAGCAGCAACGACACAGGCGGCCAGAAGGACGAGGGTAGAGATTCTCATTGTGAGTGACCTGCAAAACAACACTTCTGTGAGTGGGTGACAATAGCGCGTGTGTGCGTGTATGCGCGCCCTTGTTAGTGTGTGTATGCGAGCCCATGTTAGTGTGAGTGCTTGTGTGTGTTAGTGTCTGTATGCGCGCCCTTGTTAGTGTGTGTAGTGTGTGTATGTGCGCCCTTGATAGTGTGTGTATGCGCGCCCTTGTTAGTGTGTGCATCCGCGCCGATGTTAGTAGTGTGTATATGCGCACCGCTGTGTGTTAGTAAGCGCACCCTGTTAGTAGTGTATGCACCCTTGTTAGTGTGTGTAAGCGCACCCTTGTTAGTGAGTGTATGCAAGCCCTTGTTAGTGTGTGTAAGCGAGCCCTTGATAGTGTGTGTAAGCGCACCCTTGTTAGTAAGTGTATGCAAGCCCTTGTTAGTGTGCGTGCATGCCTGTGTGTGCTAGTGTGTGTATGGGTGCCATTGTTAGTGGGGGTGTGCGCGCTCGTGTGTATGTTTGCATGTATATGTGTTAGTAAGTGTGTATGTATGCGCGCTCATGTTTTTGTTTGTATACGTATGTGTTTGTCAGTGTGTGTATGCGCGCCCTTGCGTGTGTGGCTGTCTTCGTATTTATGTGCCAGTGTTTCGGTGCTTGTATGAGTTTGTGTGTGCGCCTGCGTCAATGTGCATAGTTAGACGTGCATCTGTTTGCGGCCTCGTTAGTGTGTGTGGGTGTGCGTGTGTGTATGTGTGTGTGAGTGTGTGTGTGCGTGAATGCGTGAATGCGTGTGCATTTGGACGGTGGTATATTTGTTCTACAAAAATATAGGGAAAATAGAAACCTCGTGATAAGACTGGAATTAAATACGTTAAATACAATGTCAATCTTCACTAACTTCCCCGACCAACACATTAGGGCTATAGGCATGGGCGGACTCTCATAAGAGGGTAGGATTTTAGCGCTTAATGAAAAACGTGGCGGTAGCCTAGTGGTTTACTCGTCACGCAGAAGACCCGGGTTCGATTCCCCACATGGGTACGATGTGTGAAGTCCATTTCTGGTATCCCCCGAAGATATATTGCTGGAATATTGCTAAAAGGGACATAAAAGTAGGCACACTCTCTCACTTTGCACAGAAGCTTCAGGTATATCTCGAGTGACGTAAGTCTTAAACGTACACCGCATTTATTCTCAAACATGGACGTGGTGCTGACGAGCATGAAGGAATCATCGGAGCAAATTTGGAAGATGAGTATATGGAGGAAGCAATGCTACACCATCTCGGGCAGCCTTCTTTGAGACAGCATCAGCAACCTTGTTCCGAGAGCGATAACTGTTTAATGCTCATCTCTACATTGATAGAACAGGTAACTCCTTATTAAATGATCACCTGCCTTGTTTCCTTCTTTGCATCAGTAATTAATGGCCAGGTAAATCGTGTGTACTTTCTTACCTGTCGGTATGCCTCCTATTGTCCTCCATCTTGGTTCGTCACACCTCTGATGGCGTCTAAAGGTCACACAGATATGGCCACGTGACCGTGCGACACACGTTGTCGATGTACATTGCACTGCCTGCCTGTACTGTAGATAACGTCTGAGTATGGACATGGCAAGCCAGACCGTCGGTTATGTCTACCTTGTACTCCATGTCATCGTGTACAGGCCGAACGGGAGTGAATGAATGTGAACCTAAACATGTTCAAATCTAAACTGAGTGAGTGAATGAGTTTAGATTTACGCCGCTTTTAGCAATATTTCAGCAATTTCAAGGCGGGGTACACCAGCAATGGGCTTTACACATCGTGCCCATGTGGGGAATCGAACCCGGGTCTTCGGCATGACGAGCGAACGCTTTAACCATTAGGCCACCCACCGCCCCTTTGAACTGAAGATATACCTTTTTGAGAAAACATATAGTGTCTACGTTTCATTTCTGAGATGTTCGGAGAGCACTATTAATTGATTGCAAATGGCGCTATATCATCTTTTTTTGATGATGATGATGTTGATGATGATGATGATGATGTTGATGATGGTGTTGGTGGTGGTGGTGGTGGTGGTGGTGGTGGTGATGATGATGATGATGATGATGATGATGATGATGATGATGATGATGATGATGATGATGATGATGATGATGGTGATGATGTTTGGGCGAATACAGTTGTTTTGGACCCGTGAAGATCCGGGTTAGAATTGATCTTCAGTAACCCATGCTTGTCGTAAGAGGCAACGAACGGGATCGGGTGGACAGGCTCGCTGACTTGGTTGACACATGTTATCGTACCACAATTGCGATTCGATGCTGTTGATCACTGGATTGTCTGTTTCAGATTCGATTATTTACAGACCGCCTCCATACAGCTGGAATAGTGCTGAGTGCAGCCTGAATCTTAACTCACTCACTAACAGTTGTTTTATATGAATGTATGTCTGTTATGATTTGAATCGTATGATTGTACAACAAGGAGAGTTCTATGGATATACAACTTCTATGTTATTGATATGAGCGACGTTTCGTTGTAGCTACCAACACTGTTATCAGACAAGTGATGGTTGTATTTGTTTCGCAGCGTTCTGTGTGTTTCGTATTACTGTGTGTGTTTTGTTGTAATATATGCGTTTCATATGACGTGTTTCTTTAGTAGTGCACGTGTTTCGTAGTGCACGTGTTTCGTAGTTGTAAGTGGCCGTGAGTCGAAGGAAAATATGGATTGCACAGAGAAATATGTGTTGTGCAGCAATGCATTTTTGTGTAATGCGTATGTGTGCTTGTGTATGCGCCTACGGAAGTGATTGTGTATGCGTACATCAATATAAGCGTATGAGGATGTGAATGTGTATGCCTATCTATACTACTCACGCTTTGCTAAGGATCACAAAAATTCCCAACTTTACTAACACGTAGATTTATAATTTTAAATTGTATCCATTTAAAACTGAATAAATAATGAAATGGCAACACACCTTTAGGAAAACAGACACTTTGAGCTAACCGTATGCACTCGATACATGAGGAACCATAAAAATGGTTTTCATGGCACCAACCAACCATTTTTCAAATCATGGCACGGGCCGTTGACAAGTACACAACTCCTGTCAATAGCAGGTAGGGGATCCAGTGGCATACTGAAAACTGCGGAAACCTTGGATCCATGCTTACAATAGGCTTAGATATTTAAACCAAATTTGACCCGACATCATAGTTTTCTGTTGAATAAATACAGCAAAGTGTGAATAGTATATGTGCGTATGCGTACGTGTAATCGTATGTGTTAGTGTATGTGCATGAGTATGTGCTTGTAAGCGTAAGTTTATTTGTATGTGTTTGTGCACGTGTGTGTGCGTATGCCTATGAGTATGCGAATGCGAATGCGAATATGTGTATACATATGCATTATGTTTTACCACCCGTGAAGATCCGGGGTAGAATATAGGTCTTCAGCAACCCATGTGCTTGCCATAAAAGGCGACTATGCTTGTCGTAAGAGGCGACTAACGGGATCGGGTGGTCAGTTTCGCTGACTTGGTTGACACATGTCATCGGTTCCCAATTGCGCAGATCGATGCTCATGATGTTAATCACTGGATTGTCTGGTCTAGACTCGATTATTTACAGACCGCCGCCATATAGCTGGGATATTGCAGAGTGCGGCGTAAAACTAAACTCACTCACTCCCTCACTCATTATGTTTACCAGATGAATGATCTATATTGTCACGCAGGGAAGTGTCAGTGAGGTATATTGTAAGCATCACAATGTAAGGTGTATGTGTGCGTCTGACAGGCTAGATGATAACACACCGTCTGGGTGGCCACCTATCTTCACTTACATCAATGAAACTTTGGACATTTCGTGAAACTCACAACAGGAGATAAGAGGCCTTGATAACAAAGGTGTGAGCCGGTGAATACGATGATCGATAAAAATATAGGACACAGATGCAAAAGAATACCCAGTTTTGACTATCCCCAGGAACATTAATCCATTTGTTGTTAAGAGGAAAAGGGTTGTTATAAGTCTATAATGGATCTCTAAAGTCTTTACGACTGAAGATGTTCTACTGTACTATCACTGTGAGAAATGAGTGAGTGATTGAGTTTAGTTTTACGCCGCACTCAGCAACAGTCCAGCTATATGGCGGCGGTCTGTAAATAATCGAGTCTGGACCAGACAATGCAGTGGTCAACAGCATGAACATCGATCTACGCAATTGGAATACGACGACATGTGTCAACCAAATCCGCGAGCCTCTTATGAATAGCATGTTTTACTTAAGATCAATTCTAACCAGGATCTCCACGGGTCTACTGCCTCAATAACTGTTCCTGAGCACGTTGTCATGGTTGCTAATGTTTCGTTGTTGTTTTTTCATTCGTGTTTCAGTACATAATAGTAGATTTGTGTCGAAACCCACACATCCTCCAGGTGATCGATATCGTAATAATGCAGCAAAAAAGTGGACATGTATTGTTTCTTAGTTTTGTTAATCCTGTCATTTCTTTGCCAGGAGTATTTCATATCTCCACAGATAATATACTATTCATATTCACTGCTTTGTGTATGCACTATTTTGCAGAGAATGAGTATAGTTTTATGCATGAATATTGTTTTTTTAGCAATATTCCAGCAATATCAAGAAATACCAGAAATGGGCTCCACAATTTGTACCCATGCCGGGAATCAAACCCGGGTCTTCAGCGCGACGAGCGGTCGCTCTAACCATTAGGCTAACCCATCCCCTCTGTTTCACAGAGAAGTAAAGGTAGACATTTTTACATACAATGATTTAATGTCAACCTTTCTCAACCTTGTAGCATGCTTCTTATCATAACCTGAGTTTATCAGCTAGTACATTGTCCACGTAACCCGCAGCACACCCCCGTGATGTTTCATGTCGTTGCACATGCCGCTGATAGCGTTGATAAGAATGTTGTTATCATCTGTAAAAAAAAGTGACCTGTATTTCAATCTGCCTCTGAAATAAATACTTGCCGCCGTACAAGACGACTTCTGTAAGTTGATGTTTCCGAGTGATTCCAACTGGTCGACCGGGTAGGTACCGTTATATTGGACACTATCTATCACTCGTGCCGTGTCGCCTGTGTCGTAGACTGCTTGTCCGATGGTTTGGAGAGATTACATGACTCGCAAAGCAACGACAGTTTAACTATGTCAATGTACCTTGTACTGTTCTGTGTTAACACAGGATGAAGACAACTAGCTAGTGGTGGTCCGATTAATTGAAATAATCGAAGATTGGTCGTAGTGACTAAACGACCAAGCAATCGATCACAATTTCTCATAATCGAACACAAACAATTCTGGAACACTTGTTTTCATTAACAATATTTTTCACAAGGTTGGTTTTGTCTGTTACATTTCGTAAGCACTACAAGCTCGTTTCAAGTCATGATTGAATTTATCTTAAAGACTCCAAGAAATTTATGTTACTAACATACTAGTCATCCTTTAAAGATGTGACATTTTGCCCCCCACAAAAACCCAAAGAACTACTTGTTTTTTACCTTATTTTTATGTGCATTAACAAATTTCATAAATGATGCTAACCAATTATTTTCGATGATTGATCGGTAGTAATGAACCAATCATCAATTATCAGATTTTAACCAATTCCCAACACTACAACTAGCGCATTCATTAGGAGTTGAGGTGAGGTGAAATTGGGTTTAACGTCGTGCTTGAGAATATTTCGCTCATATGACGTCGTGCATGCGTGTGTATGTGTATGTGCGGCTGCTTGTACTAGCCCAGACTGAAGCTGGTTTTATAGTTCTAGCCCACTGAGATACCATGCCGCAGTGAAGCATGAATGCCCAACTCAGACACATTATACTGACTCCGAGCCACCAGTCTTTGTTGTACCCATTAATGCCGAGCGCCAGGCAGGGACCAACAAGCACCATATTTTAACGTCTTTTGGTATGACGCGGTCGGGGATCGAACCCGCGACCTTCCGCTCTCCGGGCGGACGCTCTAACCACTACACCACGGAGGCGGTCCATTCATTAGGAGAGTGAGTGAGTTTAGGTTTTGTGCCGCTTTCAGCAACATTCCAGCAACATCACGGCGGGGACACCAGAAATGGGCTTCACACATTGCACACATGTGGGGAATCGAACTGATTATCGTTCTGAAATTACCAATCTGGAAAACACGTGGAAATTTCGTTATGATCCTGGAAAACATGCGTGACAATTGTTAACATCATTCTGAAAAAAATATGTGTTTATAATTACCATTCTGAAAGAGTGAGTGAGTTAGTTGTGTTTTACGCCGCTTTAAGCAATCTTCCAGCAACATCACAGCGGGGTAACACCAGTAATGGGCCTCACACATTGTACCCATGTCGGGAACCAAACCCTTGCTTTCGGCGTGACGAGGGGACGCTTTAACCACTAGGCTAGCTAAACTCACTCACTCACTGAAGCACACGTTCAATTGTAAAGACCATTCTGAAAAGAATGTGCACTTATGATTATAAGTGCAAATATAATTACTATCTGGATGACACGTGCACATTAGGTTATCATTCTGGAAGACACGTGCAGTTGTATTCATCATTCTGGAAGACACGTACGTGCAGTTGTATTCATCATTCTGGAAGACACGTGCAGTTGTATTCATCATTCTGGAAGACACGTGCAGTTGTATTCATCATTCTGGAAGACACATACGTGCAGTTGTATTCATCATTCTGGAAGACACGTGCAGTTGTATTCATCATTCTGGAAGACACGTACGTGCAGTTGTATTCATCATTCTGGAAGACACGTGCAGTTGTATTCATCATTCTGGAAGCCAGTGTACAAATCAACAAAATCCAATACCAGGTTTCGTGTTGCAAATATTATATATTTTTCGTTCCCTATGAATTAATATATACATCAGTGCCTCAGTTCGTATGCAAACCACCCAAGTACACGTCAAGGTCAATGTTGGTCACCTACATTTTCTGTCACCAGCATATAATTCTTTTCATACAGCAACGTTATAAACCAGAGATTTGGATAATTGTGAGTCATAGTATCCCGCTGGTATAGGTCGTTACTCACTTCATAAAAACCTGGTTTGTTTGGTCCAGACTCGAACATGCCCATGCTCCGTCTTCAGCTTTAATATTACTGAGTGCAACAGTCTTCAGCAACATGGAGAAATTGCCATACACGTGTCAGAACGTTACCATCAACATAGTTGCCCTTCTGCATCAGGTAAAAAGATGAAGACGGTGTTGCTGCTGCTGCTGACGCTGGGGGTAGTAAGAGGAACCTACGACAACACGGTATGCGACACGGGGAGCACCCCGCCACCAGGTAACATGGATACTGTCTTACACAAGCTTTACACGCGGGCCAAGTAATATCAGTCTATAGAGGTCTCGCAGATAAATAGCTTTGAGTCGATGTTGAAGGGACCTTGGTAAATATTTCGAGTTATCCGATGTTCCGCGCGACCGAAAATGATAAATGAAAAAGCTTACGAATAAACCAAACGTTTTCCTTCGAGACAATCGTATGTTCGAGACATCAGTGTTCGACACAATGGAGCTTGACAGTATTTTACAATAATATATTTCCAAATTACTGGAAAATCATTGTTTGATTGCAAAAAGATGAAGCACTGATCGAGGAAAGACAGTTTGTCTCTCACACACATTTCAGGGACCAGCCTAGGTTTTCGTAATTACTGAAGGACGCAAATTAAAGGTGACTCCCCTCACCCACACCTCCACCCATTCATCAAATCATTGGGGGCGGTGGGGTAGCCTAGTGGTCAAAGCGTTCGCTCGTCGTGCCGAAGACCCGGGTTCGATTCCCCACATGGGTTCAATGTGTGAAGCCCGTTTCTGGTGTCCCCCGCCGTGATATTGCTTGAATATTGCTAAAAGCGGCGTAAAAACATACTCACTCACTCACTCATCAAATCATCGTGACGTGTATTTGGATGATTATTGCTGTCAATATATTCCCCTTGTATAACAGATACAATGTACTTTTTATGAAAACATCAGAAATATGTAAAACTAGATAAAACAATGAAATATAAAATAACCCGCACTGTACGTTAACGTGACGAGACTTCGTAATGAGTACATATCAGTCAGAGCTGGGATGATAACACCTGTTATCATCCCGTCAGTCAGGTCTTAACGTGACTCCTTCTCTATCTAGGTTGTTAAGTTCAAATAATACTTACAGTAATCTACGTTAACAACGAACACCCTTGTAACGATGAGACGGATGTAACGAATGAATTGCATTTATTTATTTATCTATTTTTTTTATTTATTTATTTATTTATTTATTTATTTATTTATTTATTTATTTATTTATTTATTTATTTATTTATTTATTTATTTATTTATTTATTTATTTATTTATTTATTTATTTATTTATTTATTTATTTATTTATTTATTTATTTATTTATTTGTTTGTTTATTTATTTCATGTTTCATCTTTCCACATCAGTTTTGGCCCCCAGTTTATTGTAATACATCACTTCTACCCAGTGTTTCCGTTCTCTGGAATATACCGGATTTGGGGCTGTACAAATTGCCCAGGACCGATAAATCTGGAGGCAATCGGTCACCGAGTCCGGTAAAATATCCAGACTAATTTTGCCTTGCTTAAAATATTACCGAAATTAAAATAAAATCGCTCAAATAATCCTCTAATAATAGAATCGGCGATTACCATTTTCGTGTGAGATGAGGTTTCCTTCTAAATTCATTATATTACGCGCAATGGATTGCTCAGTTTGAGAGTCTTTGGGAAAGATCGCTGTGTTTTGTACTTCGAAACGTCACTTTAATTACTGTTGTCACGGGAAATAATAACAATGTTATCCGATCGTTTAAATACGTCGAAGTGGCAAGCGGAAAGCAGACAACGCTCTCCACGTTTTTGGAGGTAAACGCAAGTTTTCGGCTAATGAGGATGACAAAACAAACAACACTTAGGGCCTAAATAGGTCAAGTTCAAGTGGCAATTTATAAACTTCAAAACTAAAACCTAGTAAATTATGGAAATTTAATCCAAACTGACCGGTAGATTTCATGCAGGACCGGTAAATCAGAAGGTCGGTGGGCACGGTTTCCCTGTAGTCCCCATGAATCTTGTTCCCTAGTTAATTATACATATCCATTTTCTGCTATTTTGCCTCTTTCTCCCGGACCGGGGTAGGTCCTCAGCCGATGCCTCCCCAGCTTCCGCCGACGTTCGAGGTCCACATCGAGTGTATCTTCGTAGACCAGAACATGTCTTTGGAGGTGCACGAATGGTTCGACTACAGCATCAACATGGGCGTGATACAACAGACGACGAAGGGATCGACGTTCTACGGCTACTTCGACTACAACAACAACCAGTTCATCCGGATATATCCCTTTACTAGTAAGATGATAGATGGGGGCGGTTGGGTAGCCTAGTGGTTAAAGCGTTCGCTCCTCACGCCGAAGACGCGGGTTCGATTCCCCACATGGATACAATGTGTGAAGCCCATTTCTGTTGTCCCCTGCCGTGATATTGCTCGAATATTGCTAAAGGCGGCGTAAAACTAAGCTCACTTACTCACTCACTCTGTCGATAGATCGCTAAAAAGGGTCTGTTTTCACTTATGTTTGTTTGTGGGGCGGTGGGGTAGCCTAGTGGTTAAAGCGTTCGCTCGTCACGCCGAAGACCCGGGTTCGAATCCCCACATGTGTACATTGTGTGAAGCTCATTTCTGGTGTCCCCCGCCGTGATATTGCTGGAATATTGCTAAAAGCGGCGTAAAACCAAACTCACTCACTATGTTTGTTTCTTGTTTAACGTTACGAGCAATGATCAATCTACGTGATGGAGGCTTGAAAATGGTGAGTGAGACAACTGACTATAGTTTAACGCCGCTTTTAGCATTAGTCTAGTAATATCGAGGCGGGAGAGACCAGAAAAGGGCGTCACACATTTCATCCATGTGGGGAATTGAACACAGGTCTTCCCGGGCTTGACAATGGACCAGACATGCCGGTGATTTATCGTGAATCGGATTGGTTGGGTAGCTTTGCGGTTAAAGCGTTCGTTCCTCATGTCGGATATCGCTGGAATATTGCTAAAAACCGCGTAAAATTAAACTCAAATACACTCGTTGCGAATCACCATTATAGATACGCGCACACGTATTCAGACCGTATGTATGGCTAGTGGATAGAGTGTCTGTCTTCAGAGAGGACGGTCGGTGGTTCGAACCGCGTTATACTTACATACTTTTGCGGAAAGTATTTGGTGCACGATGCTCTGCATTAAGGACACAGAATGGGTATAAAACCTAAAATGGCCGGTTCGGTGTGATGGGTCCACATTCATTTAATATCGTGGTATCGTACTGGGTTCTGTTCTCTTGACCACACTTGGTACTGCTTGTCAAGCGCAGACTGTCAGGTGCTCCCTGTTTCCAGACGACATACCATATGTGTCAACTGATATGCTGATAGGCTCAGCTGATATGTATTTCCTTATATGGCTGCTGTCTGTAAATAATCAAGCCTGGATCAGACAATCCAGTGATCAACAGCATGAGCATCGATCTACACAACTGGGATAGGATGACATGTGTCAACCAAGTCAGCGAGCCTGACCACTCGATCCAGTTAGTCGCCTCTGACGACACGCATGGGTCACTGAAGAACAATCTCTAACCGGATCTTCACGGGTCGGTTTTCTAATAATATACAGTATTAGCATGTGTGCTATTTAGACTTGTTCAATCGCCAGGTACATTGATACTGGTTGGGAAGTGTCAATCGCGAACTAAAACAATATCCACTCACTGACGATTCAATGTTTCTGTACAGAGACATGTTACGTCACGGACATATCCGAAGCCACCCAGCGCTTCCTGTTCGGGTTCAAGCCGAACGGACAGGGGGAGCACATCTACACAGCGGCAGGTGCGCTTCATTTCTCCGGGACCGGCGTGAACGAGGTCAACCTTGGGCCGGACACTGTCCGAGGCATCAACGTCCAGAAATGGCACTCTTGTCAGTACTGGCAGAACATGGATGCCACAATGAATGTCACGTGGTACTTCTCAGGTACGTTACAAGATGGTCATTGGTGTGAAGTAAAGTGGTCATTGGTGTCCAGTAAAGTGGTCATTAGTGTCCATTAAGGTGGTCATTGGTGTCCAGTAAGATGGTATTTAGTGTCCAGTGTCCAGTTAGATGGTCCAGTAAAGTGGTCATTGGTGTCCAGTAAAGTGGTCATTGGTGTCCAGTAAGGTGGTCATTAGTGTCCATTAAGGTGGTCATTGGTGTCCAGTAAGATGGTATTTAGTGTCCAGTGTCCAGTTAGATGGTCCAGTAAAGTGGTCATTGGTGTCCAGTAAAGTGGTCATTGGTGTCCAGTAAGGTGGTCATTAGTGTCCATTAAGGTGGTCATTGGTGTCCAGTAAGATGGTATTTAGTGTCCAGTGTCCAGTTAGATGGTCCAGTAAAGTGGTCATTGGTGTCCAGTAAAGTGGCCAATGTTGTTCAGTAAGATGGTCATTAGTGTCCAGTAAGATGGTCCAGTAAAGTGGTCTTTGGTGTCCAGTAAGGTGGTCATTGGTATCCAGTCCGATAGCCATTGGTGTCCAGTCTCCAGTAAGATGGTCCAGTAAAGTGGTCATTGTTGTCCAGTAAAGTGGTCATTGGTGTCCAGTAAGGTGGTCATTAGTGACCATTAAAGTGGTCATTGGTGTCCAATATGGTGGTCATTTGTGTCCAGTAGAGTGATACTTGGTGTTCAGTAAGGTGGTCATTGGTGTCCAGTAAGGTGGTCATTGGTGTCTAGCAAGGTGGTCATTGATGTCCGTGAGGTGGACATTGGTGTCCATTAAGGTGGACTTTGGTGTCCAGCAAGGTGGTCATTAGTGTCCAGGCAAGGTGGTCATTGGTGTCCAGCATGGTGGTCATTGGTGTCCACTCTGTCATAGGCCAGTGTAGTCGTAACAAATGCAGTCGGTAAGTTTGGTCCAATATCTGGAGACATTAAAGCTTGCAGTATGCGGACAAACCTTTTGTAAACCTTTTTAACGATCTGAGCAATATTCCAGCTACATATTGGCGGACTGTAAATGATCGGGTCTGACCAGACAATCCTGTGATTGATATCATGTGTGTAAATTTAGATTACTTAGCAGTTAATGTACGATCACATACATCAGCAAAGTAAGCAAACCTGACCCCTTGATCCCTCGGTCTCCTGTCACGACAACCTGGGTTGTAGTCTGTCTCACAGTCCCTGAACCACATTAATTTCCCTACTGCCAAGCCCTCTCTGCAGTGCTAAAGCCCTAAATAAAGCAGATTTCCTCAGGTTCAGGGTTGAATCTCTGGGCTCCTTTTCGATATTAATGGGCTTTGTTTGTTACCATCAAAATTATATATATTCAGAGACTAAGCCTTAGTCTACCTGGGTTGCTGAGGACCAAACGTTTTGATCTACCTCTGATTTTCGACGAATCATAAACAATATCTGCAAAAGAGGATTTCATATTGGTTTCATTTGAGAAGAGATTGGCCAAGAAAATTCAGGGGAGGTCAAAACGAGGTTGAGGTCAAAGAATGACCATTAAGTGACCTGGTCTGGTTACTCTTGGACTGTCCCTAATTCTCATCCTACGTAATGCGGACCTACAGATATAACTTGTGCTGTTTATAGATGATAGGACGTTTCGGTACAGATTCTTGTATCGTTGTCAAGCAGGTATGAATCAAGTAGAAAACGGGGTTACATCAAGTATATATGTAGTATATAACTAATAAAAACAAGAAGATAATTGAGAAGTACAGTAACAATGTGAAGACAAGGGATTATATATGTAGAAGCCAGCGGGATATACGGAGCGTTAACGTTAGAGGTGGAACATTCTTACACAAGCAGTTCGGGTTGATTGGTGAGTACGATGAACTCGTATGCACCGGGGGTGGAATAAACATCTCTATTGATCATGGGTCGGTGTCATTTGATGTGGATGGCTTCGGTTAATTTTCGTTTGGTAAAGTCAGGTTGTTCAGTAGCCGGTATTGTGAGCTCTGTCCAGTTGATTTGATAATTGGGGTTTGTTTGAATATGTTCTCAGATAACTGATTTGTTGTCGGATTTGTGTGTTTAATCTGACTATTCCTTTCTCTATCAAGGTCCGTGTTTGATGGTGGGTGCCATGCTAACTTGTGTTATGTTTTACTCTTGAATCAGACCCAGACACGTGGGACATGGCCTTAAATATTCCGGATGTGCCGGTCCGAGCACGCGTGATAGGGAAGGTGGGGACACAGGCAGGTGGCCCCGCCCACTCCTTCAACCACATCTACGACTTTATACACTTCAAGAACTACATTGAGACTCCAAACGCATTTGAGGTAGGTATGGAGGACAGGTCATGTGCTGGCAATTTGGTAGTTACAAATTATCGTTACGTAACCTTGTGGAACCATATCTTCAAATGTAACCACGTCCGTGCACCAGTGAACAGATTGTCTGCTAGGAGAGCGGCAGTCGGTGGTTGCTAGGAGAGCGGCAGTCGGTGGTTGCAAGGAGAGCGACAGTCGGTGGTTGTTAGGAGAGCGGCATTCAGTGATTGCTAGGGGATCGGTAGTCGGTGGTTGCTTGGAGAGAGGCAGTCAGTGGTTGCGAGGAGAGCGCCAGTCAGTGGTTGCTAGTTGATCGGCAGTCGGTGGCTGCTAGGAGAGCGGCAGTAGGTGGTTGCTATGGGATCGGCAGTCAGTGGTTCTTAGAAGAGCGGCAGTCGGTGGTTGCTGGGAGAGCGGCAGTCAGTGGTTGCTAGGGGAGCGGCAGTAGGTGGTTGCTAGTAGAGCGGCAGTCGGTGGTTGCTGGGAGAGCGGCAGTCGGTGGTTGCTAGTAGAGCGGCAGTCGGTGGCTGCTAGGAGAGCGGCAGTCGGTGGTTGCTAGTAGAGCGGCAGTCGGTGGCTGCTAGGAGAGCGGCAGTCGGTGGTTGCTAGTACAGCGGCAGTCGATGGTTGCTAGTAGAGCGGCAGTCGGTGGTTGCTAGGAGAGCGGCAGTCGGTGGTTGCTAGTACAGCGGCAGTCGGTGGTTGCTAGGAGAGCGGCAGTCGGTGGTTGCTAGATGATCGGCAATCGGTGGTTGGTGGTTGCTGGGAGGGCGGCAGTCGGTGGTTGCTAGGACAGCGGCAGTTGGCGGTTGGTGGTTGTTAGGGGAGCGGCAGTCGGTGGTTGCTAGATGAGCGGCAGTCGGTGGTTGCTAGTACAGCGGCAGTCGGTGGTTGCTAGTAGAGCGGCAGTCGGTGGTTGCAGGGAGAGCGGCAGTCGGTGGTTGCTAGTAGAGCGGCAGTCGGTGGTTGCTAGGGGAGCGGCAGTCGGTGGTTGGTGGTTGCTGGGAGAGCGGCAATCGGTGGTTGCAGGGAGAGCGGCAGTCGGTGGTTGCTAGTAGAGCGGCGGTCGGTGGTTGCTAGGAGAGCGGCAGTCGGTGGTTGGTGGTTGCTAGTACAGCGGCAGTCGGTGGTTGCTAGTAGAGCGGCAGTCGGTGGTTGCTAGGAGAGCGGCAGTCGGTGGTTGCTAGGAGAGCGGCAGTCGGTGGTTGCTAGGAGAGCGGCAGTCGGGGTTGCTAGTAGAGCGGCAGTCGGTGGTTGCTAGATGATCGGCAGTCGGTGGTTAGTGGTTGCTGGGAGAGCGGCAGTCGGTGGTTGCAGGGAGAGCGGCAGACGGTGGTTGCTAGTAGAGCGGCAGTCGGTGGTTGCAGGGAGAGCGGCAGTCGGTGGTTGCTAGTAGAGCGGCAGTCGGTGGTTGCTAGGGGAGCGGCAGTCGGTGGCTGCTAGATGATCGGCAGTCGATGGTTGCTAGTAGAGCGGCAGTCGGTGGTTGGTGGTTGCTGGGAGAGCGGCAGTCGGTGGTTGCTAGGAAAGCGGCGAGCAACGGTTAATGGTTGTTAGGGGAGCGGCAGTCGGTGGTTGCTAGATGATCGGCAGTCATTGGTCTCTAGGAGAGCGGCAGTCGGTGGTTGCTAGTAGAGCGGCAGTTGGTGGTTGCTAGGGAAGCGGCAGTCGGTGGTTGCTAGGAGAGCGGCAGTCGGTGGTTGCTAGTAGAGCGGCAGTCGTGGTTGCTAGTAGAGCGGCAGTCGGTGGTTGCTAGGGAGCCGCAGTCGGTGGCTGCTAGATGATCGGCAGTCGATGGTTGCTAGTAGAGCGGCAGTCGGTGGTTGGTGGTTGCTGGGAGAGCGGCAGTTGGTGGTTGCTAGGAAAGCGGCGAGCAACGGTTAATGGTTGTTAGGGGAGCAGCAGTCGGTGGTTGCTAGATGATCGGCAGTCATTGGTTTGCTAGTCGGTGGTTGCTAGTAGCGGCAGTCGGTGGTTGCTAGTAGAGCGGCAGTCGGTGGTTGCAGGGAGAGCGGCAGTCGGTGGTTGGTAGGCAGAGCGGCAGTCGGTGGTTGCTAGTAGAGCGGCAGTCGGTGGTTGCTGGGAGAGCGGCAGTTGGTGGTTGCTAGGAAAGCGGCAGTCAACGGTTAATGGTTGTTGCGGTTGGCAGCAGCAGTCGGTGGTTGCTAGATGATCGGCAGTCATTGGTCTCTAGGAGAGCGGCAGTCGGTGGTTGCTAGTAGAGCGGCAGTCGGTGGCGGCAGTCGGTGGTTGCTAGGAGAGCGGCAGTCGGTGGTTGGTTGCTAGGAGAGCGGCAGTCGGTGGTTGCTAGTAGAGCGGCAGTCGGTGGTTGCTGGTTGCTAGCGCGCAGTCGGTGGTTGCTAGGAGAGAGCGGCAGTCAGTTAGTACAGCGGCAGTCGGTGGTTGCTAGGAGAGCGGCAGTCGGTGGTTGCTAGTTGATCGGCAGTCGGCAGTCGGTGGTTGCTAGAGAGCGGCAGTCGGTGGTTGCCAGTAGAGCGGCAGTCGGTGGTTGCTAGTAGAGCGGCAGTCGGTGGTTTGCTAGGAGCGGCAGCGGCAGTCGGTGGTTGCTGGTAGAGCGGCAGTCGGTGGTTGCTAGTAGAGCGGCAGTCGGTGGTTGCTAGGAGAGCGGCAGTCGGTGGTTGCTGTACAGCGGCAGAGCGGCAGTGTGGTCTAGGGAGAGCGGCAGTCGGTGGTTGCTAGAGCGGCAGTCATTGGTCTGGCTGCTAGGAGAGCGGCAGTCGGTGGTTGCTAGTAGAGCGGCAGTCGGTGGTTGGTGGTTGCTAGGAGAGCGGCAGTCGGTGGTTGCTAGATGATCGGCAGTCGGTGGTTGCTGGTTGCTAGGAGAGCGGCAGTCGGTGGTTGCTAGAGAGCGGCAGTCGGTGGTTGCTAGGAGAGCGGCAGTCGGTGGTTGCTAGATGAGTAGAGCGGCAGTCGGTGGTTGCTGGGAGAGCGGCAGTCGGTGGTTGGTGGTTATTGGTACAGCGAGTCGGTGGTTGGCGGCAGTCGGTGGTTGGTGGTTGCTAGAGCGGCAGTCGGTGGTTGCTAGTAGAAGCGGCAGTCGGTGGTTGCTAGGACAGCGGCAGTCGGTGGTTGCTAGGATGATCGGCAGTCGGTGGTTGCTAGTAGATCGGCAGTCGGTGGTTGGGTTGGTGGTTGCTGGGAGAGCGGCAGTCGGTGGTTAGATGATCGGCAGTCGGTGGTTTGCTAGTAGAGCGGCAGTCGGTGGTTGCTAGGGGAGCGGCAGTCGGTGGTTGGTGGTTGCTGGGAGAGCGGCAGTCGATGGTTGCTAGGAGAACGGCAGTCGGTGGTTGCTAGTAGAGCGGCAGTCGGTGGTTGCTAGTAGAGCGGCAGTTGGTGGTTGCTAGGGAAGCGGCAGTCGGTGGTTGCTAGGAGAGCGGCAGTCGGTGGTTGCTAGTAGAGCGGCAGTCGTGGTTGCTAGTAGAGCGGCAGTTGGTGGTTGCTAGGGGAGCCGCAGTCGGTGGCTGCTAGATGATCGGCAGTCGATGGTTGCTAGTAGAGCGGCAGTCGGTGGTTGGTGCTGGGAGAGCGGCAGTCGGTGGTTGCTAGGAAAGCGGCGAGCAAAGCGGCGGTTAATGGTTGTTAGGGGAGCAGCAGTCGGTGGTTGCTAGATGATCGGCAGTCATTGGTCTCTAGGAGAGCGGCAGTCGGTGGTTGCTAGTAGAGCGGCAGTCGGTGGTTGCTAGGAGAGCGGCAGTCGGTGGTTGCTAGTAGAGCGGCAGTCGGTGGTTGCTAGGAGCGGCAGTCGGTGGTTGCTAGTAGAGCGGCAGTCGGTGGTTGCTAGTAGAGCGGCAGTCGGTGGCTGCTAGATGATCGGCAGTCGGTGGTTGCTAGTAGAGCGGCAGTCGGTGGTTGGTGGTTGCTGGGAGAGCGGCAGTCGGTGGTTGCTAGGAAAGCGGCGAGCAACGGTTAATGGTTGTTAGGGGAGCAGCAGTCGGTGGTAGCTAGAGGATCGGCAGTCATTGGTCTCTAGGAGAGCGGCAGTCGGTGGTCTCTAGGAGAGCGGCAGTCGGTGGTTGCAGGGAGAGCGGCAGTCGGTGGTCTCTAGGAGAGCGGCAGTTGGTGGTTGCTAGCGGCAGTCGATGGTTGCTAGTAGAGCGGCAGTCGGTGGTTGCTGGTTGCTGGGAGAGCGGCAGTCGGTGGTTGCTAGGAAAGCGGCGAGCAACGGTTAATGGTTGTTAGGGGAGCAGCAGTCGGTGGTCGCTAGATGATCGGCAGTCGGTGGTCTGCTAGTACAGCGGCAGTCGGTGGTTGCTAGTACAGCGGCAGTCGGTGGATTGTGGTTGCTGGGAGAGCGGCAGTCGGTGGTCTCTAGGAGAGCGGCAGTCGGTGGTTGCTAGTACAGCGGCAGTCGGTGGTTGCTAGTACAGCGGCAGTCGGTGGATTGTGGTTGCTGGGAGAGCGGCAGTCGGTGGTTGCTAGATGATCGACAGTCATTGGTCTCTAGGAGAGCGGCAGTCGATGGTTGCTAGTAGAGCGGCAGTCGGTGGTTTGTGGTTGCTGGGAGAGCGGCAGTCGGTGGTTGCTAGATGATCGGCAGTCATTGGTCTCTAGGAGAGCGGCAGTCGGCGGTTGCTAGTAGAGCGGCAGTCGGTGGTTGCTAGGGGAGCGGCAGTCGGTGGCTGCTAGATGATCGGCAGTCGATGGTTGCTAGGAGAGCGGCAGTCGGTGGTTGGTGGTTGCTGGGAGAGCGGCAGTCGTTGGTTGCTAGAAAAGCGGCGAGCAACGGTTAATGGTTGCTAGGGGAGCAGCAGTCGGTGTTGCTAGATGATCGGCAGTCATTGGTCTCTAGGAGAGCGGCAGTCGATAGTTGCTAGTAGAGCGGCAGTCGGTGGTTTGTGGTTGCTGGGAGAGCGGCAGTTGGTGGTTGCTAGCGGCAGTCGATGGTTGCTAGTAGAGCGGCAGTCGGTGGTTGCTGGTTGCTGGGAGAGCGGCAGTCGATAGTTGCTAGGAAAGCGGCGAGCAACGGTTAATGGTTGCTAGGGGAGCGGCAGTCGGTGGTTGCTAGGAGATCGGCAATTAATGGTCTCTAGGAGAGCGGCAGTCGATGGTTGCTAGAAGAGCGAAAGTTGCTGGTTGCTAGGAGAGCGGCAGTTTACACATATGTGTAAATATTTAAGGAAACATGCATGATCATATTGACAGTAAAGCTTATGCTTGCAAAAAGTATGCCGACTGATATAATAAACTGGCTGAAGTACTGTTAAACGCAACTGAAGGGCGCTGGGAACGAACCAAGTCCCTGTAGGCATTGGCGCATGACGAGGCACACGCTAATTAGTACCAAAAATAAAGAAAGCAAGCGAGTGACCTATTCCTGTTGCAGATTATCCCTGGTTGTACTCAACGTTGCGTCATACCAAATGACCTTAAAAGTTGGTACTTGTTACTGCCCTGCCTGGCGCTCACTCACTATTATCCCAAGCTATGACAATCGTAGCAAATACACGTAATTTGTTATACACTGAAGGGGAACCCCAGCAATGTCCAGCAGTGCAGCGGCGTACCCACACTCCTGCACAGCGATGACTTAACATAACATCACTGCCACAGGCTAATTTGCATATCACGTGACCGGACTTTTCTCTTGTTTGTAATCAAACGCGCATATTCATAATAAGAAGAGACTGGACTCACGAAAGCTTTTCGGCGGTCTCTTCATAATGTTTTACATTGTTACATATATATTCTTCCACAACTGCGACAGTAAGGTCTATGGCAGTACATATTTTGATATCAAACTGGCTGCATCGTTTGCTCTCCATCAGCTTCGATGACAGAACGTGGAGCCGTACAACCTATGTAAACAAAAGGATCGCTACGCAAATCGAAATAGTGTTACATGTTTTAGGATATTTTCTCAATGAAACTAAACCATTCTATCAAAGATGTTTACTTAGTTGTGTAGACTCGTCAAAAATAAAAGAGTTGAGAAATATGTAAATTATATTGAATGGACGGAGCAAGATGTGACGAATCGTCACATTTTTCTGGCCTGTGGAAGAGATACTATGCTGGCTTGCCGCATGGAACTCTGGGTAGAAGAGTGCGGCGTACCGGGACATTAGGAACAAGCTATGAGAGACTGAACGAAAACTTCATTATCCGTCAGATATTGGTATCTTTCTCCATGTTCAGTGGAATTCATTACACATGTTATATATGGGATAGTTACACTTTCTCAGTTAAATAGTAAAGTAAAGATTCCCATGCCACCCGGGATTCGAACCCACACCCTCAGGGTCTGACATGTAATCAAAAGCACCCTGACTATGAGAGTGTGGGTTGATCACCTTCTAAACGGCATTGTGTGTTCAAATACCTTCACAAATTCCTTTTCACCCTATTAATCAAGAATTTAATTTAATCGGATTTAAGAACTATGTACACATAGGTTCAATTTGTGAAGCTCATTTCTGATGTCCCCGGCCGTGATATTGCTCGACTATTGCTAAAAGCGGCGTAAAAAACTAAACTATTGCTAAGTGAAGCTAAGAGGCCTAAAACTAAACTCATTCACTATTAATCAATAAATCGACATATGATCCCTGAAATATCAACAAACATACCTTCAACGGTTGCATGTTTTCTTCAAGCTTGTTTTAATAGGTTATATTCGCTAATAGGTCTATCAGATATACAACCTCGGCTTGTATTCAAAACATGATATTTGGCAGAATTGTGTCCCGTAGGAGTGCCAGGATCAGGCGACCATGGGTTTGAATCTTTTATTTTATTTTTTATTATAGGATATTTATATAGCACACATATCCACGCACTAGTGCATGCTCAAGGCGTTGGTATTTTTTCCCTCGATCATTGGATGTCAATCTCAACGGCACATCGCATTATCAATCTCAACTCCCTGGGGAGTATACAACTCTTGCAGCCACTAGGCGAACCGAGTTATTGTGGCTTTCTCATCCTAACGAGGTACCCATTCACAGTTGGGTGGACTGGGACACATAGTCACAGTACTTTGTCCATGTTCACTGCACGTTGCTGTACCCGCAACTAGGTGTTTGCACGTATTCATGTGGCCACCATCTGGTCAAATGCCAACGGATTCGTGGGTTCTTTTAAGTGCACAGGGTAGTGTACTGTACACTAGGGGTTGTGTACTGTACACTAGGGGTTGTGACAACACTGAAAGAGTCTGCACACAAACTTGACTCCATGGTTTTTACACCCGGTCACAGGTGGGCTCGATCCCGACACATTAAGATCGCTGGATCACTAGCCTGGCGCCTTAGCCAGCTCGCCCACTGCGCCCCACGGAATCTTTTACCAACCCTGGTTGTGATGCCACTATTGTCACGATTCATCAACCCAGAGAACATCTAGACTCTTCCTTAAATTCAATGAAGGTTCTTCCTTCAATGGCACTGACAGGCAGTCGTACAACTGAAATACAAAAATGTACTGTCCTAAGCCGCTTTAAACCGGGGGCGGTGGGGTAGCCTAGTGGTTAAAGCGTTCGCTCGTCAAGCCGAAGAACCGGGTCCGATTGCCCACATGGGTACAATGTGTGAAGCCCATATTGCTGAAATATTGGTAAAAGTGGCGTAAAACTAACTTCACTCACTTACACCAAAGTTCACTGATTCAAGGTTGATTTTGTTGATGTTTAGACGCCAGGTGAAGTATCGTGCCCAGGACGAGTGAATACAAGGCCGTTCCCATACGTCGCACCGGCTTTCCACCAGACTGTAGAGATTGTCGACAAGGTTAATCAGGACGTCACCTCTATGAAGGTGAGGCTCATAGTTTATATATACACAAAGAACTTAGTTAAGCACCCCCCTGACACATCTCACGATTGAATGAACCCCGATCTTAACCGTTTGGAGCATGTATGGGACATGATTGGTCGTCGTGTGCAACAAAGGGATCCTCCTGTATAGAACCTGACCCAATGTGGAGCTGCTTTAGATGGGAAATGGCGTAGACTGTCCCTTCAGAGGAGCAGGAGACTGACAGGGGGTATGATGAGGAGAGAGCTAGGTTTCATACAGTCACATGGAGGTTACACTCGGTATTGATCTAGGGTCGTGTAAGACACGCAAACTGACATTTTGAATGTTCACATTCACCAATAAATTCAGCATAAAACATCCCAGGGCGATAATTATACAGACATGGTTTTGTATGAAAATCAATGTGTGTGTTTTTTTAAATAAGCAATTATCAACATGGATTCCAATCATTTTGTCGTTTTTTATGAGTCAAAGGATCATACTGGGTCAGAAAAACTCCTGTATTTCCATCGTGCTCACCAGGAGAAGTTTATGAGGGTGTTGCAAACATATCATTGCAAAAATACAGGGGATGCTTAATTAAGTTCTCTGAGTATATGTTTGTGTTCCCGTCCGTCTTACACTCTGTACGTCGTTTCGGATCAGAGGTTGTTGGAACATGGCGTTTATGTTAGGCTGATTTCCATGACTGGGGACATATTAAACTTGTAGACATTTTAACACGTGTACGTGAACAAATGTCCACTTTTTGTATGTGCTTGTCAACACATTGTGTAGGGGGTTGTGGACAAAATAACACGTTGTGTATGTGGTTGTGGGCATAATAACACGTTGTGTAGATGGTTGTGGACACACTAACACGTTGTGTAGATGGTTGTGGGCATAATAACACGTTGTGTAGATGGTTGTGGACATAATAACACGTTGTGTAGATGGTTGTGCACATAATAACACGTTGTGTAGATGGTTGTGGACATAATAACACGTTGTGTAGATGGTTGTGGACATAATAACACGTTGTGTAGATGGTTGTGGACATAATAACACGTTGTGTAGATGGTTGTGGACATAATAACACGTTGTGTAGATGGTTGTGGACATAATAACACGTTGTGTAGATGGTTGTGGACATAATAACACGTTGTGTAGATGGTTGTGGACATAATAACACGTTGTGTAGATGGTTGTGGACATAATAACACGTTGTGTAGATGGTTGAGGACATAATAACACGTTGTGTAGGTGGGTGTGGACATAATAACACGTTGTGGTGGTTGTGGACATAATAACACGTGTGTAGATAATAATAACGTTGTGTAGATGGTTGTGGACATAATAACACGTTGTGTAGATGGTTGTGGACATAATAACACGTTGTGTAGATGGTTGTGGACATAATAACACGTTGTGTAGATGGTTGTGGACATAATAACACGCTGTGTAGATGGTTGTGGACATAATAACACGTTGTGTAGATGGTTGTGGACATAATAACACGTTGTGTAGATGGTTGTGGACATAATAACACGTTGTGTAGATGGTTGTGGACATAATAACACGTTGTGTAGATGGTTGTGCACATAATAACACGTTGTGTAGATGGTTGTGGGCATAATAACACGTTGTGTAGATGGTTGTGGACATAATAACACGTTGTGTAGATGGTTGTGGACATAATAACACGTTGTGTAGATGGTTGTGGACATAATAACACGTTGTGTAGATGGTTGTGGACATAATAACACGTTGTGTAGATGGTTGTGGACATAATAACACGTTGTGTAGATGGTTGTGGACATAATAACACGTTGTGTAGATGGTTGTGGACATAATAACACGTTGTGTAGATGGTTGTGGACATAATAACACGTTGTGTAGGTGGTTGTGGACATAATAACACGTTGTGTAGGTGGTTGTGGACATAATAACACGTTGTGTAGATGGTTGTGGACATAATAACACGTTGTGTAGATGGTTGTGGACATAATAACACGTTGTGTAGATGGTTGTGGACATAATAACACGTTGTGTAGATGGTTGTGGACATAATAACACGTTGTGTAGATGGTTGTGGACATAATAACACGTTGTGTAGATGGTTGAGGACATAATAACACGTTGTGTAGGTGGGTGTGGACATAATAACACGTTGTGTAGATGGTTGTGGACATAATAACACGTTGTGTAGATTGTTGTGGACATAATAACACGTTGTGTAGTTGGTTGTGGACATAATAACACGTTGTGTAGATGGTTGTGGACATAATAACACGTTGTGTAGATGGTTGTGGACATAATAACACGTTGTGTAGGTGGTTGTGGACATAATAACACGTTGTGTAGGTGGCTGTGGACATAATAACACGTTGTGTAGATGGTTGTGGACATAATAACACGTTGTGTAGGTGGTTGTGGACATAATAACACGTTGTGTAGGTGGGTGTGGACATAATAACACGCTGTGCGTGTGGTTTTGGACATAATAACACGTTGTGTAGGTGGTCGTGGACATAATAACACGTTGTGTAGGTGGTTGTGGACATAATAACACGTTGTGTCTGTAGTTATGGACATAATAACACGTTGTGTATGTGGCTGTGGACATAACAACACGTTGTGTAGGTGGTTGTGAACATAATACCACGTTGTGTATGTGGTTGTGGACATAATTACACGTTGTGTAGACCACAGGGGCGTGTCACGCTTAGAAACAGCGTTAGAAAGACATATAGGTATATAGACCCTACCCTAGTACTATATAAAAGGAAAGGGATGTAACGACGGAACCACCCCCTCCTCAATCAAAGTTAGATTTCACCACGTAAACTAGTTTTAAGGCCCCGTCGAGGCCTACGGATCGAAAGCGAGATGGTTTCCCTACAAAATGAGCTATAAATGGTCACAATGGGATCATTATTTCAAAAGTTATACGCCACGACTCACTGAAAACACCTACCTCCGGAATTCCAAGCCAAAATCATGGATCACCCAAGACAGCGAAAACTCACCTTTTAAATTCGTTTATTAATTCCAGCCACGTTGACAACACCTATGTAGGGCTAGATTCGACCGGCAGCGGTATTCCACGGGTCTAAAAGCTTATTGCAACATCTACTAATCATTTCCTCGACAGTAAGCAGACATGTTCTCCAAAACCATCGGCAATCATACTAACTTGTCGGCCATAGATGGCCTTGACATTTAAGCAGCCTGATCAGTAAATTGGTAAAAATAATTTTAGAGGTTAAATATTTGTAAATAGAATTTCCTAAAAATGAATCAGTATCGAATACATTTTAACAACCTCTAAAATTATTCTTAACAATTTACTGTTCCGTACATGATCCAAAATAGAAGAAATATTGCAAAGTTCATATTTCGCGCCCATTATCAAACAGTCAAATCTTACAGTATATTACATTTTCCACCAATCGGATGGCCTAATTCAGTTTCTGCGGATCTGCTCAGATCACTTGAATGTCAAGGCCGTCTATGGCCGACAAGTGAGTATGATTGCCGATGGTTTTGGAGAAAGTGCCTGCTTACTGTCGAGGAAATGATTTGTAGATGTTGCAATAAGTTTTTAGACCCGTGGAATACCGCTGCCGGTCGAATCTAGCCCTACATAGGTGCTGTCAACGTGGCTGGAATTAATAAACGAATTTAAAAGGTGAGTTTTCGCTGTCTTGGGTGATCCATGATTTTGGCTTGCAATTCCGGAGGTAGCTGTTTTCAGTGAGTCGTGGCGTATAACTTTTGAAATAATGATCCATTGTGACCATTTATAGCTCATGTTGTAGGGCAATCATCTCGCTTTCGATCCGTAGGCCTCGACGGGGCCTTAAAACTAGTTTACGTGGTGAAAGTTAACTTTGATTGAGGAGGGGGTGGTTCCGTCGTTACACCCCTTTCCTTTTATATAGTACTAGGGTAGGGTCTATATACCTATATGTCTTTCTAACGCTGTTTCTAAGCGTGACACGCCCCTGTGGTGTAGATGGTTGTGGACATAATAACACGTCGTGTGTGTGGCTCTGGATATAGTAACACGTTGTGTAGGTGGTTGTGGACATAATAACACGTTGTGTATGTGGTTATGGACAGAATAACACGTTGTGTATGTGGCTGTGGACATAACAACACGTTGTGTATGGGGTTGTGGACATATTAACACGTTGTGTAGGTGTTGGTTGACATAATAACACGTTGTGTAGATGGTTGTGACCATAATAACACGTTGTGTAGGTGGTTGTGGACATAATAACACGTTGTGTAGTTGGTTGTGGACATAATAACACGTTGTGTAGGTGGTTGGGGGCGATTGGGGGTAGTCTAGTGGTTAAAGCGTTGGCTCGTCACGCAAAGACCCGGGTTCGAATCCCCACATGGGTATAATGAGTGAAGCCCATATCTGGTGTCCCCCGCCGTGATATTGCTGGAATATTGCCAAAAGCGGCGTAAAACCAAATTCAGTCAGTCAGTGTTTCACCCCATACAGTTTCACCCGGGATGTTTCACCCCATACAGTTTCACCCCATACAGTTTCTTCCCATTTAGAGGTTGTTTCACCTCAGCAAATAATTATTATCATTATCAACTATAAAATTGTTTCAATATTTTTTTTCATCTGTGTAATGTGTCGAAACAGCATATTCAGATTGTTTGAATAATTGTATCAGTTCATATTGGCTGTGATGGATCGGGTGAAGTCCTTCAGGGACGATAGCAAGTAGCTGCCCTGGACAGGAATGAATTTGTGGAGAGTCCCTTGGCTGTGTACTGTGTCCAGAGGTGAAGAAGCTTCTCGTGGATCTTCTTGAATTCCTATTGTGATTGTTGTAAAAACACCAAGTTATGTGTCACGTGTAGACGTTCTGTGGCGATATTCTGCAGGAGTGGTTTGACTACTTCACTAAGTTATCTTGCAGGAGTGGTTCGACTACTCCAACAAGCTATGCTACTCCTCCACTAAGCTATGTGTCATGTGTAGTTGTGTGACGTTATCTGTGACTACTCCACTAAGCTATGTGTCATCGTTGTGACGTTATCCTACAGGAGTGGTTCGACTACTCCACCAAGCTATGTGTCATGTGTAAACGTTGTGTGACGTTATCCTACAGGAGTGGTTCGACTTATTCTCCACTAAGTTATGTGTCATGTGTAAACGTTGTGTGACGTTATCCTACAGTTATCCTACTCCACTAAGCTATGTGTCATGTGTGTTGTGTGACGATCTAGGAGCTTCGACTACTCACCAAGCTATGTGTCATGTGTAAACGTTCTGTAACGTTATCCTGCAGGAGTGGTTCAACTACTCCACCAAGCTATGTGTCATGTGTAAACGTTGTGTGACGTTATCCTGCAGGAGTGGTTCAACTACTCCACCAAGCTATGTGTCATGTGTAAACGTTGTGTGACGTTATCCTACAGGAGTGGTTCGACTACTCCACCAAGCTATGTGTCATGTGTAAACGTTGTGTGACGTTATCCTACAGGAGTGGTTCGACTACTCCACCAAGCTATGTGTCATGTGTAAACGTTGTGTGACGTTATCCTGCAGGAGTGGTTCAACTACGCCACCAAGCTATGTGTCATGTGTAAACGTTGTGTGACGTTATCCTGCAGGAGTGGTTCGACTACTCCACCAAGCTATGTGTCATGTTTAACCGTTCTGTGACGTTATCCTACAGGAGTGGTTCGACTACGCCACCAAGCTGACCAAGTACGTCTACACGCCAATACCAGGGGCGAGTATGTTTGGAACCCGATCGTTGACAGAAATACACGATTTCAATACTGGTAAAGTTTTCACACGTTTTGTTTGCTATGATGCTTTCCATATGTTTTTGGTTTCTTATATAAACCTCAAGTTGTAAGAGAGCTGAAAAAAGTATGAAGTTATGAAGTTATGAAAATATAAAAATAAGAAAAACTGAGTGTTTTTGACTATGTTTATTACATATCTTATGAAATTAAAAGAAACGTATATCGCTTTGTAGTTGTATATAAATAGATATAGGATGTAGACTTAGATCTTTATATGGATATTGTTACAAGGCATGGCGTTCTTCCGTTGTATCCTGATTTGACAGGCATTGTTACAAGGCGTCAATCATGTGTATCCTCGTTGTGTGGTGTTTTTCACAAGGTATGGCGTACGTGACGGACAACGAGCTAGGCAACTGCTCGTGGGTGCCGATAGAGCAGTCTACGTTCGATGATGAGAACGCCGGACCATATGACGTCAGACAGAGGACATCCCAGGAATTCTTCTACATGAACGCCGACACAACTTCGTATGAAGGCGTGGTGAGTGAGATAATGGTGGACTTGTAATATAGATAGTGTAAAACATATCAGTACCCTGTTTGTGTTGGGGTCGCATCTGAGTGTGTGGTGCGTGAGATAGTTTCACTCTCTTTGAAGAGTGGTTTGTGTGTGAGTCACACCTGAGAGTGTGGTGCGTGAGAGAGCGGCACACGCTTCAAGGCCTCGCTTGTGTGTGGTGGTCACACCTGAGAGTGTTGTGAGTGAGAGAGCGGCACACGCTTCAAAGCCTGGTTTATGTTTGGGGGTCACACCTGAGAGTGTTGTGAGTGAGAGAGCGGCACACGCTTCAAAGCCTGGCTTATGTTTGGGGGTCACACCTGAGAGTGTTGTAAGTGAGAGAGCGGCACACGCTTCCAAAGCCTGGCTTATGTTTGGGGGTCACACCTGAGAGTGTTGTAAGTGAGAGAGCGGCACACGCTCCAAAGCCTGGCTTATGTTTGGGGGTCACACCTGAGAGTGTTGTGAGTGAGAGAGCGGCACACGCTTATGTTTGGGCCTCACACCTAAGTTTGGAGTGAGAGAGCGGCACACGCTCCAAAGCCTGGCTTATGTTTGGGGGTCACACCTGAGAGTGTTGTGAGTGAGAGAGCGGCACACGCTCCAAAGCCTGGCTTATGTTTGGGGGTCACACCTGAGAGTGTTGTGAGTGAGAGAGCGGCACACGCCCCAAAGCCTGACTTGTGTGGGGGTACGTACTTCGATTTAACCAAGGTTCGAAACAACCGCAACAAAATGCTGAAATAAGGTATACGCCTTTGTCTTAGTTAAGGGTGCCACGGTTTAGCTCTTTCCATACGACGTAATTTTTTCACAGATGCACATATATCCTAAGGACGTGATATCACGTCCAGGCATCAACAACTCTTGCATACGACCAGATTTTTCCATCCGTAGCCTCTGAATTCGATGGACGAGATATTACGTCCGATTTTTACAATGTTTCCATACGAGGGACGTGATAACTCGTCTACTCATACTAAACATTTTTCACAGTTTTCTAGCCGTGTATCCTCGTCCTTCGACTGTAATTCGTGTACTTTGTGACAGTGCATTTTTTAGGATTTACTTGATTATCTCCCCTGGTCAAAACCACGCATTCGTTCACAGGATGTCATGACCCTATAATCCTAAGTGATGACATAAATCTACTAAATTGTGGTCGTTAGTGATGGGTACCACGGTGCTTCGTGAAGGGTACCACGGTGACTTGTGATTGGTATCACGGTGTTTCGTGAGGGTACCACGGTGACTTAGTGATGGGTACCACGGTGTTTCGGGAGGGTACCACGGTGACTTGTGATTGGTATCACGGTGTTTCGTGAGGGTACCACGGTGACTTAGTGATGGGTACCACGGTGTTTCGGGAGGGTACCACGGTGACTTAATGATGGGTACCATGGTGCCGTATCGACGGTGACTTAGAAGCGGGTACCCAGGTGATTAGTGACGTTCTACAATATTGTAACTTGCAGAAAGTTCAGGTTAACCAATGTCACGCTCATAAATACATATACATGTATATGTTGCAGAAAAAAACGCGCAATATTGAGGCGTACAACTGGGTGGGGCGGAGGAGCGATTATCCACCCAAAAAACCAATCAACTCCACGTGGCAATGGTTCTTCAGGACGGTATGTAATGGTTATCACATGGTACATGGTAAAATGTTTACATATGCTATGATTATTACATGATACTTGGTACTAGGTTTCTCACATGTCATGATTATCACAGTACTTGGCACAAGATTTTACATAAGTCCACATGGTACTAGGTACAAGGTTTCTCATAAGTCATATTTATCACATGGTACTTGGTACAAGGTTTCTCATATGTCATGATTATGCCATGGTACTTGGTAGAAGGTTTCTCATATGTCATGATTATCACATGGTACTTGGTACAAGGTTATATGTCATGATTATCATGGTACTTGGTAGAAGGTTTCTCATATGATTATCACATCACTTGGTAGAAGGTTTCTCATATGTCATGATTATCACATGGTACTTGGTACAAGGTTTCTCATATGTCATGATTATCACATGGTACTTGGTACAAGGTTTCTCATATGTCATGATTATCACATGGTACTTGGTACAAGGTTTCTCATATGTCATGATTATCACATGGTACTTGGTACAAGGTTTCTCATAGGTCATTCTCATATGTACAAGGTTCCTCATATGTCATGATTATCACATGGTACTTGGTACAAGGTTTCTCATATGTCATGATTATCACATGGTACTTGGTAGAAGGTTTCTCATATGTCATGATTTATCACATGGTAATTGGTACTAGGTTTCTCATATGTCATGATTATGCCATGGTACTTGGTAGAAGGTTTCTCATATGTCATGATTATCACATGGTACTTGGTACAAGGTTTCTCATATGTCATGATTATCACATGGTACTTGGTATAAGGTTTCTCATAAGTCATGATTATCACATGGTACTTGGTACAAGGTTTCTCACATGGCATGATTATCACATGGTACTTGGTATTAGGTTTCTCATATGTCAATAGTAAAAATACATTGTATAAGTTATATAAGATTTCATGACGTTTGGTTGGCAGACCAAGCAATCTGCTAGTTTTCATTTCCAAAACCTGAATTTACTTTATAAATAATAACCATGTGGGCAACACAAAAGAACTGCTGTCACCGCCAGACGTTGCCGAGTGATACATTACAATAACTTGCCATCGTGTATTCTTATTTTTTAGTAACGTAGTCTTTCAAATAAGTTCTTAAAACTAGCGCACTTATTGCAATTACAAAATGTATATCGAGTGTGTTTTGTGCCTTTGCAGGAAGTTGATATTGTTTTTGAGGTATTGAGTGAACACGTCCTTTACAAATATGCTAGGGTATAATCGGACCAAAATTGCAACAATTGCAGTGGGTTTCAGTTTGTGCCTAATCAATGCGCATAAATATATTAGATCTTAATGTCAGACGGGGGCGGTGGGGTAGCCTGGTGGTTAAAGCGGTCCCTCGTCACATCGAAGACCCGGGTTCGATTCCCCACATGGATACAATGAGTAAAGCCCATTATTGTGTTCCCCGCCGGGATATTGTCGGAATATTGCTAAAAGTGGCGTAAAACCAAACTCACTCATTCAAGGTCCCTGAATCAATCAGATAAGCCCATTTCTGGTGTTCCCCAGCGGCACATCGCTGGAATATTGCTAAAGGCGGCGTGAAACCATATTCACTCACTACCTGCTCTAATCTGTATTTTTTATGTAGGACAACTACTCGTCCGCCGAGGACCACAATGCCATGTTTCATCAAGGGGTGCCTCTCCAGTTGACAGTGTCGATGGGTGTTGTAAGTTATCTCCCTTTCCTTGAAAACGATTCAGAAAGTTAATGCATCATGTGCATCTTGAGTGAAATTGATGCTATGTCACTTCATGAATGAACGTTCATATTACGGCATAAGGCTTACTATATAGTACATTCAATCACATGGATGACTCCCGCTTCGAAGTAGCCTAATTGTTAAAGCGTTCGCTCGTCACGCCGATGAGCCGAGTTCGATTCCGTACGTAAGCTCAGTGTTCGAAGCCCATTTCTGATGTCCCCCGCCATGGTAGAGCTGGTATATGGTCGAAAGAGGTGTACAAGCCATCTATTTCACTCATGAAATGGTTCTTCCTGGCAGTTCCGACCCGTGAAGATCCGGGTTAGAATTGGTCTTCAGCATCCCATGCTTGTCGTAAGAGGCGACTAGCGGAATTAGGAGGTCAGACTTGCTGACTTGGTTGGCACATGCCATCGTATCTAAATTGCGAAGATCGATCCTCATGCCGTTACCACTGGATTGTCTGGTCCAGACTCGATTATTTACAGACCCCCGGGATATAGTTGGAATATTGCTGAGTGCGGCGTTAAACAATGTAAAGTACAGATTCTAGTACGTTTGCTGGGTTTGAGTCCCATCCGGGATTCGAACCCACACCCTCAGAGTCAGGCACTTATCCGCCAGCACACATAGTCAGACGCCTAACCCGCTCAGCCACCTTTGAATACCGGATGGGACTCACCCCAACAAAAGTACTAGAATCTGTACTTTGCTGAGAAAGTGTAATCCCAAATGTAACAAATGTTACATTTGACCACTTTCAAAATGGTACTGTGTATTCCAAGTAAACAAATAAACAAATAATGTTTACAGTTCGAGTACGAATACAACATCTTCGACTACACCCAGAACCGCCCCGACCTCCTCAACTGGGACATCAGCGCCTGCTACATAAACTTAAACAGAAGGAGCTTTGACTTCACTGTCCCAGGTAGGAATATGTTATCTCAGGAAATAATATATATCTCATAAATGAATACATTGCCTCAGGTAGGAATGCTATTATATATCGGGAAACAATTCTGCCCTCAGGATGGCATACTTAATCTCAGGTAGGAATTCCTATTTCAGGAAATATCGGGAAAATAGGGAAGACTATTTATATACAAAAAAATATTTCTTTCCTCAGGAAGAAATACACTATCTCGGTAAGGTAATTTTGTATTGTGAGTAAGTGAGTGAGTGAGTGAGTAAGTGAGTGAGTGAGTGAGTGAGTGAGTGACTAGGGGCGATTACTGGTATCAAACAAAAAGTGAGCCTGATTTGCTTCATGGTTAATAATAAATATTGTCTCAAGAACAATTCTAAACAAGGTAGAAGTAAATGGTTTTTAATAAAGCAAGGGCGTGGGTGATTGCGTGTGCGCGTGTGTGTTTGCCTGTGTGCGCACGTGTGTGTTTGTGGGTGTATATGCGTGTGTGCTTGTGTTAGTGTGTGTGTTAGTGTTCTGTGCTGTATATATTGTGTTCACGGTTGTTGTTTGTTGTTCAGGTTCCTATGCTGCCACTATCGACAGGGATAGAACAACCTTCGGTTATACAGTTCTGGAGGAGATTGTGGTCATCACTGGAGCATCCCCACTCCGAATAGCCAAGCTCAGGGTAAACTCAAGCACACATTACCAATTAAAACCTAACACCTGTTAAACTGAATCCCACAAAAACATATAAGCCGTGAACGCGGACTTCACAGTGATAAAACTGTTGAAACAGTAGACGCTACTTACCAGTGGGACATCCTAGGGTGGGCGACCGTAACGGTAAAGTAATGTCTCCTCAGGAGGAACCAACCCCTGAAGATCCTGGTTAGAACTGGTCTTCAGTAACCACTGCTTGTCGTAAGGGGCGACTAACAGGATCGGGTGGTCAGGCTCGCTGACTTGGTTGACACATGTCATCGTATCCCAACTGCGTAGATCGATGCTCATGCTGTTGATCACTGGATTGTCTGGTCCCTACTCGATTATTTACAGACCGCCGCCATATAGCTGGAATATTGCTGAGTGCGGCGTTAAACAACAAACCAACTAATCATGAGCGATCTGTCGGGACGCTGTTACCGGAAGTCGTCAGCGAGTGCCTGCCCAAACTGTTGATGTCGCACTCGTCTACCCAGCTCATCCCAAATCTGCTCGATCGGTCAAGTCGGGGAAATGGGAAGGCACGTTCATGAAATCAGCACCATTGTTCTTTTTTCAACGTCTTTTAAAAGAATCAAAATATCGGAAAATATTATTTGGTCCTAAATTCCAAACATTCCTTGGAGAAACACTAACAGTATCTGTTGTCCTGCAGCTTGTGTTCGAGGAGGATGTCCACATCCGGTTTGACTTCCTTGATACCGCACCCATGAAGGGAGACGTCCACAACGAGTCGAAGGAGGTGTCGTTGGACGTTGCCGTCGCTTCCTTTATGTCCGCAGTCAACAATAACCAGTTTGTCATCCCATTCACTCCGCTCTCGATTGGAATGGTGAGATGATCAGTTGAGGGGACTCACGACTCAGACCCTATCTAGCCAGACACCGGTGGGGCACTTGTTAATTAATGAAAACACACAACCCACTGTCCATTCATCCATCCATTGAGAGGCGAAGACCCGACTCTATCTAGACCCACGCGACCCAACGCCACCCACATACGACCAAAACGCGACCCACACGACCCATACGCGACCCACATGCGACCAAACATGCGACCCATACGCGATCAACACCCGACCCACACGCGCCCACGCGACCAACACGCCAGAATGCCATGCGACCAGAATGCGACCCACACGCGACCAGCATGCGACCCACGAGTAACCCATGCGGCCCACACGCAAACATGACCAACACGCGACCCACATGCGACCCATACGCGATCAACATGCGACCCACACACCAACACGACCCATACGCGACCAACACGCGACCAACACGCGACCAACATGCGACCCATACGCGACCAACATGCGACCCACACGCGACCCATACGCGACCAACACGCGACCAATATGCGACCCATACGCGACCAACATGCGACCCATACGCGACCAACATGCGATCCGGACCAACATGCGACCATACGCGACCCACACTCGACCAACATGCGACCCATACGCGACCAACATATGCGACCAACACGACCCATACGCGACCAACATGCGACCAACATGCGACCAACATGCGACCCATACGCGACCCCAATATGCGACCCACGCGATCACGATCAACACACGACCCATACGACCAACATGCGACCCATCGGCGCCCCACGCGACCCACACGACCGACATGCGACCCATATGCGACCAACACGCGACCAACACGCGCCAAACGACCCATACGCGACCAACATGCAACCCAAACGCGACCAACATGCGACCCATACACGACCAACATGCGACCCATACGCGACCAACATGTTATCCATACACGACCCATACGCGACCAACATGCGACCCACACGACCCATACGCGACCAACACGCATCCCATACGCGACCAACACGCGATCAACACACGACCCATACGCGACCAACATGCGACCCATCGGCGACCCACACACGACCAACATGCGACCCATATGCGACCATACGCGACCAACACCACGCGACCAACATGCGACCCATACGCGACCAACAACATGCGACCCATGCGACGCTACACAATCAACATGCGATACGCGACCAACGCGACCCATCGACCCACACACGACCAACATGCGACCCATATGCGATCAACACGAGACCCAGACACTACAAACATGAGACCAACGCGCGACCCATATGCGACCCACACGCGACCAACATGCGACCCACATGCGACCCACATGCGACCCACACGCAATCCAACTAGTAACAGGTAATGTGCTCGCTAATTGAGGGAACACAAGACTCACATTCCAGCAATTAGTGACAGGTACGGTTCTTGCAAGCTGAAGAGGACAAACAACCAACACTCCCCCCGACCGGGGACTGGGGAGGTATACGCTAGTTGAAACGACTCCACCCGACCGGGGACTGGGGAGGTATACGCTAGTTGAAACACTCCACCCGACCGACTGGGGAGGCGGGGACTGGGAGGTAGGTATACGCTAGTTGAAACACTCCACCCGACCGGGGACTGGGGAGGTATACGCTAGTTGGAAGACTCCACCCGACCGGGGACTGGGGAGGTATACGCTAGTTGAAACACTCCACCCGACCGGGGACTGGGGAGGTATACGCTAGTTGAAACACTCCACCCGACCGGGGACTGGGGAGGTATACGCTAGTTGAAAGACTCCACCGGACCGGGGTATACGCTAGGAAACACTCCACCCGACCGGGGACCGGGAGGTATACGCTAGTTGAAACACTCCACCGACGACCGGGGACCGGGGAGGTATACGCTAGTTGAAACACTCCACCCGACCGGGGACTGGGGAGGTATACGCTAGTTGAAACACTCCACCCGACCGGGGACTGGGGAGGTATACGCTAGTTGAAAGACTCCACCCGACCGGGGACTGGGGAGGTATACGCTAGTTGAAACACTCCACCCGACCGGGGACTGGGGAGGTATACGCTAGTTGAAAGAACACATGAATCACTATCCAATCACCTGACAGTTTGCGGTGGTGTACAGCAGATATTGGCTTCACAATGTGTACCCATGTAGGAATCGAACCCAGACTGTAGGACTGGCAAATATGTCCATAAACCGCTTGGCCAACCCAATGCCCCCACTCTGCACTATGGGTCTGTTGCATATAATAGCATGACAACAGCTCGAGTTTACGTATGTACTAAATGGTCCACTAGAAAAATGTATTATGAACAGATCGTAGGTTTAATAGTACATCTTACAATACAGTCAAGCACCTTTGTGTCGAAGTTTGATGTGTTAGTGTCCACATTTCAAGTGTCGTATTAAACGATGATGCGTTCGTACGCTTTTTCCATCCATTATAAGGGGCGGTGGGGTAGCCTAGTGGTTAAAGCGTTCGCTCGTCACGCCGAAGGCCCGGGTACGATTTCCCCCATTGGTACAATGTGTGAAGACCATTTCAGGTGTCCCCAGCCTTGATATTGCTGGAATATTGCTAAAAGTGGCGTAAAACTCACTCACTCACTCGCTCACTATCCATTATAACTTTGGGGGCGGTGGGGTAGCCTAGTGGTTAAAGCGTTCGCTCGTCACGCCGAAGACCCGGGTTCGATTCCTCACATGGGTACAATGTGTGAAGCCCATTTCCGGTGTCCCCCGTCTTGATGTTGCTGGAATATTGCTAAAAGTGGCGTAAAACCCAACTCACTCACTCACTCACTCATTATGTCTTTGGTTGTGTCGCACGTTGGATAGCTTAAAGTATTTGCGTAAATCAATACAACTTCGACAGAAGGGTGTTTGATTGTATTCGATTTATTTCAGCCAATCAACATCGTGGTGACCCCCAACTCAATCCGCGAGTACACCTACGAGGATGAGCTTTATCCAAAGGACACGGGCTACAGTGACGGTACGTGAATCCCTCACTCTTTACACGGTACTACCCGTCAAGATCAGGGTTACAACTGGTGTTCAGCAGCCCATGCTTGACGTAAGAGGCGACTAACGGAATCAGGTCGTCAGGCTCGCTAACTTGGTTGACACAATGTCATGTTATCGTATCCCAATTAGGTAGAATGATGCTCATGCTGTTGATCACTCGATTATTTACATACTGCCCCCAGAAGGCTTGAATATTGCTGAGTGCGGCGTTAGAGGACAAACCAACCAATCAATCTACACATAACACGCATCTGTTGTCCGAATACAATCAAATGTCATTGTGAAGGATAGGAATCGTTAAACAACAACGAATCAAACATATAGCCATACATTAATACCCGTCTGTATTGTGTTGGTTGCAGGTGCGATGGGCGGACTGGGCTTCGGCATGTTGGTTGTTGGGGTACTCGGTGGCGGAGGAGGGGGCTACTTCTTCTTCAAGTAAACTAAGGTAACCTTCAACATCAATCACTATTCACCGCCAACGTACGCACATTAAAGTGTAGTCTGTCTCAGTCCCTGAACCGCATGTTCAACTAAAGGCTAACTAAGCAAGTGTAGATTTCCTCTGGTTCAAGTAAATACACAATGCTATTTAGCAAGTGGTCAAATGTAACATATGTCATTTTTGGGATTACACTCTTTAAGTACAGATTCTAGTACCTTTGTTTGGTTGAGCCAGCACACAAAGTCAGCCGTCTAACCCACTCAGCCAACGCAGCTTCCACTAAACATGGAAATCCAGACCACTGACTTTGTGTACCCCTCTGATGAGTGTAAATTGGCACAGAACTGTCATGTAATCTTTTTTTTCTGATGGTTGTGGAATGTAATTTGTATCTGTGAAGGTCCCTTGCACGAGTAGCCCCAATGCAGATGACATAAGTCTCTGAATCCCCCCCCCCCTCCATCTCACTCGGGCTATTTTTCAGAGTGAAAGGAATTGTTGTTTCTATCAACATTATAATATTCAGAGACTAAGCGTTAGTCTGATTAAAGCTTTTTGCAATGCAAACAGAAATGAGTGGTGGAGAAGACTCAACATGAGATGGGATGACGTGTAGTGGTGGTTACAGCAGAGTTCCACATTATTGTACTTAAAGTTCAAAACACACGGTTTACGTGCGTGCGTGTGTGCGTGCATGTGTGTGTTTGTATCTGAGTTTGTATGTGTGTGCGTGTGTGTCACTCACTCACTCACCCACTCACTCCACCCAGACAACCCACCCACTCACTGAATCACTTACTCACCCACGCAACCCATCCACACACTCACTCACTCGCACACCCAATCAGCACTCACTCACTCCAACGTGTCTTTACAGGTACCACACAGCGCCTCCGGTGAAGACGCCGAACATCGCGAGACAAACATTCAAACTACATCACTTCCATATATCCAGTTATTAAATAACTTATTTGTCATTTGTACTTTTGTGTCGGAAAATTATCAACCTTCTATATTATTTCAGAGCATAATATATACAAGTATCATACTTTCACATCAGTCCCTGTAAAGCTTCACCTTCTCACTACACAGCGACAAACTCTTGTAGCTCTCTAACAGTATGTACCGGCTTCGCGTGTCAGTACTTTATGTGATTCAGAGATACTGTAATCTTTCTTTGTTCGGTTTATCATATAATGGATCATCAAACGAATTTGATAAACCTGTTATCACGATCCGATAAATATGCCCATCAGGTCACGTAGGAGAAATCCTTCCCCAGTAGCTCAAGAGTATGTTCATAATATATGTAAAATCGGCCTCCGATGGTAGGTGTTTATGCTAATCAATATGCACTTTGTTACCATACAACTTCAGCAATTCCCAAAACACTGCAGTCCTGTTCGGTGTCTAAAACCACTTCAATGCGTGTAATTGGGTCGAACTGTGAAGACCGACATATCATCAAGAGATTATTACTAGTGTATGGAATAAGCCACAAATCCAGCCAGACATCAGGGCTGGTAACTTCAAAATGTTACCAGCCCAAAATGGATTTAACCAGACCAAATATGGTGAATTTACTCAGATGTATGGAACATCTAAATTTTTTACCAGACCATCGGGCAGGCTAGATGTAAATTTAGACTCCCGTCAGATATCTTGACCGTCCCGGGCGGTCGGACGGGCCTTATTTCATACACTGTAAATATTATTACCCGTGTGTTTTCATATCGTCATTATCATTGTAGTGGGATGTCACCGATTTTTTCGACTGTCCCATGGGAGTTCGGCAAGGGTTTATTTTAAGCCCTGTATTGTTTTCCTTCTTTATAAGCGAACTGTATTATGATATTTCTAATGCAGGTAAACAAGGTGTGCAAATGTTTCCAGATATGATGGAAATTTTTATCCTCCTTTTTGCCGATGATGTAATTTTAGTGTCACATACTATCGTCGGTCTACAAAACCAACTGAATATTTTGGAACGTTATACAAATGAATGGAAATTATTTGTTAATTTTGAAAAAACAAACATAGTTATCTTTAGAAGAGGTGGGCCTGTCGCCTCTAAAGAAAACTGTTTTTTGAGTGGCAAAAATTTATCTATTGTTAATCAGTATACCTATCTCGGACTATTGTTTTCCCATACCATGAACTTTAAAAAGAGTGTTATAGACCTGAAATCACGTGCTAAGAAGGCTCTTATTAATGTTATGTCAGTTTCCCAGAATTTTGGAATTTTAACCCCGAAAATATATTTTTAATTGTTTGATGCACAAATCCAACCGATTATACTTTATGGGTCTGAAATTTGGGGATTTCATCGTCATGAATGTCTAGAGAAACTACACCTTTTAGCATGTAAAAGATTTTTAAATGTAGCCCGAGCAGCACCAACTTGTATGGTTTATGGAGAATGCGGTATATATCCGATATATATAAATTCACAAATCAGATGTTTAAAATATTGGTTAAAGATTCTTGGAATGCACGAACAAAGAATCCCCAAACTAGCTTATAACATGCTTGTACATTTAGATGATAGGGGTAAGGCAACATGGGCATCTCATATTAGAACTCTTTTATTTTCTCATGGCTTTGGATTTGTGTGGCTAAATCAAACAGTTGGTAATATTAATGTATGTCTTAAGCAATTTCGAGAACAATCTGTTAGTATGTATTATCAAGAATGGCATTCCTGTCTAGACAATAGTTCAAGATACCAGTTGTATAGATCACATAAGAGCTTAATTCAACCAGAACTATATCTATCTGTATTGACATCTAGAAATATCAGACGCACACTTGTCAATTTTCGATTGGGCTTGTTAGACTTATCAGTAAATAAGGGCAGACGATTTTCAATAGAGAGACGTTTAAGGATATTATGTAACTCGGCTATAGAAGATGAAATTCACTTCGCTTTTGTATGCCCACATTATGCTGATTTAAGAAAAAAATATATCCCAAATAATTACCTGTTAAAATATCCTTCATCTGCCTTTGCTTCCATTCTATCTTCCAAAAATGAAAATGTAATATGTAATCTTGCGCTTTATGTAAAACATGCTGTTTTCGTTAGAAGCAATATCTTATCTGAACTGTAATTTCTTTGTGAAATGTCTGTAACATGTGCTGTACATATACTTGTATTACTTGTGTACGGGCTGGAGGCCTTAAGTACAATAAATATCTTTGACTTTGACTAGTGGGAATACAATTGTACAACGAGGGCTTTTTACCGAAAGGCTCCCCTTATACAAATTGAACACGTCTGTGATTACAACATGATAAAGCCGATTGCGTTTTTCCTGAGCCAAACTGTCTTGTGTCCCTATTCAGAAAGTCTGAATAAAAGCTTGTTTGTTAAACATTCTCTTCTGTTATCAGATCAGTGTGTGTTGTTTTGTTTGTGAGTTTGTTTAATCGGCAGTCAATGTTGCATCTAACAGGCGGCTGTTTGTAAACAAACAATCGCGTCCGGACCAGACAATCCAGTAATTTGTATCATGAGCATAGATTCGCGCAAATGAATATGCCATTACCGAGGATGAACAAACGGTCCATTTAGTTGCTTTTTTTCTAAAAATTATCGTTTGCTGGGGACCTTAATTTTTACCTGGGTTCATTTGTGGTCAGAACGAAAGATTTTATTTCAATTCAAGGTGTGACCAGACCACGTCTCACTCCGGAGACATCATAACGGAAGTTAGATCTTGTCGGCCATGCCTCCATTGCTGACACCTAATGTACATGAGGGAGGTGGGGTAGCCTAATGTGTACAGCGTTCGCTCCTCACGCTGAAGGCCCGGGTTCGATTCCCCACATGGGTACAACGCGTGAAGCCCATTTCTGATGTCCCCCGCCATGATATTGCTGGACTATTACTAACAGCGGTGGAAAACCATGCTCACTCACTTTCTCACTCACTCACTCACTCAGATGTACATTAGAGTTAAGCATGTACTTAAACACAGGAAATGATAAAGTCAGTGACTGGGGCGGTCACATGTGGGAAATTTAACCGGTCGTCTATTCATCGTTCACTGCTGTTGGCAATAATATTCTAATAGGGCCTGTAAGTCTCGCGAGGCGCTACTCCCGGTACTAAACAGGTTTCCAGCTCCCTTTGCGCGCGCCAACTTGCGATGTCCGAGACGGGGTCCAGCGTACTTCCGGTACCAGATTTCCGGTGACAAGGGTATATTCAAGAACCAGTTCTGGTTCCAAATTGTGCGACCGCCAAATATGACTTTACTAGACCGGACCAAGTGTACGTTGTTTGTCACCGGAAGTACTAAGGTTTCACGAAGTGTCGTGACCTACTTACGGGTCCTTTTACAAAAGCTAGAATACTAGATGAACAACGACCATTAAATTTTCCTTTTCGAAAACTAAGAGTTAGAAAAAACTGGACAAAGACGCCGACGATGTGCTTCCGACCTCGCACATCGACTTTGTGGATCTGAAATCTGAAATGATTTTTATCCGACACCGAGCTATTCACGGATGAAAAGAACATAAATCAAAACTCAAATAGAACATGTTTATTTTGAAACACAAAAATATAAATACTGAGTATTGATTAAGGTAGAATTTTAATCGTGAAGCGATGTATGGACGTATTAGTTCTTGATTGGAGACATTCACTCAGTGGTCGCGGGCTTCTCGTCAGGTACATCCAGCTGCTCTTCCCAATATCACACGGGTACCTGATTTCGTCTGGTGAAGATATACAAATGCACGAGTCTTTGGAATGTGGAAAACGTTTTGCTCGAAAGCACAAATACCGGAAGAGAATCTCACATGTCTATGAAACGCTGTTACTTCTCCGTATTCTGAAATAGAATGAAATCAAGTTACTTTTGAATGTACATATATAACGTTATAGTCAGTAATAGGGAGCGCTATTGGCCATTGTTGTTTTAAATGAGTTATCCTGTGAGTGAGTGTTATTTTACGCCGCTGATAGGGTCAGTCCATTGCTATCTGTAGACGTATGAATTGGCATTCAATATGGCCATGGGGATGGAACAGGGACTATCAATATGGTCAGGACTTCATCCACCTCCGCAACCTTTAGTGACTCAGTTCGTTTCCGTCATACAGACCATGAATAAAATGTATTCAAGAAAGCCAGTCTAGAATATGTAGTAAGTCGACATTACGACAGTTTCAGCTTCAGAATATGAAGAAAGTCTCTTGGCTCCTTTTCATTATGTTTCACGTATATAGTTTATTAACCGTATTCTCTGTAAAATATGTTTTATTCAGAGTCAGTGAGTGAGATTAGTTTTACGCCGCTTTAGCAATATTCCAGCAATATCACGGCGGAAATGGGCTTCACGCATTGTATCCATGTGGGGAATCGAACACGGGTCTTCGAACGGCGTGACGAGTAAACGCATTAACCACTAGTCTACCCTAAAGTTGTTATTCATAAAGTGTGTTCTATATAATAGATGTTAGGCTGTTATATCACGTGGTACCATGGTATAAGGTCCGAAATGTCGATGGTCCGAAATGTGGTGGTGACAAAACTGGGAACACACACGGTCAGGGGAAATGTAGATTCGAAAACATGATTATAGCTTCCTGGCATTCCTAAGGGAGGCAACTAATGTAATGCTGCGCATAAGTCGGATGTGCAGTCCGTGCTCAAACTTGAAATTGTTGAAGAGACTGTCGGTCAGTAATGCTGCTCTCACCTCACTTGAAGAAGAAGTAAGACAGTCCCGCCCCTCCACCTCCTCCAATTATAATCATTCCAACAGCCAGGCCTCCCATCGCACCTGCATAGAACACATAGAACAGCATACGTAGAACACATAGATACAGTGTGACCAGCGCACGTAGAACACATATAGACAGTGTGACCAGCATATGTAGAATAATATATACAGTCCGACGTGTATCTTGTGGGTTCATCACGTCATCCATGTGTTTGGTGTGGGTACATCACGTCATGCATGTTGTAGTGTTAGTACATCACGTCATGCAAGTGTTTAGTGTGAGTACATCACGTCACGCAAGTGTTTAGTGAGGGTACATCACGCCATGCATATGTTCGGTGTGGGTACATCACACCATGCATGTGTTTTAGTCTGAGTACATCACGTCATGCAAGTGTTTAGTGAGGGTACATCACGTCATGCATGTGTTTAGTGTGGGCACATAACGCCATGCATGTGTTTAGTGACGGCACATCAAACCATGCATGCGTTTAGTGAGGGTACATCACGTCATGCACGTGCTTAGCGAGGGTGCATCACGCCATGCATGTGCTTAGTGTGGGTATATCACGTCATGCATGTGTTTGGTGAGGGTATATCACGTCATGCATGTGTTTAGTGTGAGTACATCCCGTCATGCAAGCATGAAATGAGTGTGAGTACAACCCGTCATGTTAAGTGTTGGTACATCACATGTGTGATTAGTGTGGGTACATCACGTCATGCAAGCATGTGTTTAGTGTGGGTACATCACGTCATATGTGTGCATGTGTTTAGTGTGAGGGTACATCACATCACGTCATGCATGTGTTTAGTGTGGATACATCACGTCATGCATGTGTTTAGTGTGGATACATCACGTCATGCCTGTGTTTAGTGTGGGTACATCACGTCATCCAAGCAAGTGTATAGTGAGGGTACATCACACCATGCATGTGTTTAGTGTGAGTACATCACGTCATGCATGTGTTTAGTGTGAGTACATCACATCATGCATGTGTACATTAGCATGTGTTTAGTGTGGGTACATCACGTCATGCATGTGTTTAGTGTGGATACATCACGTCATGCATGTGTTTAGTGTGGGTACATCACGTCATGCAAGCAAGTGTTTAGTGTGGGTACATCACGTCATGCATGTGTTTAGTGTGAGTACATCACGTCATGCATGTGTTTAGTGTGGATACATCACGTCATGCATGTGTTTAGTGTGGGTACATCACGTCATGCATGTGTTTAGTGTGGGTACATCACGTCATGCATGTGTTTAGTGTGAGTACATCCCGTCATGCAAGCAAGTGTTTGCATGGGTACATCACGTTTAGTGTGGTACATCACGTCATGCATGCAAGTGTTTAGTGTTTAGGTACATCACGTCATGTCATGTGTTTAGTGTGTTTCAGTGTGTTTGGTGTGGTACATCCCGTCATGAAAGCAAGTGTCATCGTCATGCATGTGTTTAGTGTTTAGAGTACATCACGTCATGCATGTGTTTAGTGTGGAGTACATCACGTCATGCATGTGTTTAGTGTGTGGTACATCCCGCCATGCAGTGTTTAGTGTGGATACATCACGTCATGCAAGTGTATAGTGAGGGTACATCACGTCATACATGTGTTTAGTGTGAGTACATCACTTCATGCATGTGTTCAGTGTGAGTACATCCCGTCATGCAAGCAAGTGTTTAGTGTGGGTACATCACGTCATGCTTGTGTTAAGTGTGGGTACATCACGTCATGCATGTGTTTAGTGTGAGTGCATCCCGTCATGCATATGTTTGGTGTGGGAACATCACGTCATGCATGTGTTTGGTGTGGGTACATCATGTCTTGCATGTGTTTAGTGTGCGTACATCACGTCATGCATGTGTTTAGTGTGAGTGCATCCCGTCATGCATGTGTTTTGTGTGGGAACATCACGTCATGCATGTGTTTGGTGTGGTTACATCACGTCATGCATTAGTTTTAGTGGTTGGTACATCACGCCCTGCATGTTTCATTGTGGGTACACCACGCCTTTATATGTTTAGCGAGGGTACATTACGTCATCCGTGTTTCAGTATGGGTACATCACGCCATGCATGTGTTTAGTGAGGGTACACCACGTAATGCATGTGTTTAGTGTGGGTACATCACGTCAAGCATGTGTTTAGTTAGGGTACATCATGTCATGCATGTTTTAGTGTGGGCATATCACACCATGCATGTGTTTGGTGTGGGTACATCACGTCATGCATGCGTTTAGTGAGAGTACATCACGTCATGCATCTGTTTAGTGTGGGTAGATCACGTCATGCATGTTTCAGTATGGGTACATCACGTCATGCATGTTTCAGTATGTGCACATCATGTCATGCGTGTGTTTAGTGAGGGTACATCACGTCATGCATCTGTTTAGTGTGGGGAACATCACGTCAGGCAAGCATACACTATGAGTTCTTCACGAAATGCATGTCTATGGTGAATGCACTTCAGTAGTTTAGTTTTACACCGTACGCCGCAATATTCCATCAATATGACCAGTGATCATCAGCACGAGCATCGACCTACGCAATCGGGATACTATGATATGTGTCAGCCAAGTCAACGATCCCGTTAGTCGCTTCTTACAACAAGCATAGGTTGGTGAAGACAAATTCTAACCCGGATCTTCACCGGCTGTTCCTCACTGCCTGACTGAGTATGGTTTTACGCCGCTTTTAGCAATATTCCAGCAATACGATGGCGGGGGACACCAGAAATGGGCTTCATACATTGTACCCATGTGGGGAATAAAACGAGGGTCTTCGACGTAACGAGCGAACGCTTTACCACTAGGCTACCCCATTGCCCTGGTTGCTCCTGTAGATGCAAGAGGTGAGGTCTGTTCGTACCTGGTGTATAGCCCTGAACGGGAGGGGCCAACTCATCCTCGTAGGTGTACTCTCGGATGGAATTGGGCATGGCCACAACACTGGATACCTGCAATTAACAGGATAATACCCACTTCATCGACATTACATCACGATGTCAAATCGTGTGAGCTTGGTGAGAAACTATAGAGACACAGGTTGTGTATCTACCACAAAGATGAGGCTGCCAAACGAAGGATCATTAATATAATGACTATGTTAAAATAATAATAACAACTACATTTTACAAGCAACTCAAAACAACTGGTAACGATGAAACATGATAAACGGCTTCCCATGCACTTAAATGAAAGGTTCTGGAAAGAGTTGTGGTCTGCAGCCGGCGACTGTAATCTTGATTCACCATGGGTCCGTGATTATGATAATGCAATGCATGAGAAAATAACGGGGTCGTTTGTCTGTTACATCTCACCAGAAATCCTGGTTAAGAGTCATCAAAAAGTCCAAATCTAATACAGCTCTAGGTCCAGATGGCATTCGAAAGGGGTATTGGAAACTGTCCCTGTGTGTACAAACACAATTACTTCACGGTTTCAGTTCTCTCGTGGACACAGGTGATGTTCGTCCGTGGTTCTGCAAAGGTCGCACAATACTCCTTCCCCCCAAAAAGGAGACTTGACTGATCCCAAAACTTCCGCCCTATCACATGTTTGAATACACAATATAAAATATTCACAGGGTGTTTGACAAACCTTATGTCATCTTACTGATCTTCCAATGATATAATTTACATAGAGCAGAGACGGGCAAGAAAGGCATGTTCCGGGGTGCAAGGGTCCTATTCATGCACAAAAAATGATTTTGGAACTGGTTAAAACATATCACCGCAAACCTTCCATGTGCCGGATTGACCAAAAGGCATACGACTCAGTCCTTCATGAATGGATTCTGAAGTCTCATGATTGTATTGACCTCCCTGAGCGACTACTTGATTTACTCAAGTCTTTAATGAGTTGCTGGTCGACTCAACTTGAGATGTAGGGCCGGAATCTATTCCAATCAGAAGGGGAATATTCAAGTGGGACTCCTTTCGTCCTTTGCTGTTTTGTTTGTCTTTAAATCCTTTGAGTTTTCTGCTCAAGAAAAAGGAGGGTTCCCATCCCGGACCTCCTCAGCACAGATCCCCAACACCGCTGACTCATCTCCTTTACATGGATGAATCGAGCTCCTTGCCAAGGGAGATACCAATTTGAAAGAATAGGTTCTCCTTGTCGAGTCCTTTTCTAATGATATTGGAATGACATATGGACAAATGTAATACTCTTCATTTGAAACATGGCAAGGTAATTAATGATGGATCGGTCAAGTTACAAGGGGAGGAGTTATTGGGCATCTTGTGGAAGGTCGGGCCTACACCTATCTTGGAATACAAATGCCAGACAAGCTCCAGAATGCCCACATTCAACACAAACCTCGGGCCGAGTATAAAACTCGCTTAAAGAAAATCTGGAGCTCAGAGCTAAATGCTAGAAACAAGGTCAAAGCCAGCAATACATTTACTTTGCCAGTCCTTTCTTATTTCTTTGGAGTAGTTGATTGGACAAAACAAGAGTTTTGACCGCCTGACCAGAAGGATAATAGATATCATGTCTGATAACAAAGCCCACCACCCTCATTCCTCTCTTAATCGTTTGTATATGCCAATCAATTCTGGAGGTCGGGGTTTGATTAATGTGGAGGGTCTTCGTGATAGGATTTTATTGGGTACTTTTGCACATATGTATTTATCGGATGATCCTCTGGTGATGTACGTGAAAACTCAAAGAATTCCAAAGCTATTTTAAGCGTGCCAAGGTTTTTGGACAGAATCTGAGATTTCAGGTTGATTTTGTTGATGGCGATGTACTGCTGGACGATACAGTGACGGGAGTAAACCAGGTGAAGACCTTCACCAAGTCTGCCCTGAGTCGGTCATTTGTGGAGAAGTTTTCTGAGAAACCATTGCATCGTGTGTACATGCAGTGTGTGAACAGAATAGCAATCCAACTGACTCCTTCGCCTGGATGAAGTCGGCTGGTCTTAAATGTGAAACTGAGGGCTTTCTTTTAGCTGCTCAGGACCAGGACTTCGAGGTCCATCCATGGTACGACCCTGAACATATCCAGGGCGTCATGGAAAGTGATGCTTTCAAAGTTCTTTGGAATAGGCCCATATACAGCCTCCGAAGAATTCCAGCCAACAAACCTGATCTTGTCCTTTTTGATAAAGGCAATGAAATTATTTATATCATTGAATTTTCTGTCCCTTTTGACAGCAATGTGATTGGCGCAGATCAGGAAAGTGCCCAGGTTCTCCACTGGGAGCAGAGCCCTTCTCACACTCTGGGTAATGCAGAAGGCTGCAGAGTTGGGGAGTCTACATATTCCCCGGAAAGTTCTCGGTGGGTTCGACTTAGCAGCGTATCCTGGGGGAAGTCCTATTCGCTGTCCGGGGTGCGTGTAGAGGGGTCAAGGGCCCTGAGCTGATGAGGAGATACCAGCCTGACTGTGCCAGGATCACCCGAACCCTATCTGCTGCATTTTTCATCTTTATCTGTAAAACATGATACTACTAATCATGACCATTTATAAAGCGCATGTATCCACGCACTTGTGCATGCACAAGGTGCTAACACATTGTGAGGCATTAGAAGGTTAACACTCTTATGACTTATCCCACCGGGTACCCATTCACTGCTGGGTGAAAGGCTGACTGACTGACTGAGGTTTGGTTTTACACCGCTTTTAGCAATATTCCAGCAACATCACGGCGGGGGACACCAGAAATGGGCTTCACACATTGTGCCCATGTGGGGATTCGAACCCGGGTCTTCGGCGTGGCGAGCCAACTCTTTAACCATTGGGCTCTTTATGAACAAACTGACATCCATAGGGTGAGACCACATGTGTGATGTTTGCTTTGTTGTGAGGCAGGACAGAAGTCCTAGAAACGCTCAGGAGTCAAGATGCCAAACACATTCACACATCAAAGGACTCTCTGTGACTGCATAACCTCAGCAGATTTGTAACCTTGGCTCTATACATATCATTATTGCGGGGCAGTTTAGATTCACGAAATCTCCTTGATGGCATCAACATATTGTCGATCAACTCACGTCCGCCAGCGTGTCGTAGTCCAGGGGAATGACGAACTTGTTGGAGTTAACGGCGTCCACGAGGAGGTTGCCAGCAAGTTTCAGAGGAGTCTCCGTAACGTTGGTTTTGACGTCCCCGATCATTGGCGCGACGTCCAACAGCTCAAACCGAATGTGTACATCATCTTGAAAAACCAGCTGGAATAACAACATTATTTTAGCTCATTACCTATACACTGTTTGTAAAATCTTTGAACTCTTTAGTATGAAGAACACAAGGTGATTGAGTGAGTGAGTTTAGTTTGACCGCTAGGCTACCCCACCGCCTGCATAAAGTGAATGAGGGCGTAAGAATACACTCCGAAACGTTGGGTTCCTCCTCATAAAGAAGCTGTCATCTACAAATGGTCTGCTTTCATACACTGCATTTCAGATGAATGAGGGAGAAGGGTTTGTGGACAATATTCATCGGAACCCAGGGAACCAAACTTGTGATAAAAGTCCGGTGCTTAAGTCAAGTGCTTAACCACTTTGTATCATCCTTGGTATCATAATGATATTTGTTGTGGAATCTAGGGCTGTGTATAGGCATATACATTGTATTGCAGTATATTGCGATTCAGGTACCCCTACTGCGATATATCGGGAACTTAAGTGAGTGAGTGAGTGAGTTTAGTTTTACGCCGCACTCAGCAATATCCCAGCTATATGGCGGCGGTCTGTAAATAATCGAGTCTGGACCAGACAATCCAGTGATCAAAAGCATGAGCATCGATCTACGCAATTGGGAACCGATGGCATGTGTCAACCAAGTCAGCGAAACTGACCACCCGATCCCGTTAGTCGCCTCTTACGACAAGCATAGTCGCCTTGTATGGCAAGCACATGGGTTGCTGTAGACCTATTCTACCCCGGATCTTCACAGGTCCGGAAACTTAAGTGTCTGAAAGAGAGTGACACTAATTGTGCTTGTCGATCCTATTTTCTACATTATAAGTTCCTGAGCATGTATGTTATGGTTCTGATAACAGCATTCTCAAAAATAGGTTTCATAGTCAAGGATTCTATTTTCTTTTTATACAATATACAGTATTACAGTATGCCGTTTTGTCATTGAATAACGAAGGAAAACTTTTGTTGTGAATGAAAGTTAGTCGCCTCACGGGTTGGTTGCTGAAGATCAATTCTAACCCGGATCTTCACGGGTCTCGCCTTTTACAACAAGCATGGGTGGCTAAAGATCAATTCAAACCAGGATCTTCACGGGTCTCGCCTTTTACGACAAGCATGGGTGGCTTAAGATCAATTCAAACCAGGATCTTCACGGATAGTTACTGATACTGACCTTGAGATGGGCGATTCTCAGAGGTGAGATGGCGAGATAAGACATGAGTGATAGCAGGATGGAGTAGCGAAACAGTTCTCGGTTGTCATCAATACGGGTAGCAAAGGATCCTGGAACAAAAGTCAGTTGTTGAGTGAGTGAGTTAGTGGATAAAAGAGATGGGTGTTTGTCCCGGAGTGTCAGCTGTGGACGAGAGGCCGATGACATCGCGGACTGTGAGTGAGTACTGTTTTAAGCCGCGTTTACGAATATTCCAGCAATATCGAAGGGGTGGACACCAGACGGGGCTTCACACAGTGTACCCATTTGGAAAATCGAACCCAGGTCTTCGGCGTTACGAGCGAACGCTTTAAGCACGAGGCTACCCCACCTCCCCGTTCCAATAACACGAAACATCAAATAAGAATTATTTAGACAAATTGTCATGGTTATTGGTAAGCAGACTTTTCGAAAAGTGTACACTTTACGACCATCTTCCTTCAACTTGAATATTTTGGCCAAACATATGTTAACCGGTAAATATAATGTTAACGCAGTCCCTATGATGGACTGGTGAATATCACTGGCCAGTCGGATTTAAAGTTCACATTACAACGCCTAAAACGTCACCACTTCTGAAAACATGGTACAGGCGTAGTGTTATCCTGATACAAAAACGACGGTGGCTAAGTAAAGCGTTCGCTCGTCACGCCGAAAGTCCGGGTTCGATTCCCCACATGGATACAATGAGTGAATCGCATTTCTGGTGTCCCACGTCGTGATATTGCTGGAGTATTGTTAAAAGCGGCGTAAAACCCAACTCACTCACTCATGATACAAAATAATGATGTTTTGAGAGATCATATGATTCTGTGGAACACCCAATGGTTGGATTAGTTTTTGGGTTTTCAATGCCTCCTTAGCCTTGTGACGACCTTCTCTATACAGACGATTCTGGATGAGACAATGGAATCGTAGACCACGTAAGCATCGATCGCGTTGGTTGAACAATTCGACAAGCATCGATTACTTCATTTTTTACTATAATTATAGGATATTTTAATATAGCGCACATATCCACGCAACTAGTGCATGCTCAAGGCGCTGGGTTTTTCCCTTTGATCATTGGATGTCAATCTCAATGGCACATCGTATTATCAATCTCAACTCCCCGGGGATCATACAACACTTGCAGCCACTGGGCGCACCGAGTTATTGTGGCTTTCCCCCATCCTTACGACGTACCAAATTCACAACTGGGTGGACTGGGACACAGTCACAGTACTTTATCCACGTTCACTGCACATTGCTGCACCCGCAACTAGGTGTTTGCACGTATTTATGTGGCCACCATTTGGTTATTTACCAACAGATTCGTGGGTTCTTTTAAGTGCAGAGGGTTGTGTACTGTACACTAGATTGTCACAAGACAGAAAGAATCTGGACACATGTGGGCTCGATCCCGGCACCTCAAGATCGATGGATCACTAGTCAGGCGCCTTAGTTTGCCAACCATGTCCCCATGAAATCGTGTTTTAACTCGACGATGCGAATGTCAGTGCCAATGACGTCATCGGTGACGTCACTGCGCGTACGTACACACAAGAAGCAGTTCACCTGGAACAGTAAAGTCGAACCTCCTCCTATCCAAGTTAGCGTAGCAGGCACTGATGTCCCAGTTGAGGAGGTTGGCCTTGGATTGGACGTAGTTGTAGATGTTGTAGTCGTAGCCGATGTCGTACTGCAGTGACACAGAAATTGGTTACATTGGAGATTCTCACTTATGTACTTACTACAGACTAGTGCTATGTTGGATTCGAAACAACATGTACTCAACCGTGCAATATATATACATACGTTATATCTCAGTATTTAGATTGTCTGGATTTAAGAATACGTAGGTTGTGTGAACTGATAAACGATGGACTGATGACTGGATGGACTGTGCTTATATACATTGCACTTTAACGAACTGTACGTATAAATATTGCATTTAGGTAGACGGACTGTACGTATGATTAATGCACTTCAGTAGATCGACAATATCCGCCTTTAAATACCCGTAATGTTAATCCACCTATATACGTGTAGAAATATACGTGCGTACTAATATAAGTATGTAAGTATACGTACATATAATCCACCTATATAAGTCTATAAATATACATACAGTTTATCTACCTACCTACGTGAAGAATTATACATAGTTAGTTTCACCAAATCACGCCTATAAACATACCTACAGGCAATCTACCTATATACGTAACGTACATACATGTCCATTTTTACACTAAGAGAACGTACGTAATGTGTTAATCCACACATATACGCATTTAAGTATACGTACAGTTCACATAACGTACAGTTAACAGGTTTATATACATGTTATCCACCTGTAAGCATATTTAAACACGTATATGGTTGGATTGACTCTACCCGCATTTACACAGGTATACAGGTAGATTCATTGCATATTGATACACATAGTACGTAGATTGACTGGACTTACATTAGGTATCGAGAGTCGAAGCTGGACCGGTACAGCCCCATTGTACATGTCGGTCCTCGACTGTACGGTCTGGTAGTCGCTCTGTAACATAGACACAGTACTAGACGTTCCGTCGTGTCCCGATTGCGTAGATCGATGCTCATGATGTGATCACTGAAATGGCTGGTCCAGACTCGATTGTTTACAGACCGCCGCCATATAACTGGAATATTGTTGAGTGCGGCGTAAACTAAACTCACTCACTCACTAGACGTGCCGTCTTCTCGGGTGAACATATACATGAAGAAATATATCGATCACTCCTGTCATCCGTATCTTATATTCTGAGAAGCACGCACATGCACAGTTCTTGTGCCAACAACAAGCCGTGAAGATCCGGGTTAGAATTGATCTCCAGTGACCCATGCTTTTTGTAAGAGGCGACTAACGGGATCGGGTAGTCAGACTCGCTGACTGGTTGACACGTCACCACATCCCAATTGCGCAGATCGATGCTCATGCTGTTGATCACTGGTTTGTCTGGTCCAGACTCGATTATTTACAGAGCACCTTAAAGGCGGATATTGTCGATCTACTGAAGTGCATTAATCATACGTGTTAAAGTCTGGTCTACCTAAATGCAAGGATGAGCATGTACAGTTCGTTAAAGTGCAATGTATATAAGCACAGTCCATCCAGTCATCAGTCCATCGTTTATCAGTTCATTACAACCTACGTATTTCTTAAATCCAGACAATCTAAATACTGAGATATAACGTGTATATATATTGCACGGTTGAGTACATGTTACTTGAATCCAACATAGTACTAGTCTGTAGTAGTACACAAGTGAGAATCTCCAATGTAACCAATTTCTGTGCTACCGTACGACATCGGCTACGACTACAACACGGCAATTACGTCCAATCCAAGGCCAACCTCCTCAACTGGGACATCAGTGCCTGCTACGCCAACTTGGATAGGAGGAGTGTTCGACTTTACCGTTCCAGGTGAACTAAGCTTCTTGTGTAAAGGTCAGAGCAGCAGTGACGTCACCGATGACGTCATTGGCACTGACATCTGCATCAAGGTCGAGTTAAAGAAGATTTCATGGGGACATGGTTAAGGCAACTAAGGCGCCTGACTAGTGATCCATCGATCTTGAGGTGCCGGGATCGAGCCCACATGTGTCCAGACTTTTCTGTCTTGTGACAATTCAGGTGTACAGTACACAACCCTGCACTTAAAAGAACTCACGAATTCGTTGGTAACAACCAAATGGTGGCTAAAGATAAATATGTGCAAACACCTAGTTGCGGGTGCAGCAAATGTGCAGAACGTGGATAAAGTACTGCTGTGACTGTGTCCCAGTCCACTCTAGTTGTGAATTTATACGTCGTAAGGATGGGGAGCCACACAACTCGGTGCGCCCAGTGGCTGCAAGTACAGCGATCCCGGGAGTTGAGGATTGATACGATGCCATTGAGCTGACATCCAATGATCAGGAAACTTAGCGCCTTGAGCAGCGCACTAGTTGCGTGGATATGTGCGCTATATTAAAATATCCTATAACATGGATACAATGAGTGAATCGCTTTTCTGGTGTCCCACGTCGTGATATTGCTGGAGTATTGTTAAAAGCGGCGTAAAACCCAACTCACTCCTCATGATACAAAATAATGATGTTTGAGAGATCATATGATTCTGTGGAACACCCAATGGTTGGATTATTTTTGGGTTTCAATGCCTCCTTAGCCTTGTGACGACCTTCTCTATACAGACGATTCTGGATGAGACAATGGAATCGTAGACCACGTAAGCATCGATCGCGTTGGTTGAACAATTCGACAAGCATCGATTACTTCATTTTTTACTATAATTATAGGATATTTTAATATAGCGCACATATCCACGCAACTAGTGCATGCTCAAGGCGCTGGGTTTTTCCCTTTGATCATTGGATGTCAATCTCAATGGCACATCGTATTATCAATCTCAACTCCCCGGGGATCATACAACACTTGCAGCCACTGGGCGCACTGAGTTATTGTGGCTTTCCCCCATCCTTACGACGTACCAAATTCACAACTGGGTGGACTGGGACACAGTCACAGTACTTTATCCACGTTCACTGCACATTGCTGCACCCGCAACTAGGTGTTTGCACGTATTTATGTGGCCACCATTTGGTTATTTACCAACAGATTCGTGGGTTCTTTTAAGTGCAGAGGGTTGTGTACTGTACACTAGATTGTCACAAGACAGAAAGAATCTGGACACATGTGGGCTCGATCCCGGCACCTCAAGATCGATGGATCACTAGTCAGGCGCCTTAGTTTGCCAACCATGTCCCCATGAAATCGTGTTTTAACTCGACGATGCGAATGTCAGTGCCAATGACGTCATCGGTGACGTCACTGCGCATACGTACACACAAGAAGCAGTTCACCTGGAACAGTAAAGTCGAACCTCCTCCTATCCAAGTTAGCGTAGCAGGCACTGATGTCCCAGTTGAGGAGGTTGGCCTTGGATTGGACGTAGTTGTAGATGTTGTAGTCGTAGCCGATGTCGTACTGCAGTGACACAGAAATTGGTTACATTGGAGATTCTCACTTATGTACTTACTACAGACTAGTGCTATGTTGGATTCGAAACAACATGTACTCAACCGTGCAATATATATACATACGTTATATCTCAGTATTTAGATTGTCTGGATTTAAGAATACGTAGGTTGTGTGAACTGATAAACGATGGACTGATGACTGGATGGACTGTGCTTATATACATTGCACTTTAACGAACTGTACGTATAAATATTGCATTTAGGTAGACGGACTGTACGTATGATTAATGCACTTCAGTAGATCGACAATATCCGCCTTTAAATACCCGTAATGTTAATCCACCTATATACGTGTAGAAATATACGTGCGTACTAATATAAGTATGTAAGTATACGTACATATAATCCACCTATATAAGTCTATAAATATACATACAGTTTATCTACCTACCTACGTGAAGAATTATACATAGTTAGTTTCACCAAATCACGCCTATAAACATACCTACAGGCAATCTACCTATATACGTAACGTACATACATGTCCATTTTTACACTAAGAGAACGTACGTAATGTGTTAATCCACACATATAGGCATTTAAGTATACGTACAGTTCACATAACGTACAGTTAACAGGTTTATATACATGTTATCCACCTGTAAGCATATTTAAACACGTATATGGTTGGATTGACTCTACCCGCATTTACACAGGTATACAGGTAGATTCATTGCATATTGATACACATAGTACGTAGATTGACTGGACTTACATTAGGTATCGAGAGTCGAAGCTGGACCGGTACAGCCCCATTGTACATGTCGGTCCTCGACTGTACGGTCTGGTAGTCGCTCTGTAACATAGACACAGTACTAGACGTTCCGTCGTGTCCCGATTGCGTAGATCGATGCTCATGATGTGATCACTGAAATGGCTGGTCCAGACTCGATTGTTTACAGACCGCCGCCATATAACTGGAATATTGTTGAGTGCGGCGTAAAACTAAACTCACTCACTCACTAGACGTGCCGTCTTCTCGGGTGAACATATACATGAAGAAATATATCGATCACTCCTGTCATCCGTATCTTATATTCTGAGAAGCACGCACATGCACAGTTCTTGTGCCAACAACAAGCCGTGAAGATCCGGGTTAGAATTGATCTCCAGTGACCCATGCTTTTCGTAAGAGGCGACTAACGGGATCGGGTAGTCAGACTCGCTGACTGGTTGACACGTCACCACATCCCAATTGCGCAGATCGATGCTCATGCTGTTGATCACTGGTTTGTCTGGTCCAGACTCGATTATTTACAGAGCACCGCCATATAGCTGGAATATTGCTGAGTGCAGTGTAAAACTAAACTCACTCACTCACTCACTCACATGTTGTCCTGGGCGAGTAAATACACCTACCGTGAGGAAGTGCCACTCGAATGTAGAGTTGAGAGGCATTTTGGGTGGGAAGTCAGATCGCCTTCCGACATATGTGTCTGTTCTGATGTTCCGGGTGAGTTTCTACAACGGAATGCACATTAATATCATGACACTGTGAGCTGTTACGTGGGACCTTAGTCACCAACCGCACTGTCTGTATTACCACAAAAACATACTTACACAAACGTGTATATACGTGAAATAATATTGACAGAGACTTTAACAACCATCCGGCGCGAAGATCATCTATAAATTCCGATGAAGATCTGTGTTAGAGTTGATCTTCAGTAACCCATGCTTGTCGTAAGAGGCGACTAACGTGATCGGGTAGTCAGGCTCGCTGACTTGGTTGACCCATGTCATCGCATCCCAATTGCTCAGATCGATGCTCATGTTGTTTATCACTGGATATTCTGGTCCATCGTATTCACAGATCGCCGCGATAAATCTGGAGTGCGGCGTAAAACTAAATTCACTCACTCTCTGAATTAATTGGTCAACTTATCCGTTCTTAGGATGTCAATTACATGATTGTATGGTCCAAATCATCATCACCGTCATCATCATCATCATCATCATCATCATCAACAACAACAACAACAGCAGCAACAACTTACTATGCCCTCATAGGTAACTCCAGCCGCGTCCATATAGAAGAATTGCTTTGCCGTCTTGATGCGCACGTTGAAGGCATCGGTGTCAAGGTCATCAAAGTTGTTCTGTTCGATAAGTTGCCACGTGCAGTTTCCTCGCTCATTATCGGTAATATACGCCATGCCTAACAGAACATAAATCACAATATACGCCATACCTGACAGAACATAAGTCACAATATACGCCATACCTGACAGAACATAAGCCACAATATACGCCATGCCTGACAGAACATAAGTCACAATATACGCCATACCTGACAGAACATAAGTCACAATATACGCCATGCCTGACAGAACATAAGTCACAATATACGCCATACCTAACAGAACATAAGTCACAATATACGCCATACCATACCTAACAGAACATAAGTCACAATATACGCCATGCCTGACATAACATAATATACGCCATGTCACAAAGTCATACGCCATGCCTGACAGAACATAAGTCACAATATACGCCATACCTAACAGAACATAAGTCACAATATACGCCATACCTGACAGAACATAAGTCACAATATACGCCATGCCTAACAGAACATAAGTCACAATATACGCCATACCTGACAGAACATAAGTCACAATATACGCCATACCTGACAGAACATAAACATAAGTACACAATAAGTCACAATATACGCCATACCTAACAGAACATAAGTCACAATATACGCCATACCTAACAGAACATAAGTCACAATATACGCCATACCTAACAGAACATAAGTCACAACATATACCTGACAGAACATAAGTCACAATATACGCCATGCCTGACAGAACATAAGTCACAATATACGCCATACCTAACAGAACATAAGTCACAATATACGCCATGCCTAACAGAACATAAGTCACAATATACGCCATACCTAACAGAACATAAGTCACAATATACGCCATGCCTAACAGAACATAAGCCACAATATACGCCATACCTAACAGAACATAAGTCACAATATACGCCATACCTGACAGAACATAAGTCACAATATACGCCATGCCTGACAGAACATAAGTCACAATATACGCCATACCTGACAGAACATAAGTCACAATATACGCCATGCCTGACAGAACATAAGTCACAATATACGCCATACCTAACAGAACATAAGTCACAATATACGCCATACCTGACAGAACATAACATATACGCCATGTCACAGAACATAAGTCACAATATACGCCATACCTACAGAACATAAGTCACAATATACGCCATAAGTCTAGAACATAAGTCACAATATACGCCATACCTGACAGAACATAAGTCACAATATACGCCATACCTGACAGAACATAAGTCACAATATACGCCATACCTGACAGAACATAAGTCACAATATACGCCATACCTAACAGAACATAAGTCACAATATACGCCATACCTGACAGAACATAAGTCACAATATACGCCATGCCTGACAGAACATAAGTCACAATATACGCCATACCTGACAGAACATAAGTCACAATATACGCCATACCTGACAGAACATAAGTCACAATATACGCCATGCCTGACAGAACATAAGTCACAATATACGCCATGCCTAACAGAACATAAGTCACAATATACGCCATACCTAACAGAACATAAGTCACAATATACGCCATACCTGAATAAGTCAGAACATAAGAACATAAGTCACAATATACGCCATGCCTAACAGAACATAAGTCACAATATACGCCATACCTGACAGAACATAAGTCACAATATACGCCATACCTGAACAGAACATAAGTCACAATATACGCCATACCTAACAGAACATAAGTCACAATATACGCCATGCCTAACAGAACATAAGTCACAATATACGCCATGCCTGACAGAACATAAGTCACAATATACGCCATGCCTAACAGAACATAAGTCACAATATACGCCATGCCTAACAGAACATAAGTCACAATATACGCCATACCTGACAGAACATAAGTCACAATATACGCCATGCCTGACAGAACATAAACATAAGTCACAATATACGCCATACCTGACAGAACATAAGTCACAATATACGCCATGCCTGACAGAACATAAGTCACAATATACGCCATACCTGACAGAACATAAGTCACAATATACGCCATGCCTAACAGAACATAAGTCACAATATACGCCATGCCTGACAGAACATAAGTCACAATATACGCCATGCCTGACAGAACATAAGTCACAATATACGCCATACCTGACAGAACATAAGTCACAATATACGCCATGCCTGACAGAACATAAGTCACAATATACGCCATGCCTGACAGAACATAAGTCACAATATACGCCATACCTACAGAACATAAGTCACAATATACGCCATACCTAACAGAACATAAGTCACAATATACGCCATGCCACAGAACATATACAATGTCTAGTAGAACATAAACCACAATATATGCAATGTCTAGTAGAACACTTGTATATCATGTCTAGTAGAACATAAACCACAATATATGCAATGTCTAGTAGAACACTTGTATATCATGTCTAGTAGAACATAAACCACAATATATGCAATGTCTAGTAGAACACTTGTATATCATGTCTAGTAGAACATAAACCACAATATATGCAATGTCTAGTAGAACACTTGTATATCATGTCTAGTAGAACATAAACCACAATATATGCAATGTCTAGTAGAACACTTGTATATCATGTCTAGTAGAACATAAACCACAATATATGCAATGTCTAACAGAACAAAAGTCACACTATATGCCTTGCCTAACAGAATATACGTCACAATAGATGCCTTGCCTAACAGAATATACTTCACAATATATGCCTTGCCTAACAGAATATGCGTCACAATATATGCATTGCTTAAAAGAATATACGTCACAATATATGCCTTGCCTAACAGAATATGCGTTACAATATATGTCTTGCCTAACAGAATATGCGTCACAATGTATGCCTGGCCAAACAGAATATACGTCACAATATATGCCTTGCCAAACAGAATATACGTCACAATGTATGCCTGGCCAAACAGAATATACGTCACAATATATGTCTTGACTTACAGAATATACGTCAAAATATATGCCTTGCCAAACAGAATACGCGTCACAATATATGTCTTGCCTAACAGAATATACGTCAAAATATATGCCTTGCCAAACAGAATATGCGTCACAATATATGCCTTGCCAAACAGAATACACGTCACAATATATGCCCTTGCTAATCAAACAGAATATATGCCTTGCCAAACAGAATATACGTCACAATATATGTCTTGACTTACAGAATATACGTCACAATAGATGCCTTGCCAAACAGAATATGCGTCACAATATATGTCTTGCCTAACAGAATATGCGTCACAAAATATGCCTTGCCTAACAGAATGTACGTCACAATATATGCCTTGCCTTACAGAATATACGTCACAAAATATGCCTTGCCTAACAGAATATACGTCACAATATATGCCTTGCCCAACAGATTATGCGTCGCAATATATGTATTGCCTAACAGAATATATATACGTCACCATATGAGCATTGCCTAATAGAACACAATTGACACAATCAGAACACGACTGATCAGACAGAATAAAGATACATGTACGTATCTACACGTCGTAGCAGGTTCTCACCCACAATAGGTTCTTGAAGTAACGTCTGTAATTATGTGGCTTCATGCCACAAGTATGCTCACTCACTCACTCACTCACTCACTCACTCACTCACTCACACTCACACTCACACTCACACTCACACTCACACACACTCACACTCACTCACTCACTCACTCACTCACACTCACTCACTCACTCACTCACTCACTCACACTCACACTCACACTCACACTCTCACACTCTCTCACACTCTCACACTCTCTCACTCACCAGTGTTGAAGTCATGAACTTCCGTGAGAGGCCGATATCCGAACTGACCGTTGCTACTGGCAACAGCGGGGGTGTAGATATACTTGGTCAGCTTCATCTGGTCGTCATACCACTCCTGGAACAGCGACAATATTAACCAATGTTATCAAGATCACCATCATCGTCATCATCAACTGTCGACATCGTCGTCATCGTCATCGTTAACGTCATCATCATGATCATTGACATAATCAGAACATACAGTCAAACACTACCTCAGGTCACACAGAAGATACAGTCACACATTATCTCAAGTCATATAGAACATACAGTCACACATTATCTCAAGTCATATAGAACATACAGTCACACATTATCTCAGATCAAATAGAACATACAGTCACACTCACATCAGGTCATATAGAACACACAGTCACATACTACCTCAGGTCATATAGAAGATACAGTCACACACTACCTCAGGTCTCACAGAAGATACAGTCACACATTATCTCAGATCAAATAGAACATACAGTCACACTATATCAGGTCATATAGAAGATACAGTCACACACTACCTCAGGTCACATAGAAAATACAGTCACACATGATCTCAGGTTATATAGAACACACAGTCACACACTACCTCAGGTCACATAGAAGATACAGTCACACATTATCTCAGATGAAATAGAACGTACAGTCACACTACATCAGGTCATATAGAAAAGGCAGTCACACATGATCTCAGGTCATATAGAAGATACAGTCACACACTACCTCAGGTCATATAGAAGATACAGTCACACACTACCTCAGGTCATATAGAAGATACAGTCACACACTACCTCAGGTCATATAGAACATACAGTCACACACTACCTCAGGTCATATAGAAGATACAGTCACACACTACCTCAGGTCATATAGAAGACACAGTCACACACTACCTCAGGTCTTATAGAACACACAGTCACACACTACCTCAGGTCATATAGAAGATACAGTCACACACTACCTCAGGTCATATAGAAGATACAGTCACACACTACCTCAGGTCATATAGAAGATACAGTCACACACTACCTCAGGTCATATAGAAGATACAGTTACACACTACCTCAGGTCATATAGAAGATAGTCACACACTACCTCAGGTCATATAGAAGATACAGTCACACACTATCTCAGGTCATATAGCAAATACAGTTACACACTACCTGAGGTCATATAGAAGATACAGTCAAACACTACCTCAGGTCATATAGAACATACAGTCACACATTATATCAGGTCATATAGAAGATACAGTTACACACTACCTGAGGTGATATAGAACATACCATCGCACATTATATCAGGTCATATAGAACATGCAGTTACACATTATCTCAGGTCATATAGAACATACAGTCACACATTATCCAAGGTTATATAGAACATCTAATCACATATTATCTCAGGTCATTTTGAACATCTAGTCACACATCAAGATCATATAGGACATCTAGTCAGACATCAAGATCATATAGGACATCTAGTCACACATCAATATCACATAGGACATCTAGTCAGACATCAAGATCATATAGGACATCTAGTCACACATCAAGATCATATAGGACATCTACTCACACATCAAGATCATATAGTACATCAAGACATATACTTCATCAGGGTCACCTTGAAAATAATCGTGTATGTTTTGAATCCGCTTACTGTTGATCTATTCAAAGATGGCAATAAGTTACTTTTCCGGAATTATAGTCAACTTTGTACAGACCTGCATGAACCGGACGTCCCCTCGTACAGAGTCGATGATTTCTACCGTGAAGGAAAATGCTGAGGAGATTTGTGGAAATGGCTTGACCAACTTCCGTCCTGGGCATGAGATTAAACCCGGTGTCTGTGGAAACGTTAAAATATAAATTTTTATCAAGTCAAATGTTCATAATAATGAGTGTTTGAACTAAACTAGCGTCCAAAAGAAACGCCACCACACAGTTTTCTTTACTAAAACACAACAAAGGCAAATTATGGTAACAAGAAGTGTTGTATTGTAAAACACAATCAGTCAGCAACATTTCTTGAAACTTTTCAGTTAGATGACACAGGGTGCAGTGTCCAGTATTTGATCGCCACAGCTGATTCGTCTTTCAGGTCTCAAACTGTCCTGAACAACACCGATTATTCAGTATCGTGTGTGGCCACCCCTAGCAGTGATGCAGGCTCTAACGCAGCATCGAACTGAGTATGTGAGCCTTCCGACGTCATCATTAGGGATTCGGCGCCATTCCTCTTGCAGGGCAACTGCCAAAGTGTCCCTAGTCAATTGCGGCTGTTGACGTTTCCGAATACGTTGCCCCACTTGGTCCCAGAGGTGTGTTCGATTGGAGACAGATCGGGTGATCTCGCTGGCCACTGTAGCAGGGTTGACGTTGTTAGTGTTGAGGAAGTCACTAGTGATCCGAGCTGTGTGAGGTGTGGCGTTGTCCTGTTGAAACAAAGTCCTTGGGTGACGTTGCAGGTATGGCATCACGATGTAAGGCAGCACGAATCTCGTCGATGTAACGACGTGCGGTGAGATTACCGTTGATGATGACGAGATCGTCGTCCCAGACCATAACGCTTCCACCGTACTTCTTGGATGCAAGCAGGTGCCGTCCGTTCGCCCCGACGTCGGTAGATTCGAACACGACCATCAGATTTGAAGAGCTGGAACCTGCTCTCGTCACTGAAGAGCACTCTTCGCCAGTTTCGCTGCTGCCACTGCATTACGGTCCTGGCCCACCTCAATCTGGCACGTCGGTGTCGGAGCGTTAACGTCATGCCCTTGAAAGATCGATAGGCACGAATACCATGCTGACGGAGTCGTCTTGCTGCAGTCTGTCTGCTGACTGCATGTCCAAGCCTATTGGCGCTTGATGACGTCACAGTGAGGTAGCGGTTTCTCAGATGAAGCACACGTAAATATCGATCTTCCTGTGGGGTCGTGACCTTGGGTCTGCCACTCCTGGGTCTGTCAGCAGTACTGCCAGTCTGTCTGTGACGTGTGACAAGTCTGGCGTTGTGGACTTGCAGCATCCCATGATCCTGGCCACGTGCCCCTGTGTTGCGCCCATCTTAAGCATACCAATTGCTCTTTCCCTCTGTTCTGTGGTCAGTCGAGGCATGTCGGCTGCTTTCAATCGTGTCACATGATGAGAGAGAACAAATCAAGTCAGGTTTTATACCCTCATGTCATACTTGTAACTTTGAGCACAATTCCATTTTTTCTGTGCGAATTCATTTAACTCAGCAATCATCAAAATCTCGTGCACTTGTTCACTGGGAATAGACAGGTTGTGTTCGAGGGATGTGTTTTCAGCCGTTTTTGAGCAGATTGGCAATTATTTTGAAAATTTATGATCATTTTTATTTTGGTGGCGTTTCTTTTGGACGCTAGTTCATTTGTTGTTCTCGCAGTGTCAGCAATATTCCACCACCATGACGACGGCCTGTAGGTAATTGAGTTTGACGAGGTAAGCTAGTGAATGCTATTTATGAGCATCGCCTTACGTTAAAACGTTCACTGACTGGTTACTGACGTCTTACGATCCCACTCAGTCGAAGCATGAGCCATTCGACAATTGATGAGAACCTGCATACAATGCGCCGTCTGTGATTACTGGAATATCTTTTTGTCTACTTCTTTAAGATGTAAACACATTAACTGAACATAACCATCACTTCCTCATTGCCTCATGTATGTAATATATACTGTATAGTTGAAGAATCCCATTGTTTGGTGAAGTTCTCCAAAATCTAATCCTTTTAGGCATTAGTTGATCCAGAAGAAAACGCACTTTTGCTTAATGGATATACATACACAATAAACATTCAGAATTCACGAACAACTCACTTCAAATGCGTCGGCCACTGTGATGTAGTTCTTGAAGTGTATGAGGTCGTAGATGTGGTCGAAGGGATGTGCAGGTCCGTCTGAGGACGCCCCTCGCGTCCCCGTGACCCGCGCCCTGACTGGGGTACTGGGGAGGTTGAGAGCCATATCCCACTCATTGGTGTCTACAAGGACAAATTGTAACTCCATACAACCTTACTGATTAATTGCGTAGAGTTTACGTCGATGTTAGCAACGTTGGAACAATATCTAGATGGTGGCACGGCTTTCAAATGTTGAATATATACAGTCAAGCAGCATTGTCTCTAATACCTTGGGTCAGCACTTTGACATATCCGATTCGATCTTGTCCTAATCCATCTATCCAGCCATCTTTCCATCCATCCATCCATCCACCCAGCCAGCCAGCCATCCAGCCATCCATCCATCTCCAAACACATTCATACACGCATACACATACACACACGCACGCATGCGCGCGCACACGCACACACACACACACACACACACACACACACACACACACATATACATTCGAGAATACCTGTCTTTTTAATATCATTTCAGTCCCTATTAACGAGTTAGAGCTGTATCAAAATTAAAACTAAACTAATATCCAAATGTCGTGACTTTTCCATATCGTTTTTCCTTTTGTAACGAGATCAAACGTATCAAAACTAAAGCATCCAAATCGTCGGCAGATACGGAGCTACATACAGGTCATTCCTGAGCCTGACGTACACGTCCATCCCATGATGCACCAACCTGAGAAGTACCACGTAACATTCATGGTGGCGTCCATGCCCTGCCAATATTGACACGAGTACCATTTTTCCACGTTGATGCCCCGGACATTGTCCTTCCCCTGATACACCTCCACGACGGCGCTGCCAAAGTGGAGCGCACCTGCCGCGGAGTATATCCGGTCGCCGCCTCCGGTGACGTTGACCCCAAACAGGAACCTCTGACCTGACGTACTCAGATCTGACACCTGACACGTTTCTGAAACATTAGGCCATCTATTGCAAGGAATTTGTTTGGTGGTTGGTAAAAGCGACGTTCAGTGATATTCCTTCTGGTTAACATTAGCATCTTGCACAAGCAAGAAACTCTGAAAAGTTGCCATGCATAGCTCTGAAACCCACATCCAGTGTAGGGTTGAGCCCAACTTACCCACAAGGGGCGGTAGGGTAGCCAAGTAGCTAACGCGTTCGTTCATCACGCCAAAGACTCGGGTTCGATTCCACAAATGGGTGCAATGTGTGAATCCAATTTCTGGCGTCCCCCGTCTTGGAATATTGCTAAAAACGGCGTAAACCCCAACTCACTCCCCCACCTCACTCACACACTTACCAACTGCAATGGTGGAAGAGTACTTACTTGCGTCTGGGTCTATGCCAAGGAACTCGTTCGTCGAGTAGTCAAAGTAACCGTAGAAATGTGCCCCCAGTAAGGTCTGGTGGACCGCTGCAGATTTGGAAGCCTGGTCATAGTACTCATGCACTTCAGTTGACCTGTTCTTGTTAATAATGATGCACTCCACATGGATCTCGAACGTCGAGGGGACGGTTGGCCGAGGAATATCTAAACAGATTCACCGTAGGATACAACTACAAACTAACCCTCCACTTGCAACTAACCAGGATATGCAGGCCCTGCTAACATAGAAATGGATACATACATGCCATCTTATTGCTGAAACAATTATTTTGTACAGGAGAGTTATAGTAATTGACCAGTGCATACGATATCTCTGTTATTGTGATTGATTTGCGCAACAACTGATTTGTGTCTGGAAACCTACTGCCAAAATATTGGACTTTGTGTATGTAAACTTACTGTTATTGCCACTGATCAGAGCGTGGGGACATGTTGCAACTGCAACTTACTGTTACAGCTACTGATAGGTGCTTTGAGACTTACTGTTACAGCTAGTGACAGGTGCGTGTTGATTTACTGTTACAGCTACTGACAGGTGCTTGGAGACTTACTGTTACAGCTAGTGACAGGTGCGTGTTGATTTACTGTTACAGCTACTGACAGGTGCTTGGAGACTTACTGTTACAGCTACTGACAGGTGCGTGTTGACTTACTGTTACAGCTACTGACAGGTGCTTGGGAGACTTACTGTTACAGCTACTGACAGGTGCGTGTTGATTTACTGTTACAGCTACTGACAGGTGCTTGGAGACTTACTGTTACAGCTACTGACAGGTGCGTGTTGATTTACTGTTACAGCTACTGACAGGTGCTTGGAGACTTACTGTTACAGCTAGTGACAGGTGCGTGTTGATTTACTGTTACAGCTACTGACAGGTGCTTGTTGAGTTACTGTTACAGCTACTGACAGGTGCTTGGAGACTTACTGTTACAGCTACTGACAGGTGCGTGTTGATTTACAGCTACTGACAGGTGCTTGGAGACTTACTGATACAGCTACTGACAGGTGCGTGTTTACTTACTGTTACAGCTACTGACAGGTGCGTGTTGACTTACTGTTACAGCTACTGACAGGTGCGTGTTGACTTACTGTTACAGATACTGACAGGTGCTTGGAGACTTACTGTTACAGCTACTGACAGGTGCTTGAGACTTACTGTTACAGCTACTGACAGGTGCTTGGAGACTTACTGTTACAGCTACTGACAGGTGCGTGTTGACTTACTGTTACAGCTACTGACAGGTGCTTTGAGACTTTACAAATGCTGACAGGTGCTTTGAGGAGACTTACTGTTACAGCTACTGACAGGTGCTTGGAGACTTACTGTTACAGCTACCGACAGGTGCTTGGACTGTTACAGCTACTGACAGGTGCTTGTTACAGAGACAGGTGCGTGTTGACTTACTGTTACAGATACTGACAGGTGCTTGGAGACTTACTGTTACAGCTACTGACAGGTGCTTGGAGACTTACTGTTACAGCTACTGACAGGTGCTTGGAGACTTACTGTTACAGCTACTGACAGGTGCTTGGAGACTTACTGTTACAGCTACTGACAGGTGCTTGGAGACTTACTGTTACAGCTACTGACAGGTGCTTGGAGACTTAATGTTACAGCAAATAAACCTTGTGTGGAGAGTCACTGCTGTAGAAGCCGACCAGTGGGTGGAGACTAAGGGTGCAGCAGATGACCAGTACTTGCAGACTTACTGTTATATCATTTGGCCAGTGCGGTGCTGTAAGACGTATTCCTATAGCAACTGGCCAGTGGCAAGTGCGTCCAGTGGCAAGAGCGTTGATTCTGCAGCAAATAACCCGTGCGTGGAGATTCACTGCTGCAGCACCTGACCAGTGCGTTGATACTTACTGCTGCAGCACTTGAACAGTGCGGTGATACTTACTGCAATAGCACTTGGCCAGTGCGTTGATACTTCCTGATACAGCACTTGAACAGTGCGTTCAGACTTACTGCTGCAGAATTTGACCAGTGCGTTGATACTTACTGCTACAGCATCTGCCCAGTGCGTTGATACTTAGTGCTGCAGCACCTGACCAGTGAGTTGATACTACTGCTGCATCATCTGACCAGTGAGTTGATACTACTGCTGCATCATCTAACCAGTGCGTTGATACTTACTGCTGCAGCACCTGACCAGTTCGTTGATACTTACTGCTGCAGCATCTGACCAGTTCGTTCATACTTACTGCTACAGCACCTGACCAGTGCGTTGATACTTACTGCTGCAGCACTTGACCAGTGCATTGATACTTTCTGGTACAGCACCTGACCAGTGCATTGATACTTACTGCTACAGCACTTGACCAGTTCGTTAATACTTTACTGGCTGCTGCAGCGTTGATACTTACTGCTACAGCACCTGACCACTTCGATGATACTTACTGCTGCAGCATCTGACCAGTTCGTTGATACTTACTGCTGCAGCACCTGACCAGTTCGTTAATACTTACTGCTACAGCACCTGACCAGTGAGTTGATACTACTGCTGCATCATCTGACCAGTGAGTTGATACTACTGCTGCAGCATCTGACCAGTGCGTTGAAACTTAGTTCTGCAGCATCTGACCAGTTCGTTGATACTTACTGCTGCAGCACTGACCAGTGCATTGATACTTACTGGGCTACAGCACCTGACCAGTGCATTGATACTTACTGCTGCAGAACTTGACCAGTTCTTACTGATTGATACTTACTGCTGCAGCATCTGACCAGTTCGTTGATACTTGCTGCTGCAGCACCGACCAGTGCGTTGATACTTACTGCTGCAGCACCTGACCAGTGATGATACTTACTGCTGCAGCATTTGACCAGTTCGTTGATACTTACTGGTACAGCACCTAACCCGTGCATTGATACTTACTGCTGCAGAACTTGACCAGTTCGTTGATACTTAGTGCTGCAGCACTTGACCAGTTCGTTCATACTTACTGCTGCAGCACTTGACCAGTTCGTTCATACTTACTGCTGCAGCACCTGACCAGTGCGTTCATACTACTGCTGCATCATCTGACCAGTGCGTTGATACTTAGTGCTGCAGCATCTGACCAGTGCGTTGATACTTACTGCTGCAGGCATCTTGACCAGTTCGTTGATACTTACTGCTGCAGCCTGGCCAGTTCGTTGATACCTGCTGCAGCACCTGACCAGTGAGTTGATACTACTGCTGCAGCATCTGACCAGTGAGTTGATACTTACTGCTGCAGCATCTGACCAGTGCGTTGATACTTACTGCTGCAGCATCTGACCAGTTCGTTGCCTACTTTACTGCTGCAGCACTTGACCAGTGCGTTCAGACTTACTGCTGCAGCACTTGACCAGTGCGTTGATACTTACTGCTGCAGCATCTGACCAGTTCGTTGATACTTACTGCTACAGCACCTGACCAGTGCGTTGATACTTACTGCTGCAGCACTTGACCAGTGCATTGATACTTACTGCTGCAGCACCTGACCAGTGCATTGATACTTACTGCTGCAGCACCTGACCAGTGCGTTGATACTTACTGCTGCAGCACCTGACCAGTGCGTTGATACTACTGCTGCAGCATCTGACCAGTGCGTTGATACTACTGCTGCAGCATCTGACCAGTGCGTTGATACTTACTGCTGCAGCACTTGACCAGTGCGTTGATACTTACTGCTGCAGCATCTGACCAGTGAGTTGATACTACTGCTGCAGCATCTGACCAGTGAGTTGATACTACTGCTGCAGCATCTGACCAGTGCGTTGATACTTACTGCTGCAGCATCTGACCAGTTCGTTGATACTTACTGCTGCAGCACTTGACCAGTGCGTTGATACTTACTGCTGCAGCATCTGACCAGTGCGTTGATACTTACTGCTGCAGCACCTGACCAGTTCGTTGATACTTACTGCTGCAGAACTTGACCAGTTCGTTGATACTTACTGCTGCAGCACCTGACCAGTGCGTTGATACTTACTGCTGCAGCACCTGACCAGTTCGTTGATACTTACTGCTGCAGCACCTGACCAGTTCGTTGATACTTACTGCTGCAGCACCTGACCAGTTCGTTGATACTTACTGCTGCAGCATCTGACCAGTGCGTTGATACTACTGCTGCAGCATCTGACCAGTGCGTTGATACTTAGTGCTGCAGCATCTGACCAGTGCGTTGATACTTACTGCTGCAGCACTTGACCAGTGCGTTGATACTTACTGCTGCAGCACTTGACCAGTGCGTTGATACTTACTGCTGCAGCATCTGACCAGTGCGTTGATACTTACTGCTGCAGAACTTGACCAGTTCGATGATACTTACTGCTGCAGCATCTGACCAGTGCGTTGATACTTACTGCTGCAGCATCTGACCAGTGAGTTGATACTACTGCTGCAGCATCTGACCAGTGCGTTGATACTTACTGCTGCAGCATCTGACCAGTGCGTTGATACTTACTGCTGCAGAACTTGACCAGTTCGTTGATACTTACTGCTGCAGCATCTGACCAGTGCGTTGATACTTACTGCTGCAGCATCTGACCAGTTCGCTGATACTTACTGCTGCAGCACTTGACCAGTTCGTTGATACTTACTGCTGCAGAACTTGACCAGTTCGTTAATACTTACTGCTGCAGCATCTCACCAGTGCGTTGATACTTACTGCTGCAGAACCTGACCAGTTCGCTGATACTTACTGCTGTAAAACTTGACCAGGTCGTTGATACTTACTGCTGCAGCATCTGACCAGTGCGTTGATACTTAGTGCTGCCGCACCTGGCCAGTGCATTGGTACTTACTGCTACAGCACTTGACCAGTGCTTGATAATATTTACTGCTGCAGCATCTCACCAGTGCGTTAATACTTACTGCTGCAGTTCGTTGATACTCTGCTGACCAGTTCGCTGATACTTACTGCTGTAAAACTTGACCAGGTCTACTTACTGCTGCAGCATCTGACCAGTGCGTTGATACTTACTGCTGCAGCACCTGACCAGTGCGTTGATACTTACTGCTGCAGCACTTGACCAGTTCGTTGATACTTCCTGCTGCAGCACTTGACCAGTGCGTTGATACTTACTGCTGCAGCACTTGACCAGTGCGTTGATACTTACTGCTGCAGCACATGACCAGTGCGTTGATACTTTACTGATGCAGCACCTGACCAGTGCGTTGATACTTACTGCTGCAGCACATGACCAGTGCGTTGATACTTACTGCTGCAGCACCTGACCAGTTCGTTGATACTTACTGCTGCAGCACTTGACCAGTGCGTTGATACTTACTGTTGCAGCACATGACCAGTGCGTTGATACTTACTGTTGCAGCACCTGACCAGTGCGTTGATACTTACTGCTGCAGAACTTGACCAGTGCGTTGATACTTACTGCTGCAGCACTGACCAGTGCGTTGATACTTACTGCTGCAGCACTTGACCAGTTCGTTGATACTTACTGCTGCAGAACTTGACCAGTGCGTTGATACTTACTGCTGCAGCATCTGACCAGTGCGTTGATACTTACTGCTGCAGAACCTGACCAGTGCGCTGATACTTACTGCTGCAGCACTTGACCAGTGCGTTGATACTTACTGCTGCAGCACCTGACCAGTGCGTTGATACCTACTGCTGCAGCACTTGACCAGTGCGTTGATACTTACTGCTGCAGCACTTGACCAGTGCGTTGATACTTACTGCTGCAGCACCTGACCAGTGCGTTGATACTTACTGCTACAGCACTTGACCAGTGCGTTGATACTTACTGATGCAGCACCTGACCAGTGCGTTGATACTTACTGCTGCAGCACTTGACCAGTGCGTTGATACTTCCTGCTACAGCACTTGACCAGTGCGTTGATACTTACTGTTGCAGCACCTGACCAGTGCGTTCATACTTACTGCTGCAGCACTTGACCAGTGCGTTGATACCTACTGCTGCAGTTTCTGGACAGAGGATGGAAACTTACTGTTGGCCACTGTCCCTGGACTGGAGCAGACGGTGCCGTCCATGCCTGCCGAGGTGAGATGGAGAAGAAGTGGGAGGAGAATGAGATTCCTCATCCTTGCTGCAGCTGTTGGTGAACGGCCTGCGGGAGAAAATAGACGTCACTATAAGCCACACAGTAGATGTTGTGTGACAGGCACGTGGAGACTGTTTTCAAATTTGATGCATTTGTGCCAAAACTGTTCCCCGTTACAATTCAACATTTGCATTTCTACCGTCTTTAACAGCGTTTATAATGCCCGACAAGGCGCCGCAATGTGCTGTTGTGACAGATGACAAACTAGCATTGTCGACCTTTTGCCGAACACAAATACAATCTTCAAAACGCACCAATGCGATATAACGACAATTCGACAAGTGTCCCAAAATGTTGTGTGTATTGTCGCTCTTTGTTTAATTGTAAACGAATCACTGTTTTTAAAAAGCTAGGTATATTTTGTAATACCATCGTGAAAACTGTACAATGTTCCATGTAAACCATCCCGCCAACCTATTTATAATTAAGAGTATATTTGTTCATCTTATGCCGAGTATCCCAGCCTGAGCTCAAAAAAAGGTCTGTTCGTTGGTCATTTTCTAAACGTTTTGCTATTTTTTGTGAAGGCGACAATCCGATAACTCGACAATTGCCTTGGCTTTACAATATACCACCTTTGCCAGACAGCAATACTAAATGCGGAATAGATATCGATGAAATATCTTTACATATCACTCCGAAGGAAAACAAAACTCGACGCCGAAATAATACCAGATGGTATTCAATATTCTCATCGTTACATTATAACCTGACCTTTCCAACTACAGAACCAAAAAAATATATGTGTCGACACCAGCACGCCGCCATGACACTGTTATGTACATGATAAGGCGTAATATAAGCTACACACAGCTGTATGGGTCTAATATACATCAACGATTAATATATATTTTAAAGAACAATCACAGAGCATCATAGATTTGATTTAAAATAGAATATTTGTGAGCATGGTATTGCTAATTGAACTAACCTGACACGATGTCTTCTCTCTGTTCATCAATTGTTGGGGCGTCTAGTCGAGGGGTCAAAGTCGTGTTGCTGATACAGAGGAGAGATAATGTAGATATCTCAGGTCGGGAGGTGATAACGATGGTACGATGGTGACTGGGTATCTGACCTAATCGGGTCCTTAATACAGTCTGTTCAGTACATGAAGTAAAGGGCGCACTGCAGCACAGGTTGTAAAAGGCCTGGAGCAGAACTCTCTCAGAGGTACTCACTATACTAGGCCTGGAGTAGAACTCCCCCCGAGGTACTCACTATACTAGGTCTGGAGTAGAACTCTCTCCGAGGTACTCACTATACTAGGTCTCACTATACTAGGGTCTGGAGTAGAACTCTCTCCGAGGTACTCACTATACTAGGTCTGGAGTAGAACTCTCTCCGAGGTACTCACTATACTAGGTCTGGTGTGGAACTCTCTCCGAGGTACTCACTATACTAGGTCTGGTGTAGAACTCTCTCCGAGGTACTCACTATACTAGGTCTGGAGTAGAACTCTCTCCGAGGTACTCACTATACTAGGTCTGGAGTAGAACTCTCTCCGAGGTACTCACTATACTAGGTCTGGTGTAGAACTACCTGTAGAGCACAAATTGTATCAGGTCTGGTGTAGAGCTACCTGCGAAATACAAATTGTATAAGGTCTCGTGTAGAACTACCTGTAGAGCACAAATTGTATCAGGTCTGGTGTAGAACTACATGCAAAACACAAATTGTATTAGGCCTGGTGTAGAACTCTCTCCGAGGTACTCACTATACTAAGTCTTGTGTAGAACTCTCTCCGAGATACTCACTATACTAGGTCTTGTGTAGAACTCTCTCCGAGGTACTCACTATACTAGGTCTGGTGGAGAACTCTCTCCGAGGTACTAACTATACTAGGTCTGGTGTAGAACTCTCTCCGAGGTAATCACTATGCTAGGCCTGGAGTAGAACTCTCTCCGAGGTACTCACTATACTAGGTCTGGTGTAGAACTACCTGTAGAGCACAAATTGTATCAGGTCTGGTGTAGAACTACCTGTAGAGCACAAAATGTATAAGGTCTGGTGTAGAACTACCTGTAGAGCACAAATTGTATCAGGTCTGGTGTAGAACTACCTGTAGAGCACAAAATGTATAAGGTCTGGTGTAGAACTACCTGTAGAGCACAAATTGTATCAGGTCTGGTGTAGAACTACCTGTAGAGCACAAAATGTATAAGGTCTGGTGTAGAACTACCTGTAGAGCACAAATTGTATCAGGTCTGGTGTAGAACTACCTGTAGAGCACAAAATGTATAAGGTCTGGTGTAGAACTACCTTTAGAGCACAAACTGTATCAGGTCTGGTGTAGAACTACCTGTAGAGCACAAAATGTATAAGGTCTGGTGTAGAACTACCTGTAGAGCACAAATTGTATCAGGTCTGGTGTAGAACTACCTGTAGAGCACAAATTGTATAAGGCCTGGTGTAGAACTACCTGTAGAGCACAAATTGTATCAGGTCTGGTGTAGAACTACATGCAAAACACAAATTGTATTAGGCCTGGTGTAGAACTCTCTCCGAGGTACTCACTATACTAGGTCTTGTGTAGAACTCTCTCCGAGGTACTCACTATACTAGGTCTTGTGTAGAACTCTCTCCGAGGTACTCACTATACTAGGTCTGGTGGAGAACTCTCTCCGAGGTACTAACTATACTAGGTCTGGAGTAGAACTCTCTCCGAGGTACTCACTATACTAGGTCTGGAGTAGAACTCTCTCCGAGGTACACACTATACTAGGTCTGGAGTAAAACTCTCTCCGAGGTACTCACTATACTAGGTCTGGTGTAGAACTACCTGTAGAGCACAAATTGTATGAGGTCTGGTGTAGAACTACCTGTAGAGCACAAATTGTATAAGGTCTGGTGTAGAACTACCTGTAGAGCACAAATTGTATAAGGTCTGGTGTAGAACTACCTGTAAAGCACAAATTGTATAAGGCCTGGTGTAGAACTACCTGTAAAGCACAAATTGTATTAGGTCTCGTGTAGAACTATCTGTAAAACACAAAGTGTATAAGGTCTGGTGTAGAACTACCTGTAAAGTATAAATTGTATTAGCTCTCGTGTAGAACTATCTGTGAAACACAAATTGCATTAGGTCTGGTGTAGAACTACCTGTAAAGCACAACATGTATTAGGGCTGGTGTAGAGCTATCTGTACAACACAAATTGTGTTAGGTCTGGTGTAGAACTACCTGTAAAGCACAAATTGTATTAGGGCTGGTGTGGAACTACCTGTAAAGCACAACATGTATTAGGGCTGGTGTAGAGCTATCTGAAAAACACAAATTGTGTTACGTCTGGAAAACACACATGGCATCGACGCAGTCTAAGTAAACTTGCGTTTAGTATTATTCGTTACACTGCTATACATCCTCGATAATCTCCAGGGTATACGTTACGATCACTCTCCACTATACCCTGGATGCATCCACGGCTTGGCCCGATAATTATATTACCTCCTTTTGATGGCTCCGCATTCTAACAGTAGCCTGATTGGATAAAAAGTCAGCAAAGGTAGGTAATATAATTATCGGGCAAAGTCGTGGATGCATCCAGGGTATAGTGGAGAATGATCGTAACGTACACCCTGGAGATTATCGAGGATGACTGAGTCTAACAAAACTAGTAGAAGGTCGCGTAAGCTAAACTTTTGGATTTACAAATCAGAACACAGCTTACCAAATCGCGAAAGTTAACTTATTGCACATAATGTTACCATAATGTTAAAAATTCCTCGTTATAAAAATTCAGGAAACCCAGAAGCACTATGCGATAATTAGAATATACTTGAAGTGTCACGGAAAAAAATTATGCAAGTGGAAATGAAAAATATTTCAAAGACCTATTTTGACCCAGTTTCTTCTCTACATACGCGCATTCTGATTGGCTGGGGGAATATTTCTCCCGGACATGGCTGCGAGAGGGATACGAGTCTACTTTCAGGTTACGGAAAGGGACGAGTAGTTACGAATGCGCACAGAATAGACTGTGGTTGATCTGGAGTACATACATACACGTTGTCATTGGCCTAGGGGGCGGTGGGGTAGCCTAGTGGTTAAAGCGTTGGCTCGTCACGCCGAAGACCCGGGTTCGAATCCCCACATGGGTACAATGTGTGAAGCCCATTTCTGGTGTCCTCCGCCGTGATATTGCTGGAATATTGCTAAAAGCGGCGTAAAACCAAACTCAGTCAGTCAGTCAGTCAGTCATTGGCCTAGAGTAGTATTGCGGTAGTCCGGTGGTAGAAAAGTCTTCTTTCACTCCAAGTGAAATGTTTGAAATATTGCTTAAAGCGACGTAAAACTAAATTCACTCACTCTCTCTCTTGGGAGGGTTAGAAGTACTTTGTCCGGTGTTGTTTCTGTGCAGTACATTGCTGAATGTCGCAGTGTCGACGTGTTTCTTATGCTGTCCTTTTATTCCGACAGGACCCGTGGCGTCGACTTATTTCACTTTCAAAATACACAAATTCAGCCGTAATACTATTTCGTATCGGAGATAGCCGTCAAGATCCAGAATTTGTCTTCAGCAACACATGCTTGTCGTAACACATGCTTGTCGTAACACGTGCTTGTCGTAACACGTGCTTGTCGTAACACATGCTTGTCGTAACACATGCTTGTCGCAACACGTGCTTGTCGTAACACATGCTTGTCGTAACAGGCGACTAACGGGATTGAGTGGTCAGACTCGCTGACTTGGTTGACACATGCCATCATTTACCAATTTTGCAGATCGATGCTCATGCTGTTGATCACTGGATTGTCTGACTTGATTATTTACAGACCGCCGCCTTATAGCTGGAATACTGCTGAGTTCAACAACAAAGAGACATGACAACGAAGATGGACACCATTGAAACAGTCCGTCACTTAAGGCAATCGAAGTTGGTTGTTTGCACAGCATTGTAGATAAAGGGAGACAAGTCTACTTATTCGACACCATGCAAATAAAATCAAGCTCCCTGCAGGGGCGATGTAATTGCCCGTAAAATGATTGTTTGACAGACGCTCATGCGAGACTTGGTCAGATTCAGGCATGTCAGGAGCGAGGTCATCTGACCGGAGCGCCCGTTTTCGCCCGACAAAATTGCAGCCGGACAGGCCAGTCAAGCACGAGTTGGTCCGACTGAGACAAAGTTAGTTGCAACTTGTTCATCACTTTCAGTTGTGTTTAATCTCGAATAACTCGAATGTTATTTTATTCATGTATGTTCCTTCAACATCGACCGTCATACAATAAATATCAATGCTGTGTCGAACTCCCGGATGTCTCGAAGCAAAAGCTTGGTCCTGGGTATTCCTTCTAATTTGTACATCATTTTCAATTGTGTAGAGTCTTCAATTGTGTAGAGTCTCGAATAACTCGGTTGGGTAGCCAAGTGGTTAAAGCGTTACGCCAAAGACCCAGGTTCGATTCCCCATCGTGATATTACTGGAATATTGCTAAAAGCGGCCTAAAACCATGCTCACTCACTCACTCGAATAACCCGAGTTTTACTTTATTTATGTTTGCCATGTCCCTTTAACATCGGCACAACTGCAGATATATCAGTCGATAGATTGTTTTCTGGAATACGTATCAAATTAAAAATATTATAAGAAACGACTGATAACGTCATTAATACTCTTGGTATGATTTCATTTTTCAGTGTTACAGTGGATTTTACTCTTGTCCATTATTTCGCAAATGTGAATGTTACTTTTGTACATATTTTTGCTATTAGTGTTATAAATAGCATGTAGATTATAAACACTCGTCAAAAAAAAAAAAAAATGAAACGCAGATGATTTTGAGAATATTGGATTCTTGTAGCTGCGGCCCAAACAATACAAATATGCTATTTCTTTCCAAACAGTCATCTTTGTGTGATGGTAAACAGTTTCAGAGCCTAAACGAGGCAATTTTAACTTTTTCCCTTGTTTTAGAAGCGTTTGAAGAAATATTCGCCAAAACGTCACCAAGAAAACGAGCAAAAGAAAATGCAAGTAAGGGGGAAAGCATGCGGTATGAATCACTATGAACGGGCAAACATTGTGTTTAATTTTGTCATTCGC